CCCCCCCCAAAACCAAACCCATCTAACCAGCACCAACCCCCGCCGCCAGATAAATCCGCCTGGATCAACCGCGAACGCACCCGCTGGGCGACCTACTTCTCCGTCCCGATCATCCCGACGCCACCGCCGGACTTCCCGCCGCGCACGCTGCACACGCAGCGGGCGCTGGCCGCCGTGGCGCAGCTGGCCCCGGACCGGCTCGTGGCCGTGCAGGAGGCCTTCTACCGGACGTTCTGGGTGGACGGGGACGGTCGAATCGCGGAGCCGGGGTGTTTCGTGCCGGTGCTGCAGCGGGTGTTGGGGGAGGAGGTGGCGGGCCGGGTGGTGGAGGCTGTATGTTCCCCTTTCCCCTTTCCTCTTTCCCCTTTTCTCTCATTGAGCATTGAATCTTGGAAACCCCCCTCCCCCCGGGAGTATAAATGGTCAGATGCAGAGCTAAGAAGTGGACTGGACTAGATGCAAACCCCCGCGATCAAAGCGCTGCTCACGGCCAACACGGACCGGGCCTTCCAGGCCGGGGCGTTCGGGGTGCCGTGGTTCGAGTGCACGAATACGCAGGGCGCGACGGAGGGGTTCTTCGGGGTGGATCATCTGGGCCAGGTGGCGGAGTTTCTGGGGTTGGAGCGGCGCGGGGATCTGGGGATGCGGGCTTTGCTGTAGCTTCGTATGGTAAAAAGAAAAACACAGTTGAACTCTTGTATACTATCCTACTTCATGAAATATGGCTCCAAGCGGAGGGATATTCACAATCCCGTTCATCTACCGAAAGAGAAAAAAGAAACAGGCTTAAGCGCTGACGGATCGACTTTTCGTGAAAAGCAAACAATCACTGCCTCGGCGGCGGCCGCTCCGTCTGATGATACTTCTTCTCCAGATCCGTCTTCGTCCGCGTCCGCTCCTGCAAGAACTCCACAATCCGTTCCTTCTCCAGCGCGTCGATCCGGCGCATCTCCTCGGGGTCGGCGGCGCATCGGTCCTCCTCGCCTACAGTCAAGCCACCAAGTCAGCAAGCCGCATCACAATCGCATCTCACGCGAAGATCCGGAAAGAAACTCACCATCCCCCTCGTCCCCAGTCCCAGCTAGACCAGGCACGTACCCCCGCACCCGCTGCATCGCTTGACTCACGAGCTCGCTCTCGTACGCGGCATTCAGCATCGTCCGCACCTCCTGGATCGAGGTGCTGGCCACCTCGCTGAGTTTCTCGGGGGGCGGGAGGATTCTTGAGGAGGAGGAGGAGGAGGATGTGGATGTGGATGTGGTTGAGGTGATAGAGGCTGGATCGGAGGGGGTATGCTGCTGCTGCTGCTGCTGCTGCTGCTGCTGCTGGGGGGCGGGCAGTGGCAGCTGCAGCTCGCGTTCCCGCTCCTGTCGCTGGCGCTCGAGGAAGTCTTCTTCGTGGGGGTCCACGCAGCCGAGGTCGCGCGCGGTGTCGTCGACGGTTTTCATTTTTCGATCACACGAGCACACGAGCCCCAAAATCACACAGGAACAGAAAGCGTTCGAAAGTTAAAAGTAATAAGAGTGTTGTTTGGGCACAGAAAGTACTGGTCCAGTACAATCCAAGGACCAGGCTGAAGAAAGAATACAAAAAGAATGAGGGAAGTTGACGTTGATACGGTCTAGACTAGATCCTCCCAGTCCAAGTCAAATCAATTCCGGAATCGGGCTGTCTGTCGCCTGGTAGGGCTGGAGATGACATCAAGCGGGTAATCGGGACGGGGACGGGGGATGATATCATCGGGGGGGCACTGGGCCGGGTCACTCACTAACTGATGCAGTCAACTTCAGCCTTGTGGATCGGGTGTACACATGTACTTGCACACCTCGGATATGACTGTTAGCTGCAGTAGCTTGGTGTGCACTACCCTTACCAGCCTGACAGGAAACTTGGCTGATGTTGATGGATTACTTCTAAGCTCAAGTTGAACCTGATTAACATAACTACTAGCAGTGAACGGATGGGTGTATTGTGCTTGTCTATCATGAAGCGCTCCGATTACTGTAACCGGAAGATGCCTCACCCCACAGCAAAAATAAAAAGATCAACTTCAAAAGGGCGTACTATTACTCGGAACTTAACTCAGCCGTTGAGCATCACGCCACCTAGCCCTTTTTTCAGGGGTCATGTCAGCAACTAGAATAACCACGGCCGATCTCTTCATGCCATGCCCAAGTAACTGCCGCAGCACTTCTCTCAGCACACTGATATACAAATCAATGGGTGAAAACAGCCGCGACGGTCTCGTAGCCAGTACATTAACTACTCCTGAGATGGGCTGAATCATCCGACCCTGCAGTTTACACGTGAATCGATAACTTAGACACCAATCGACTTAGGGTTCTACCAATCCGGACTAGCGCCACCCCCTCGCAGCCCCTCCGCCACCGCCGAATTCTGCCGTCCGAAATCCACCATCTGCACTCTCTTATCATCTTTCGCCTTCTCCACTCCATCACTCACTCACTCACTCACTCACTTACCCACCCACTCTCTACTTTCCCCCTTATTACACTTATACTTATACACTTATAGACCTACACTTCTTTAAAAGCTCTACATTCCCTCCCAATAAAATGCCCCCCATCCCCATCACCATCGTCACCGGCTTCCTTGGCTCCGGCAAAACCACCCTGCTCCTCAACCTCATTCCGCAACTGCCCGCGACCTACCGGCTGGCGCTGCTCAAGAACGAATTCGGCGACGTCGCCGTCGACTCGCAGCTCGCCTCCACGCAATCGATCTCCGGGGTCCGCGAACTCCTCAACGGCTGCATCTGCTGCAACCTCGTCGGCCAGCTGAGCGACGCGCTCGAGCAGCTCCGCGCCGAGGTGCGCCCGGACCGCATCGTCATCGAGACCAGCGGGAGCGCCTTCCCCGCCACCCTGGCCATGGAGGTTAACCGCCTGGCGCGCGAGAGCCCCGGCACCTTCGTCCTGGACGGGGTGATCAGCGTCATCGACGTCGAGAACTGGGAGGGCTACGAGGACACCTCGTACACGGCGAAGCTGCAGGCGAAATACACCGATCTGATCGTCTTCAACAAGTGGGAGAATGTCTCGGAGATGCGCTTCGACATCTGCCTCGACCGGGTCGGGGACCTCGAGGTTCCCACGCCGTGGGTCAAGTCCGATCGCGGCAGGGTCGACAAGGATGTGCTGCTGGGGATTGACGGCGCGCTGTTCGCCAAGGAAGAGCATCGTCATGATGACCATGACCACGAGCACGGTCATGACCACAAAAACGATCATCAGTCCGAGGTGGAAGTCCTCTCCGTCAACCTCAAGTCCACCGATGCCACTGTCGTCGACGTCCCGGCTCTGGAGCAGCTCCTTCGCTCCGCCTCCAAGGAAGAAGTCTATCGCATAAAGGGCATCATGCGGTGCTCGACCCGCGCGCCGCCCGCGGAATCCTCGGAAGATCAAGGCGCCGTCACGCCCGCTTCGGCCAACGGCCCCGCCACCCGCTATTACATTCTGAACTGGGCTTTCGGTCGCTGGACCTTCACACCATCGGACGTCGTCGCTGAGAATGCTGACCCCGCCGTCGTGGCCCGGATTACGTTGATTTTGGCTCGCTATGAATCCGCCAAGTGGAAGAAGAAGCTCGAAGCCGGTGGCCTTGTACAGGTTGCTGGACCCAACGACGCCGAGTTGGCTGTGGAGCGGCTGCTCTAGATCTTCCGACATGCAATCTATTTACCTTCTTATACCTACCATATACAGCGCGCAGGGGCTGGCTCCTGGGCGTGATGACTGTTTGGAACTAGATCTCTGTTTCTTTTCGACTTAAATATTTGGCACATGACTTTTATGACGGAGGACGAAACGACTGAAGGGTTGCGGCGGAAGTGTTCGGTTCTATGATAGTTAGACTTGATTCCCAGATGAATGATAGACGACTTTTAGAGATTGGAAAGGAGCGGCCAGAAGCATAACAGTAATGAACGAGATATAATCAATCGAACGAACAGGTGCGGGACTTTCACATGGTTGTGTTTGAACACACACCGGAAAAAACACTAAATACAGACTTCTGCTAGAATTCAAGCTCCCCTCGGGGGTCCCCTTGCATCTACTCTATGAAAAGAAAACATGGATAATTATGGGTCAAGACAAGCGCGCTGTGACAGCAGCACCGGTTGCTTGGTAGAAGACAAAGACAATTGTGCATTAAAATCCAAAAAAAAGCATGAACAGAAATAGAGATAAGAACACCTAGTAGTCGAGAAGAGCGGAAGCTCCAGCCTCACTGGAGATATAGATCACCTCGTGGTTGTCCGAGAAACCATTGAAGCGGGTCGCGCTACACTTGGTGTAGGCTCCCATATCCTCAAAGTACAGCCAATCGCCTACGTTTAGGAGGGCCGGAAGGTTGATGCGCTTGCTGATGACATCGATGCCATCGCAGGTCGGCCCCCAGATAGAGTAGGCGATGCCCTCCGAAGTCGCAGCATTCGGAGAATTGACATTAGGGTCGCAGGTCAAGACCTGAGCCACAGGGTGCTGATGGTCAAAGATGATGTTGGAGAAGTTTCCATACACCCCATCATTGAGATACAACATGTACGCATCCTGCGTCGGGTTCTCGGGGTCCCGCACATCACGACGAGCAATCACATTGGCAGCCAGGGTGAAGGCGCTGGCAACGTAGTAGCGGCCGGGCTCGGCGATGACGCGGATGTTCGGCGGGAAGTAGACATCCAGAGCGTCACTGAGAACACCAGCGAACTTCTCGAAGGTATCCTGGCTGAAACCTCCACCAACATCCAGAGTGTGAAGCTCGTGGCCCACCTCAGCGGCTTGATCGAAGACCAGCCGCGCGTCCTGCACGGCCTTCAGGAAGGCCTTAGGGTCTTCAGCACCAGAGCCGACGTGGAAGCTCACACCGACAACCTTCAGCTCGAGCTGGTACGCAACCTCCAGCAGGTGACGGGCGACATCCATCGATGCTCCGAACTTCATACTGAACTGGCACATGCTGGAAGAATCATCCGTGAGGATGCGCAAGTATAGCTCCGCGTCAGGGTAGCATGACTTGATCTTGTACAGTTCATCGGCATTGTCGAAGGTCATTTGCTTCACGCCCATCTGGGCTGCATAGCGCAGGTACGACTTGGTCTTGCAAGGCTGCGCGTATATGATGCGGCTCGGATCGATACCAGTCTCGAGAGCCAAGTCAATTTCCGCCTTAGAGGCACAGTCGAAACCGTTGCCGAGCTTGGCCATGAGGCGAAGGATTTCTGGGTCCGGGTTGCACTTGACGGCTAAGGAATATCTCAGATCAGTCGCTGTCTCCCCCCGTGGTCGTCCCATTTTAATCAAACTCACCGTAGAAGGGCCGGACACGGCTTAGGTTCAGTTTCCAACGCAGATGCTGGCGGTAAATCTCGCCCATATCTGCCACATAAAAGGCATCTTCGGCGCCCGGGGCGCACGCGTCGACGTCCACCTCAGACGCACGCTTCTTCAGGACGTCCAGGATAAGCTCCTTGGCAGCCAACCTAGACTGCGGCTGATCGTCCTCTCCATGATAGCTGAACTGACCATGATCCCAATTGAGATTATAGTCGTTTTTGTCGGGGATATGTTTGATAGTGGTGCATATTTCAGCTGGCAAACAAGCAGTCGGTGCCATAACCATGCGCGCTGCGACGAAGCACGGGATAGGTCTTGAGATAAAGATAAAAAAGGAAGTTGAAAAAAAGTAGTTTTGAACGCGACTGCGTGTTAGGGAGGACGAAAAGTTTCGCAACCGAGGTTGACTGGACCAAGCCTCCTAGACCCTTCCTCCTTGAGAGGAAGAACCGTCAGAGAAGTCCTATGCGGCAGCTCAAAAGGCGAAGGTGTGAATGGTGAGGGCGTCAATTTATGAAAAAATGGCGCACCGGACGGAGGGACGGAGATCGAGACCAGGAGGAGGGGGAATGTTATTAAGAGTGTCGCGTTGACGTCTATGCGATACAATTTGACGAAGAGAAAGCGAGGCTGTGTAAGCCGTGGTGCCCTGAGTTGCCTTTGGAACTGGTGGATTCCAAAGGCCTTGAAATTGCGATTGAAGAAGAGTGAGGTGAAGAGGGAAAGAGAAAAAACAGGGTTTTTTCTAGTTCCGAGAAATAAGAAACGATCTGACCCGAGCAGTCCAACTGTTAGCGGTGGGATTGACGGGAAAAGAGACGAGCAACAAGAACTCGGATATCGAGAAGAAAAGGGATGCGAGATTTAATTTCCTGGGTCGTGGGGGGTAGACCGAGGGGGAGGGTGTTGGGGAGGGGGGGGGGGGGGGGAGGAGACAAGAGGTGCGTGCAGAATTTTATCGACACTTCCGGTGGAGGGGAGGGAAATTTAGGGCAAAGGGCACGGCGTCAGGCAGACACCGGGGGGTGGGGGAATGATGCTGATTCCTTGATCTGACAGGAAATGACAGATGACCTGAAAATCATTGATGTAGGGGGGGGGGTGTAGGCAGCAAGGAACAAGGTAGTAAGGAGAGAAACTCACCTGAATGGAATGAAGATGTGGTGTGGGAGAGGAACGAACACAACGAGGAAGTAAAGAAGGGGGGGGGGGGAAAATGGAGAGAGGGAGAGGAGAGGGAAAGCGGTAGCCAGTGCTCCGTTACCCGTAGTAGGACGTAGTTAGTGGGGACCTGGCAGTAACTTACCGTCAACCAGAAGAAACGCAGCGCTTACGGCTCCAGCCATGACCCGGAAAATAGAGTCGATGAGTCTGTGACGGTATTGTGACTGACATGCGTGACTTAACAGCCTTGCAGCCTCTCTTCTCTTCTCTTTTACCCAAATCAAGTACTCCAAGCCTATCTGCCGTGCTCGACACAGTACGGTTACCCTGCCTATCGCCTCCCCCTCGCTACAAGTATGAGTCGGATTATCCCATGAATTCCAATCACGATCGAGTTCTCGAGTTCTTCCCTCAATCCCCGACCCGCCGTTGCATCTTGCAGAAACTCAAGGCCGGGCAGAGAGCAGGCATGCAGGCATGGTTGACGTGGTCTTGTCTCATCTCGTCTGCTCACACTGCCACTGTGCCACTGCAGTAGTCGACTTGATTGTGCCTACAGTAGAGTCCTCCGTACCATGGACCTCGGATCGAGATCTCCCGCCTGATGATTCGATCTGGTGGCCTGTCGAATTATCCCTCATGACCCATCATCCTATGCACCCAAAATCTAGTCGGTCCATCCAAACACAAAATCATTATCAATCCCCTAACCACACAAGACAAGACACAAGCCAGGATTGGAAGGTTGACCGCCTCCTAAAATTTGAGGTCAGTCATTGAGAGATTTTTTTTTTTTTTTTCATCAATAGGTTGCGTCGCGTTGACTACCGTAGACAGTTGACAACATCCCAGCCCAGCCACATTGCGTTGCGTCATGCGGGTCACCACAAAAAATCGCTCGCCTGGCAGGACAGGTTCCTGATCGGCGTTCTGGGCCCGGACACGAGAGAGTGGGGTGGGGAAGGTAAAAGCCCGGAGGCCATTGAATTTCTGTCTCTCATTCAATTCCTCCCCCCCATCCATTGCGAGTCGCGGTTTCTTGGAGGCTTGCATTCTTTGTCCTAACCTTATCTGAAACGGAAAATCGGTCTGCTTGATGCAGTAACAGTAGTAGATAGTCTCGCAGCAGCAGCAGCCGTCCATGTACTGTAAAGCATGGGTAATCTCCCCACCCACGGGTAGATTGAGCCTGGAGGGGTGGATGCGCTTCCAGTCTTACACATGATGTATTTCTGAGGTTCCTAATTGGGTTAACCCGCGCTGACCGCCTGAGGTCATTCTGCTGGTCGTTCCTGAGCTTGTTTGGGCGGTGAAGACAGGGTCCCGGCTGTATGCAGCACGTGATCTCTTTCTTTCAACCTCCCAACACAAACACTGACTGTTTTTATTGTTTATTGAGAGGCAATGAGTGATTGTTGCTGCTCAATGGGGTACAGCTTTGTTCAGACTCACTTCTTACTGCTGATAATACAAGGGCCATTGTGTTGCAAAGACCCTATATTTTTCTAATTGAGGAGTTTCAGGCATAATAGAATACTTTCTGTGGAAGTTTATATCCATCTGACAATAATTTAGGAGTTTACTACAAGATCTCATGAAACAAAGGCAAGAAGAATCAAAGAACGAAAGAAATATCAACCACATTGAATTACACTGTATCAGAAAAGTCTATTGACCAGCCATGGCCATGATCTCATTCATTGTACACAGCAGAGAAAACCCGTTCACGCTGATGCTGATGCTGATGCGGACCTAGAAACCAGTTCCCCCCGCAATGCATAAAAGTCAAAGAACCACAAGAAGCCACGAGACCAGCACGCAGCCCGCTCAAAATCACCCTACCAAGTACATCACCTACCGAGTAAATCCCTCCGCCGCAAGGCCCTACGAGCTGCCTCTCTCTGATCGGAGATCTCATCGACCGGCGACGCGACTCGGGAGACAGGGCACTGGCTGGGCGTGACGACGTGGACCGGCCGTCTGGCCTGCACGGGATGGACCGACTTACCAGTTTTCCAATCCCCCTGGTTCAGGATCCCATCTTCATAGGAGGAGGTGCTGCGTACACAGGCCTCCACTTCCGCATCGTTCTTGAAGAACGGCCGTCGGTTTCCGCTGCTGGGGATGGTGGGCTGCGGCTGCTGCTGCTGCTGCTGCTGCATCTGTAGTAGTCCCGGTCGTACTGGAGACTGTGGTGGCCGAGGAGGCACCGGCAACGGCTTTCGCGTCACCGGCTGCGTCAGCTCCATGCGCTTCTGCTGGTCAGCCACCCACCGCTGCGTCCGCTGGTAATGCTCATCCTCCAGCGCTTGCCGCTCCAGCTGCCCTCGCTGACTCGGACCAAGGCTATGGCCCTGGTACGGTCGAGGCTTGGTATTAACCGGAATATAACTCCACTCGGACCCCGACTGCGCGGCCGCAGAGGTCGTTGCCCGTGCCCGCGCATTCACAGCCGTCGGGCCGTGGGTGCCGGGTCCGATGCCCGGAGCGGTGTTCGTACGGACTGCGCCCCGCCTGGGAAACTCGAAGCGTTGCTCGAGAGTGGCGCCCGTGGACGCTTGTTGTTGCTGTTGCTGCTGTTGCTGCTGCTGGCCGTGGTGCTTGACTGCGTTGGAGCGGCGAAGGCCACCGCCGGCCCCCTCCTGCTGCTGCTGACTCGCGTCAGTGGTGATTTTGCGACCATGCAGTATGCCTTTCAACGATGGCATTGCGAATGATGAAACGGCGGTTGCTGCTGACTGGGTGAGATACTGATGTACGTGTTGTGTACTGGGTTCAGCTTGGTGTGCTGTGGGAGTCGATCTGTAGATGTAACAGTATATCTGGTATAGACCTTGTAGACTGAAATTAGACCGCGGGTATGTGTGTACCAAGTATGTAGTGTTTTGAGAAATATTGAATAATTAACGACGAAGAGGGGCGCGCCGGAGGGAACAGACAGAACATATATATTCCGTTAGTACAGTGTACCTGACAATTGAAGCGGGCTTGAACCATGGTGGAATAAAGCGTCTGTCGAAAATCTCCTGCAAACTCTTCACTATCAAAGTGACAAGAAAACAAAGCTTTTGTGCGGGAGGTTCCGTTTGTGATGAAAGAATAGTGTCGACACTCTGGCAGTTGAGGTACCGTGGTCGACAGTACAGTACACCACTCTAACCAGCTTCCAATTGTACCTCTTTCCTATTCATTGCCTACCTAGGCACTAAGATTGTTATCACCCCCTCTTGGCTTCACGGTTCGACACGTATCACAAGAAGGGTTACAAGACATCACTATTATGCAGATACTCGGAATTAAAAATGTATAGTACAAAGAAATAGAAAGTACGAAACAGAAGAATATGGCCTGGACATTGACTGACCCGAGTCAATCCGTTTCTGCAATTACAGCCACAGAATCCACCGAACGCCCGAGAGAAATCCTCGAAAGATGCCCCGAAGCACCTTGAAAGCCATGACGATGAGCCAGACCCACCACAGCATACCAACGAGCGCCCACTCGAGCATGACAAACCCGGTACGTCGGACCCAGCGCAACCTGCGATGACGCCTGCGCATACCTTTGTCGAGGGTATCGCTCAATTGCTTCACCGCAAGGGTGCTGGTGGTGTTGAGCTGAATGCTCAGATCTTCGGCATCTTGCGTCGCTGCCTGAACGCGAGGGCTGATGCTCTCATTGACTATCTTCTCGAGTCTGCTCAGCTGAGCATTCAGTGGCGATGACACTGAGCCCGAAAAGTTGTCCATGGCCTGCCGGAAAGCACGGTTGGTTTCCTCAAATCTCTGGAGTAGTCCCTGCGCCGCTGCATCATACTCGCAGAGTCGAGTCACCCGTGGCACGGGTACGGAGGCATCACCATATGTGCGCAGAAGGAACTCAGGAGGTGGCTCACGCACAGTGCCGGCCCGGCGGGTGATTTCCCGGGCCTTGATTCCCGAAGTAAGGAGCAGTGCTCGAGTTCGTTCAACCTCGCGTTTTCCAGGGATACCACTGACAAGGGCAGTGGAGAGACTGCGATTGGAGATGCTCCAGCTTTTGGACTGGGCATCTAACACAGGGCGCCTGTTTTGCGACGCTGGGGAAGCTTCCACCTTGGCCTGCGCAAGACCAGTAATAGGTGGTCGGGTGAGACTGAAAGGTACAGATTGATCCTTGATCCGGCCTTTCTGGATTTGTTCCCGGATTGTATGTATTTCGGGTCCGAACAATTTCTCGAGGCGCGTGGGTGGTGCGTGGACATTTGTATTGCTTGAGAGGGATGCGGAGAAACTCCCAACATCCCTCTGGGAGCCGTCCATGTTGTGGTAAATATTAGTGTCCGTAGAGTGGCCTGTCAAGTCGGTTGAATCAGAGCTTTGAAGTTGAGTAAACTGCTCCTGTCCAGCAGGTGCCGATAAATGTGGCGACAGCAACGCCTCGTTATGTGTACCGACTCTTTCCAGATTCTTGCGCGAAGGGCGAGTGCCATCATCTGCAAACGCAGGCAACCGACGTAAAAGAGATTTGGCGCCTGTCGTCTTGTCGCCTTTTATCTCCTCGGCCTCATCAGGATTGTCGGAGTCCGAACTGCTTAGGCTAGAAAGTGAGGTCTTGCGTGCCATCGCCATCGAATCTTTCTTCATGATACGATCGCCGACTTTCGACATCTCATTGCCGACTTTTTCGGCTATCTTCCCAGGTCCTTTGAGAATGCCACGTAGCCTTGACTCTGTTTGAGCGGTGTCCTTCCGCATCGGATATTGAGGTTTATCAAATTCATCCTGGTACGTGGATGACGTAGTCTGGTAGGTAAGGGGACTGGGTTCGAATCCAAGGCGACCCGTGGCTTCCGACACGCTATGTTGACGTACACCGTCCGTGTCTGGTAAATTCTCATCGACGTTGTCCTTGGCGCGAATGTTGCTCTTGCTGCGCTCGTGACGCGAGCCACGGGCCCGCGAAAAGCGTCCCTTAGAAGGTGATGGAGACCGGCTTGACGGGGGAGATAGATTGCTTGCAATACTAGGGAAGAACCCCAACTGGGAATGAATACCAGAGGACTTGTTATCGAGGGTTGCCATGTTCGTCAAAGTGTCGTAACGATCATCGATGCTCGGCACAGAGGACATAGAGCTTCGCTTCCCCTCTGATCTAGCGCGGGCCCCAGTTCTATGGCGGGGAAGGGGGCCATGGCTCGGGCTATACCTGATCCCTGTGAGACTGTCATCTTCAGAGATCGCCCCAGAGCTCCTTGTTTGGAATGCACCCAGCGTTGGCGGGTTATATTTCCCAGGAGATATTGTCCTGTCAGCGTGCATGTAACGGTGTAGCCGGTCATCCGCGCTGGACGTGCTCGCAGAGCTACTAAACAAGCCAAGCTTGCGGCTTCCCGGCTCCAAATCCTTGACGGAGACATCGCTATCATGCGTGCTGCGACCGGAAGTCCGAAACCTGTGCCGTTGCCTTCCACGTGCACCGCTTGTCAGACTAGGGTGAGCGTCGGATAAAGATGCACGCGAAATGTATTGCTCCGAGTCCATGGATTGTCGATGACGTTGCAGTTTCTCCTCCAGACTGAGATTGGCATCATCCATACCGACATCGATCAGTATATTCGGGTTCGGATAAAGGAGGTTTCCGTCCTTGTCAACCAATTTGCTCTTGTTGTGATCGTCTTCAACCCACGCAGCATCGGAAAGCATTTCTGCCGGATCAATTACCCAATCTGATCGCGGCCTACGGGCTTTGACACTGCTAGTACGGCTAGCACGCCTCAGGCTCGAAGGAGGAGAGGCTGCAAGATGATCAATATCCAGCTGATGTTCTGGAGGCACATGTTTCCGTGATTTTGGAAACGACGGAAGTTGTAGACGTTCCACGGCGCTGTGATTGCGATGGCTGTACAACGACTCCACAGAGTCAACCCATTCGTGTACCCGTTCGGTGTCATACCATCCTTCACCTTCGGTATCAATACTGCATCGCTCGCGAAATCTCACTTTCCTGTTACGGATACACTGGAGAGGATTGTATCTTCTGGCGGAGAGCTCGCCATTACTCGCGACTGATACCGAATCTGTAGCGGACGGGTCGAGATGCTCCAGAGGCGGAAGCGACGACAGAAGCCGTAGGTATTCGGAGAGCAGCTCAAAATGACGGCGGGCCTTCTCAGCCCGGATAAGAGTGCTCTCTGAAATCCCAGATGGCAAAGTTTCCGAATCAATCGACTGGGGCAGGAGACTGAGCACCGAGGATGGGGCATGGGCCGGAAATCCCGCCACTCCTTCTGGTATGGTGGGCTTGTTGTAGCGATCGCTCCACTTGTGCACTGCATCGTGATGTCGGGGGCTACCGTGGTGAAGGCCGCCCGCAGAAGTCACCGGCTGAATGTCAGGGTAAGGAGCAGCAGGCTGACCGGTCGACACCAGCCTCCGATTGCCCGGAAAGCGGTTGGACGCCGAACGTCCTAGACTGTTCCTTTTTCGGGACTCGCTCAAATTCAGCGCGAGATTGACGATCTGCAAGGAATCCCTGTCCAGGCCCATGGCAGCCTGGTTGTCCGGCGTCTCCGTCTTTGCCTGCTCCTGATGCGGTGCCGCATCTTCCGCCACATGCGAAGAAGCAGTAGCTTCTTCTTCAGCCGTTTGGCCCTCAGCCGAGTCCGGTTTCTGTTCCTTCTGACGACTCCACGGAAATCGCGATCGCCTCTTTGACACCTCCAGACCCGGTTCAGAAGGAGCTTCTCGTTTCTCTTTCCGATTTGACCCCGAACGGCGGAGGAGTTGATGATGGCTGCTTTTCAAGCTCTTGGAACTGGGTAGGAAGGATGAGTCAACAAAGAATCCACTGGGGCCGTGTGTCCGTCGCTGGGCTCGACTTGTTGTCTTATCTCCATCTCGAGAGCTACTGCCTAGCGTGCTCCCCTCCAGCTCCCCGCTCGCCCGTCCCTCGTTCATCTGCGGCTCTCTTAGTCGAATGGAGGCGTCATGAGGATTGCTTGAGGGTTGACGAGATTCCGACAACGTGTCATTCGGGCCAGGAGTGGGAAGGGATGCGGTGGGCGGTTCATCGGTCTTGGGCGACATTAGAACCAGGGTGACGAATTGGTGGTCCGTCCCGCCGGAGTAAATAGGGGGGTCGGCTCACAGGGTGAAGAGGACATGGAGATGCCCAAGCAGAGTAGTGCTAAAAGTTGAACATGGCACTGTAGAGCACAGGCAAGAAACTAGGGGCAACACAATAGTGCACGTTCGTCGGTCTGTGCTGTTGAGACAACGTTAGTCGTACATTTCGATCCCCCCAACTGCATCATGCGGCGGAGCACGTGGAGCTGCAAACATGGCAAACAGCCACTGCCGGCGGACGATAAGTCAACAATACTGAATGACGTTGTAATCATTTAAATCGTGGAACTACAATACTGTACAGTCTCACCGTTCTGACATACAAAGGAAACATCTAGCATTGGGTCTAACAACGCATGTGGGAACTAGAGGTACAATTCCTGTAGGAGGAGGAAGAGGAGGCATGAGATACAAGAAAACTAAACAAACGCTGAGGGTATTGGTTTACTCCACCCTCAGGCACTGTAGACGCGCTTCAGTCTCGATGACCTGTAAGAATAAGGTGTGTTAGCTTGAACTTCGAAAGGGAACAACGTGTCATAGCTACTGCATCAGGATTAGTCTTACCTCTAGGGCTTGCTTCACTTCCAACACTCGGCGCACTTCACCCAGCCAATCCTTGCTCAGAATCTTGGCCCAGCCCTTGAGACTGTTCATCTCACGAGCGGCGCCATCAAGGTTGCCCTCTTCCAGAAGGCTCTCGGTCCGGCAGAGAACACTTTCAACATCATTGCTGCCAGCAACAGCATCCTTCTTGAACATTACCTTGCTCAGAACGAAGCTGGCAGCATGGCTGGCAATACCCGCATCCTCAGGCAAGAGGCTTGCCTTACGGACCTCATCGGCTACCCGACGGAAGCGCTCGATGATCTGAGATGTGGAGGGAATACCACGCTGGTAGGCGGTGGGGTTGATCGAGGCGATAGCCGCATCAACAACGGGGTCCTCAGCAGCCAACTCCTTCACGGCAACAAGCTCGCGCACGAACGGGCGAGGAACCACAGAGCGCTCAAGGACCGAGCGGACAGCATCGACAGCAACTTGCAATTGCTGGGTCTTGAGGTTGGTGTCAATGACCTCTCTCCAGCCGGTGGTAAGCTGCTCCAGCTCGCTGACATTGGCAGTCAATTCATTGAGCTTGCTGAGGCGGCCTTCGCGCTCACGCTCCACCAGATCCTTCACCTCATGGAGGTACTTGCGGTTAAGCTCAATGGCTTGCTCGACCAGCTCGTTCTTAAGACGCTGTTCAGCCAGCTCCTGGGCTCTCTGCAACTCTGTGCGGATCTTCTCCTGGTAAGCGCGAGCAAGCTTCTCACGCTCGGCCTCGAATTCTTCGCGATACTGAGCGGCGTCGGTGGCACGAGCTTCCTCAAACCGACGGATGAGCTCGCGCGCGGATTCGTCGAAGGTAGCGTGGGCCTGGTTGATCTCCTCCTGAGCAGCACGGCGCGCCTCTTCCCGGACAGCGATAATCTTATCGCCAATCTTCTGGAGCTCCTCCTTGGCCTTCTCAACGGGCTTGGAGAACTTCGGGGCACTCTCGTCGGCACTGATCACGGTGATGATATCATTGAAAGTCTTCACCAGTTCCTGGACGATAGCCTCATCGCCTTCGTTGACCTTGGCGAACTCGAGAGGGGTCACTGCGGGCAAAGCAGGTTGTCTGGGTTCCTCCTTCTCGACCGGCTTAGGTGCCTCTTCCTTAGCAGCCTTCGTCTCCTTGGCCTTCTCGACCGCGGCGGTCTTCTCCTCGGGCTTGGCAGCGGCAGGCTTGGCTTGCGCTTCGCTGCCCTTGTCCTTCTGAACGGTGCTCATGTGGGGGCCCTTCTGCGAGATATCAGCTCCAGCTGATTCCTCCTCGGCAACCTTCGAGGTCAATCCGCTCTTGCTGGGGATCGTGATCTGGTTGCTCTCATCCCTACGAGTAGGGAAGCGGACCTGGCTCTTCAGGGTGTTGGGGAATCGGCGGTAGAAGTCTCGTTCTTCAAAGTATAGGACGCTCTCTTCACCGTAGGGGATATATTCGGTGAAGAAGTCATGGAAGTTGTCGAATTTGAGAGCCAAGAAGATGCCACCACCGTAAGCGAAGCCCGAAGTCAGAAGCAGGTAGAGAAGGAATCGGCGGAAACGGCCACCCTTCTTGGAAGCTGGGGTGGGCACGACGGGAGGGACCTCGGAGCCTGTGATCGGATCAGTTTGCAGTTCTTGCTGTGTGTTCGAGTGACGATGGCAACAGTACCCTGCTCGGTCGGCTCCGGCTTAGGAATGACAACCTCCGGGGGCACAGGCGACGCGGAGGACGGGGTGACAGGAGTGGGGGCACCGGTGGTGGGAGGTCTAGCATCGGCAAAGAATCTCTGGCGAGCGTGAAGGACACATTAGTGATCAATTTGCCATGAATGAGTCCGCAAGACCGAGGATGCCGTCACCGTACCTGATTCGAGAACCGGCTGCTTGCTCCAGCTCTGGACAGCCATTGCGCGGCCGTCCTTTGGCGAGCGGAGGACAGTAGCACCTGGCGTCCCGTGGCAACAGAAGAGCGCAGCATCGTGGGCCGCACTACTGTGGAGGAAAGCGCTGGGAGCGAGAGAAGTTGAGGGGTTGATGTTGACGAAGGTGAAAACGCGGACCGGAACTGGAACTGGGATTAGTAGGTGCTTTTACGATCCGCTCCGATCCTGCACCGCCAAATAGTGGCTCAGTCAGCTCGGCCTTGGTCGCACCGCCCGCCCGCTTCTCCTGTTACGACATTACGACTGCAGTGTATAGGCATAGTCCATCATCCATTGGTGAAAGCAGCTTCACTCGAATACTACATCTGTTTCATATCCGCTGAATGAGTCTACCATAATCTAGAGAAATATGATCAAGGTACAGCTATTGTGAACGGTTCTTGTTCGACCTCTCAGTGCGCCGGTGAAGAGAGCCACATGTGCGCAATTCAAGATCAAATACGTCATCCCAAGAGCAAGGAAGATTATTGAAGTATTATATAGGCATAGCATACTGAGAAACTCTGAGGGTAAAAAAAAAGAAAAACGAGAAGAAGAAGAACAGCTCAACCCATAACAAAGGATACAGACGCCAGCAATAGGAAAACACAGAGGGAACAGATCAGAACACCGATTATCCTAAGCTATCTCCTGCAGCATGGAGGGGACTTCACCAGAGCCAACTGTACCCGTGTACATGGCCAGATTTGGGTGTCACAAGTGGCATGGATAGCCCTCGAGAAGATGGGCTCAGAAGCCTTGAGAAGTGGGCGACAGAACTGTAGAATAGCTTCTCGGATTAGGGGGCCACAACGAGAAACCGGTTGTTGTTCCGTGCCAAACCAGGTCACCCAAAATTCGGCTAGGGATGCCAGATGACCATTTCTTCGGGAACATATAGCGGCCATGCTCAGCTGCCGATTGAAGTCGTCAGGGTTTGCACCGGAATTAAAGTTCAAGCTCAGGCAAGAGAAGCACGTCTTTCGCATCTAGACAAACAAACCAACGAAAGCTAAAACACCCATGGATAGAGAGAGGCATCACAATGCTAGAATTGAAAAGGCAGATTTGAAGGCGATATCTAGCAGTTGCAGGCGCCCGCGCCCTGAGTACCAGGGGCTTCTGGCCGCAAATCGACACCGGGACGGGGGGCAGCGCGCAAGTTCCGTGGGCCTGCTTGATCGAGAGGCAGCTTTTTCGCAATAGCGGTGAACAATTCTCGCACATTAGATGACGTCTTGGCCGACGTTTCGAAGAATAGCAGACCGGCTTCACGTGCATAGGCTTCGGCATCAGCGGTCGCGATCGCGCGCTTGTCGGGGTTCTCTGTTACAAGATCGAGCTTGTTGCCTGCCAGAGCGATGACGATGTTTTCGTTCGCTTGCCTCTGTAGTTCCTTCACCCATGACTTGGCCTTATCCAACGACGACTGCTTGGTCATATCCACGTTAGCATTTCCGCGCGATCATGCTGGTCCGAGAGAACTCAAAGGCCGTACCGCTTGAGTAATGTCGTACACAACAACAGCGCAGTTCGCATTCCGATAGTACATGGGGGCCAAGGACTTGTATCTCTCCTGACCGGCGGTGTCCCATATTTCGAACTTGACCGTCGTGCTTTCGTCCAGGGAGATTGTCTGTGTGAGGAAGGCGGCGCCAATAGTCGACTCGCGGTAATCATCGAATTGATCCTATCTCATATGAGCTCCGCCCCTGGGGGTCAAGAAGAAGCCATCTGGCTGTGAACCAACCTTAACAAATCTCAGGACTAGCGAACTCTGCCAAGTAATGAGAACATCAGCGACCGCCCGAACAATGACTTCAACGACTTATTCACCTTTCCAACGGCACTTTCTCCTGTTTCAAACATAGACCACAAGTCAGTCTTCATTTTCCGACGAATTTGAGTGGGGCTGTAGTCAGGGGGAAGCTAACCAAGCAACACCAGCTTGAACTGAGCGAATCTGGCACCGGGACGGGCACCTGCTGCGGCTCTGGTGGCCATAATGAACGGAGTCGGTAAAACAACTGTTGGAGACTGAAGAAAGGGAAAAAGGCGATACCGTAACTGGCGGTGGAAGCGTGGCAGAAGAAGCAGACCGGGAGTGGAAAGTTCAAGAGTGCAAGAAGAGATGAAGATACTGGAAAGGCGGGATCGGGACGCTGGGGGAGGTTTGATGGCGGCCTGCCGTCGACGGCGGTGGTTGAGATGACGAAGGGGGTTCAGCCACACCTGGCTTAAGCCGACTGGCCGATGTGCGGGTGGGATGTATACTAGGTACGGAGTACTTACAACAATTTCTCTGCAAATCGCCCCATATGGGAGCTGCTACTTTTATAAGGGCTCTTCACTATTACCATGTGTCATGTAATAAACTATTTTCGCACATTATGAATCATCCATGCTTGTTATTCCTTACTTGCTATTCTAGCTGGTACATGGGAAACTGCCACTCGTGAGCGGAACGACATGGCAGAACCTCCAAAAGCGGAGCTGGCTGCCACGGAGCCGACAAGGCGGGTTTTTGAGGCAGAATGTCAGGTGGTAGTGTTAGGTGAGGGGGAATCTATACAAGGTATAAATTGGAAGGCATACTGTACAATATCTAATCCAGCAAAAATTGGATCCTCTTCCAGTCTCTTCCACTGGCCATTACAATCTCACTATGTGCCGCAATACGTCCCGGGTGCTCGGGGAGCCCTCCACGATGCCACGTAATCCTCCAATAATCCTCCCAACTTCCAGCTAGGGGCTGTGTGTAGTGTACAGTACCACCGGGTTTCTTCTAGCCGAGGGGATAAATACCAGTATCATTTCTCCTTCGCTTTCATCTGCATCTTACCTGTGTTTACTGACTGTGTTCACTTTCTGTTATGTAAAATCGAGGTTCTAATGTACCGATCTCCAGGATGCCTAAGCAACCAGTTTGCTTCTCTGAATTGGCTAGCCTCAAAGCGACCACTGCTCTGTCCCTTCTAACCCGTTATATTCGTTATATCTTCTCGCCCCGAAAAGACCTGGGAGTTATCTTCAACGACTAGCGATGTTCTCTTCTCAGTGGACATCCGTGCCACGGGAGTTTCCATCTTCTGGATTTATGTTACTTGACTCGTCCGTACATCTTGAAGAAGAGACTTTACCTACACATCAAGCCCAAAAATATTATCCAATCCAACAGGGGGAAGTAATCAACAATCGATATCAGGTATTAGCTAGGTTAGGCTACGGAGTCACGTCCACTGTATGGTTTGGTCGTGACTTGGTGTAAGTACAACCAGTTCACTAGACTTGTTGTTCTTCGGGGGGTTGTTGATAATGCGATACAGTAATTCCGGCTATGTTGCTTTGAAAATATACATGACGGGCGAGAACAGGGATGATGAACTGAAGATCTATAATCGTTTGAACTCAGTGGAGATCGAAAATCCCGGTGAAAGATTCATTCGAAGATTATTCGATCATTTTATTATTACGGGTCCCCATGGTCAACATGTCTGTCTCGTTCACGAACTTTTTGGGATAAGCGCGAGTGAGCTGCTGGAATGGATTCCTGGCAAAGTAATGACTCTTGAGGATATGCAGATTTGTATTCGACAGTTACTGGTGGTGTTGGACTTCCTACATTCTGTCGCTGGTGTAATCCACACGGGTACGTGTTTGATTTCCGGTTGGAACGATATCGAGGGGCTGAGTTGCATAGATCTCCAACTCAAGAACTTGCTTCTTCCCACACCAAAGCCAGAGGCGCTTTCGAACTTTGAGGAAGAGGAGATAAGAAACCCATCGGCACGAAAGGTGCTTCAAGACCGTACGATCTACAGGGCCGCCCGCTTCCCTCCTGGAGACGGACTACCACTTCTCAGTGATTTTGGTGAAGCTCGGCTTAGCAATAAACAGTACACCGAAGATATTATGCCGAATCCTCACAGGGCGCCTGAAGTGATTCTGAGAGCAAGGTGGGATTATAAAGTTGATATTTGGAATATCGCCATGGTTGTAGGTACACTACATTTATTAGGCAGTCGTCTAATTTTAATTTATGGGGACTGAGAATATGCTAATCCGTATGCTGAAGGCATGGGATATCGTGAGCTCCTCTACAATCATCAACGGCAGAAATCCAGAGGGTATATTTGATGATCGTGCCCACCTTGCAGAACTGGTAGCACCCCTAGGATGTCCACCACCTGACGACTTCCGTGAACGAAGCCATCTCAGTTCTGTTTTCTGGGACGACTCCGGCACCTGGAAAGAATTAGCCCCGATTCCTGATATTACATTCGAATCTTTAGCTGCCAACATCAAGGGGGAGGACAAGGATGGGTTCCTACGATGAATTCGACGGGCTTTGCAATGGAACCCCTCTGACCGGCCGACAGCCTTGGAGCTCTTGTATGATGAGTGGTTGATGAAGGGACTTGAATAAGGGAAACGAGAGCGAGCCACTCAGCCTTGACCTGCTTTTCTTTTCTTCTCTCTCTCTCTCTCTCTCTCTCTCTCTCTCTCTTTTTTTTTTTTTTTTTTTGCCTATCTTCGGTGTAATCACTGGGTGTTGCTGTCCTGATTTCTGTACTCTGCTCAATATACTTCTTAGAGATGCCAGATACCGAGTACTTTTTACCTCTATCTATAGTAGGGAGAAGGTAAGCTAGATATACCTACATAGTCTTGCCGAGGCCCTTACCAAGAATATAATGAAGTATTGTTGTTGCAAGCTGTGCTATATTTGGCGAAGGGCTTGGGTGTCTCTTGAACTCTGATAACAGTTCCGATCAGGCCGAGTGTACATAGTAGTAATTATATGTACAATAAATAAGCAGAATACTTAGCAGCTCAGCTACTAGTCGACAATGTACAGCCCATCAATGAACCCATTTCTTCTCACAACTTCACCTCCCGTTCCGTGATATATTGCGCCGGCCACACGCCTGACTTGCCCGGGGCGAGGATCCCCTTCGGATCTAGCGCCTGTTTGATAACCTCGTGGACCTTCAACAGACTGCCATTGTTCCAGTTGTAGGTCCCCATCACCTGGTCCATGACCGCCAGGTGGGTCCGGTACTCTCCCCAACCGCGCTCCGCACAGTCGGCAATTAGTCTCTTGATCAGAGTGAGCGCCTTGTTCCGCTCCACCGGCGAGGTTCTATCGTAGACAATGCACACAATATGGTCTAGGGGCAGTTAGATCGGGATTCCAGGGTAGGAGAGAAGAACAGGCGCGGGGATGAGGGGCAAACTCACGCATCTCTCGCATTCCAACGGTAAAGGTACCTAGAAAGTCCAGGCCGACCTCTTGACACCGCTGCTTGGTCAGGATATATTGCGCCATAGCGTCGTCCCCGGTCACTTTAGCAATAGGGGAGAAAAAGAGATGGGCCCCATTAGGTACCCAATTCACCCACTTGAGTTCCTCGTAGGTGGGAATTCCCTGCATCGTTAAGTGGCGGATGCGCAGCACCGAGTTCTCCGGGGTCTCCTCCGGGAAATAGAATTTGGCTCCGGGGATCGCGGAGAAGGCCGCTTTGATGGCCGCCCAAAGAGTCTGGCGGATTGGTCCAGGTCCCTTTGGAGATTTTTGCGGTGGGTTAGTTTCAGTACGACCTGGTCAACGAAGAAGTGACGGGTGTATGTTGGGGGCTCGAGAGCAAGCAAGACCTACGTAGAGCGCCCCGTAAAAGTTCCACCGGCCCAGACTCAGTTTCTTAGCAATCACATCCAGCGCCTTGTCGGACAGTGGACCGTCAGTGTCAGTATACGCGGTTCGAGGGGCCAGGACGGCCGCATCAAGCAGGATGTGGCGGATGGTGGGCACGTTCTGGAGGGTCATGGTGAGGCGCAAGGGCCGGATGATATCGACCGCGCGGTGCAGATCCTGGTCCCGGGGCAGGGTGATCAGATAGGATTGGTACCCGCCGGGATTGGGCATGAGCCACATCCCAATCTTGGTGACCACTCCCAGGTTAGACTGCGTGAACAGGCCATCCAGATAGGGACCAAACCCGTAGGGAAACAGGGCGGCGGTCGGATTCCAGGGCTGGGTTTCGGGCTTCTTGGACTCAGAACCGTCACGGCTTTCGGGGTGTGGCAGGGCACCCATGCCCGTGCGCACCAATTCCCCGGTTGGCATTACCACCTCCATCCCCGAGTGCATCATGTAGTGATCTCCGTACGGGGTATATCCAACTCCCCGCTCCAGCATGTTGCCTAGGATCGACCCGCCACCGAGGTCGGGGACATCGATCCATACTTTCTCACGCAGGTTGTGCTGAACGAGGTAGTTATGCAGGTCATGGAAAGTGACACCTAGATATCAGAGAGAGTTAAGTCTGGGAGGAGAGGGAAGTGTTCGGGGGGAGAAGAATGTATGCGAATGCAAATCTCCTACCTGGCTCCACAATACAGTAGGCCCCTTCAACATTGACCTCCAGGATCCGATTCATGCTCTTCCCCATGTTGAGGACGACAGATCCCCGAACCCGAGGGGCAGCACCCCCGTATCCCGAGTTTCGACCGATTGAAACTGGCCACAGTGGGACTCGAAATGCATTGGCAAGGCGTAAAATCGCTCTGATAAAAGACAATCAGTCTGCGTCTTGTTCGTAGGTTCGAGGGATGGGGGTAAAAAACAACTGGTGGAATACTCACTGAACATCTGCAACATGTCGCGGTGCGACGGTAGCTGAGGCAAGGAAGGTATCAGGAGCAAGAACGGGATGAGGGTCAACAGAATACCGAGGCTTCATATATGACCCCGGATCTAATTGTTCCTCCGTCGCGATTACATCGACGTTCTCTGCACCAACGAGCCGGGTTACCTTGTCCAAAAAGATATTAAATACCTTGGCACTCAGCCCGGGAGGAAGGGCTAATGGTTCAAGCATTGTGTATCGCTAATTTCCGCGGAATCGTCGATTGCTGGATGCTCATCCAGGCCGAACGAACTTCTCTGATTAGATTAATGGAGGGAGGCACTTTTCCTTTTTCTTCAAAAAGTGGATGACCGGGGGTGCCAGTAAGTTTATATGCGATGCAAGCATCTTTGGGGATAGAATCCGGTAGTAAGAATGATGGTGCAAGCAAGCATATCAGCCGACGTAAAGAATAAACACTCATGGCGTACGTAACGTAGTGCTGAAGATCAGCATACCGGCGGGTCAGAAGCGGAGATTTGAAGCGGGGGTGGGAATTTCCCCGCTGCCACCACGGCTGCGAAAAGCGGAGGGGGCATTAAGTTCCGAGCCAGTACCAAGGTACATCACTAGCATATATGTATGGTTGGGAATTTTATAGTTGTAATTTCTGTTTAATTAGAGATTTGCGTGGGTTGTGAGAGACTAGCGAGTACAGATCATTATCAGTCACCTCGCTGTCATCATTGAGAAACATCCCCCAAGCGTACCACTAATTTCCCATCTAGCTGATCGATCTGCCCCGCATAATGATTGAGGTCGATCAAGTCAATAAGGACAATTGGCGGCTTTACCAGACCGCGGATGACAAATTGGACCGCCTCAAGGACATCTATGCGATTCCCGGTGATGCTGCCGACGAATCGAATACCATAGTCAATCAGAGTAAGGGGGTGAAAGGAGACTTTCGACGTTGGTGGGGGGATCCCCACGGCGACCAGGACCCTAAAATAGGCTAAGCACGGCAGGGCATCCTCATACGCGGCAGCAGCTCCGGCACAGACAAGTACAGCAGCGCAGAGATCACCACCCGTAGCACGAAGGAGATTGGTTCGGAGATCTGGCTCGGCCTCCTCATAGTCAAGATAGACATCTGCCCCCGCCACCAGACAGATGGCTCTTCGTTGAGGGCCCCCGCCGTCAATGGCCACCGTCCGATACCCCATGGCCTTGGCATATTGCACTGCCAGGGAGCCCACGCCGCCTGCCGCCCCGGACACACCGATCCACGACCCAGGAGTAACGTTGGCTACCTTGAGGGCCTTGTAAGCTGTCACCCCGGCGCACATGATCGGGGCCAACAGCTCGCTGGTACCCTCTTCAGGCAGAGGCACCAGGTGCCGTTCCGGGACGACCGCATATCGGGCTAGCGTGCCGGCCATATCTCGACCACTGAAGACCTGGGTGGTGCATCTGGTTTCGCCCGCCCCCGCACTCATGCAATTGGGACATGCGCCACAGGCATCGCGGATCCAGCCGATTCCAACTCGTTGGCCTACCACCGCGGCTTTGGCTTCACACATAGCGCCTACGGCCACGATTCGGCCAAATCCCTCATGGCCCAGAATAGTGTTACAAGGGCCGAGATGCCCGCGGGCGAGCGAGAGATCGGTACCGCCAGAAACCCATGACTTCCAGACAAACAAGGATTTCTCGAGGCTGGATGGTTGGAATCGTTGCAGTCGTGATTGCAAAAGGTGAAATCAACTCCTTGCTGTTCAAGTATAGCCAGTAGTGTTCGACCAACGCCCCTGAGAAAGGGACTATGAGACAATAGGCTGTTTACTTACATTTTTGAGAATCGCTACCGGCTGCTCCGCCATTGTGGTTTCACGTATGGCTTGATGCCGAGAGCTGGGAGCAATGATCGCATTGGAAGATATCTGAGCCTTCCAGCTGGAATACGTGTGAGGTTCACATTAATATTGTTCCGAGGCTGGGTAGTGGAGAGGCATTTTCCCACCTCCGCCCCACCGAACAAGCCATAAAGACAAGGCGGGGGTGTGATTTTCCCGCATGGCTCCCGCCCCGCTGGTGGGGATATCCCGCCGCTAGTCCATCTATGAAAATCCATCATTTCATGCTATCTTCAGCGCTATGCTTTCAGGTCTCTTCTTCTTCTTCTTCTTCTTTCCCTTCCTGTTTTGGGCTTCTTCCGCTTAAGTCTCTCGAATCTCTTTCGATATAGGCATAGAACACCCCAGTCTTCTGCAGTAGAACGGTGTGCGCTACCATCGAAAAGGTTACAATGTTCTCTAACATCATCCGCTCGGAACAACGACATGGGGGAGACACAGTGACGGTCACTGACCCTCGAACCCTCACCGAGCTTTGGCCGGTCCCAATGGCCACTGAAAACGACTTGGACGAGGCGGTACAGGCAGCCCGTGAGGCATTCCCCATCTGGAAAGCCCGGCCTCTGGAAGATCGACAGCAATGTCTGCACCGGATGGCAGACGAGCTGGAGACTCGACAAGACGAGCTCCGTCCTATCCTTGCCAAGGAGTCAGGCAGATCGGTATGCACATTCCCCCTTTAGCCCATGTTGTGTAAGGGGCTGACTAATAGAGACCGACGTTGCAGGATGTCCTGGCGAAAATTGAGATTGACGATGCCTTGCGGTTCCTCCGGTTTAATGGTTAGAACAAGAAGAAAACAAAGACTCTACTTCTCTTTCTCTCTTTCCCTCTCTGTCAGAGCAAGACTAATCAATTGAGGATTCAAGCCGCCCAGTCATGACCCGATAAGGTCGAGTATGAGGATGAATCCGTCCGAATCGTCTTCACGTATCCTCCGCTGGGGGTGGTCGGCGCCATATGCCCGTGGAACTTCCCGCTGGTGTTGGAGGTGGGCAAGGGTTTAGCGGCCTTGGTTATGGGCAACTGTGTGATCGTAAAGCCCTCCCCGATGACCCCGTACGCGACTCTGAAATTTGTTGAATATACACTAGATATCCGAGTACTCCAGGCGCTGAATGAGAGCAACGAGGTCGGGGCGCGCATGACCACCCATCCGGACATCGACAAAATCAGTTTCACCGGATCCACCGCCACGGGCCGCCGTATAGCAGAAAGCGCGGGGCGGTCGCTCAAGCGCGTGACGCTGGAGCTCGGGGGCAACGATGCCAGCATCGTCTGCGCTGACATCGATGTGAACGAGGTGGCCGCCCGAGTGGCCCAAGGGTGCTTCTTCCATGCGGGTCAGATGTGTGTGGCCACCAAGCGAGTCTACGTCCACCGCGACGTCCTGCCGCAGTTCCGCTCCGCCTTCATCGCTGCAGTTCAGAAGATCGTCATCGACCGCGCGGCCGAGCACTCCCCGCTATTCAGCCCGCTGCAGAACCGCATGCAGTACCAGATTGTTCAAGACTTCCTCGCTGATAGCGCCAAACAAGTTCACACCTTCTCTGTGGGCGGCCCCGAGCGCGACGGGAAACCGCTGCCGGGGTTGTACATCTCCCCAACCGTGGTGGATCGTCCGCCCGACAATGCCCGCATCGTCCAGGAAGAACAATTTGGGCCCGTTATCCCCATTCTTGAGTGGTCCGACGAGGCCGAGCTCATCCGCCGCGTGAATGCCACCGAGAGCGGGTTGGGTGCCTGTGTCTGGGCGCTCGATGTGGCGACGGCGGAGCGCATTGCACGCCAGCTGGAGGTCGGAACGGTATGGCTCAATAGTTTCGCAAACCCCCACCCCCATGGATACTTTTCGGGTTGGAAACAAAGTGGAATTGGAGGTGAATGGGGACGTCAGGGTCTGCTGTCCTAATGCCATACTCAAACCCTACAGTTTTACAAGTGGAGTCGAAAAATCATCAATCACTCACTGACGCCACGGCGCAAACGCCGCTGAAAACATGCGGATCTTGAAACCCCAAATTGAGGGCGCCATATCCGCCCAGTGGTCATTCGATTAGTACAACGACTAGGAAACAGAAAAAGAAAGATTGTAGTTAAATGCTAATAAAACCCTATCAAAATAAATCATCTTACAGTGTACCTGAAGAATAATCACATGAAAGCTTTATCTTCGTGTTAAAAATAGGTACAGTACAGGCAGGCACCAGTTTACTACTACTAATTACGTTGTTACCGTACGCCCCAGCTGCTTAGTAAGTAGAAAGCGCCGCCCCAGAATTAGTCTAGACTTAAAGCAGAAAAGGTAAAGTGACTTGATTTCCCGCAGTTGTTGGCCTGTCGGACCAAGTCGTACGTACAGTACACCCTTTTCTCGGAGGTCGTCATCATCACATTCAATCACCTTCTCCTCCCGCCTCCTCCTCCCACTTTCGAGATTACTACCTTCCTGCCTTGACTTTTGAGTCTTCCTTTCCTTAACTACGGTTCTTTTCAAGATATCATATCTTCTGCGCTATGCGCTAAGGTTCACTTCAGATTCCACTCTTTCTTGCTTTCTTTGATCGCTTCCCACTTCCAGACAACTACTCCCTTACGGGGTAAAACTCGAAAGTCATGGCGGCCTCCGTTTTACCGTTTCGCGACATCAATCTCCACGCTTCGTCCTCTCATTATGCCTTCACTTCTCCCTCGTCACCTAATGCCCCTACTCTTGTCGTCGAGCGTCCAACCGGTGACTTGCGTCTCACAAATGGCACCCTTTCCGGTGCGAAGCGTATTTCTAGTATCGCTGGTATACTGGGCATTATCAAGTTGAAACTAGGTATGCTCACTGTCGCGCTATGATTTTCGGGAGCTTGTTACTGATTGTGCTAGACAAATACATCATCGTCATCACCAAGGCTCAGCCCATGGGTAGGCTACGTGGCCACATGGTGTACAAAGTTGCGGCGACCGAGTTCCTCCCCCTGCGCGAGCGCCCTCTGCATGATTCCGACGAAGATACATATCTGGCACTGTTGAAGGAACACCTTCGTACTGGACCCATGTACTTCTCCTACGCCCTGGACATCACCAACAGCTTTCAGCGTCAATCACAAAGTGATCTTAGCCTTCCTATGTGGAAGCGAGCGGATGACCGCTTCTTCTGGAACCGCTTCATACAATCTGACTTAATCGACTTCAGCCTGGGAGAACATGACACGACTGGTGTGCGACTCGGCCCACAGCCAGGTGTTGATCCGTATATCCTCCCCGTCATGTTTGGGATGCTACGGATAACCCCGGCAAAGGTCAAGTCAACGGCGTTCACATTTGCCCTTGTTACGCGGAGATCCAGGTATCGTGGAGGCACAAGATACTTCTCACGTGGCATTGATGACCAAGGTCATGTCTCGAATTACAACGAGACCGAACAGATTGTCATTCTGAATGACGCAACGGGTGGCCTTTCTGGTTTCGCTGGAGGCCAGTCTCTAGCGAAGGACAAGTTAGGTGGCTCTGGCCAAGATCTCCAGGTTATGGCGTTTGTGCAAACTAGAGGCAGTGTTCCTGTGTATTGGGCCGAAGTCAACAATCTCAAGTATACACCGAAGCTTCAAGTCCGCGGAGTGGAGACTGCTGTTGACGCTGCCCGCAAGCACTTTTCCGAGCAAATCCGACTATATGGCGAAAACTACTTGGTTAACCTGGTGAATCACAAAGGTCGGGAAGAACGAGTCAAGAATGCTTACGAGCAGTTGGTCCGTATGTTAGTGTCGTCCTCCACCGAACACACCGAGGCAGATGACGCAACATCGGAAAAGCTACACGCTGTTGAGCCCGGTCTCAGACAAAACGAGATGGATAGATTGCATTATATCTACTTTGACTTTCACAATGAGACTAAGGGACTCAAGTGGCATCGTGCAGAGCTGTTGCTGGATCGGCTGATGGACGGACTCAATAGGGGTGGCTATTTCCGGGGAGTGGAAGACCCTGGTGTCCCTGGTGGACAGTTGGACATTCGATCCTCGCAAGCCAGCGTCGTCCGGACAAATTGCATGGACTGTCTTGACCGCACAAACGTGGTGCAGAGTATGCTGGGACGTTGGGCTATTACGCGTCAGCTCATCGATGCTGGAGTTCTACGCCCAGGAGAGGCTGCAAACGACGACCGTGAGTTCGAAAACCTCTTCCGCAATATCTGGGCCGACAACGCGGATGTAGTCTCAAAATCCTACTCTGGCACGGGCGCACTCAAAACCGATTTCACTCGCACAGGAGAGCGTACTCGCGCAGGCATGTTGCAGGATCTTAACAATTCTATTACACGCTATGTGCGAAACAACTTCTTGGATGGTCCCCGACAAGATGGCTTTGATGTGTTCCTGGGTGCCTATCTCCCTCCTGACTCTACATTGGGTAGCCTTCAGCTCTTTCTCGATCGCCGACCGCTCATCATCCAATCAATCCCATACATATTTGCTGCTGGAGTTTTTATGATCATGGTCTCAACCTTCACAAGACGCCTACCAGACTCCACTGTGTGGCCACTGCGCTTGTTTGTTATCTTCTGGCTTGTTGTCAGCGCCTGGTGTGCCCGATTTATACTTGCCCATGGGATGCTTTATGTAAGTTTCGGTGCCACACCTTCCAACGTGGTTTTGGGTACTAACGCAAGCGCTCCAGGTTAATTGGCCGAAATTGAACACACCCGCAGCTGGCTCTGAGGGGTATCAAGATGCGCTTATCAAGGCTCGGACGGATCCGATCATCGGCCAGTGGCTTCCTGTCAGAAGACACCAGCGAGGCTATAGCAACGCAAGACTGGTTTTCCTGGAGGAAGGCAAAACCAGGATCGAGTAGTTTCATTGACAAGCTTCTTATTGCATGACTTCTTGCACTACATCTTATAGAATATTTACTTGTCCGCTTCCCTTTGGTGTATATCTACCCACACACGTCTTTTATCTCTCTACATCCACACACTGCTTACACTTTTCCATGTTTCAATAACACCTTCTCGTCACCCGTTGTGTCTGCCAAACTAGAATCCTTACTAGCAACATTTAATTGTCAAGTACAAAGTCCCCATCGGACTTCCCACATGTAATGAAATAAGGTATAGGTTGTTTCGTAGATAATGATTTGAGATGTCGATCGTGTTCACGTGACCTTATCGGGAGCCCGAACTCGGACCTACCGGCGCTTGATGACACTACTCCGGCTGCGTGTAGGCAAGTACGGCGTTAAAAATAAGTCTTTCAATTAGTCGATGCGCAACAGCCTTCTTTCACGTGAGCAGTGACTGACTTGACCCTGATGAGGGGCTTTCGCAAATTTTCTACCCTCTTCCAGTTTCATTTTACTCGCCATATATCATCCAATTCCACCATCATGTCTCGCAATTATGAGGCAGGTTTCCCCGCAGGCATTTGTCCGCAAGCCACTGGGCGTCAAATCTAACGATGTGGTGCAGGCTGCGATTGCAGCTCTAAACTCACTGCAAACCAATTTTGCGGTTGTGGAAGAGTTACGCAAGTCACGGAAAGACATGAACCTGTTGTCCATTCCAGAAACTGTTGAGTGGCTTCGTCGTATCGGATATCAGGTCCGCGTGCTCCCCCGCATTATGCTGTCATGGCTCCAGTGTTGACTCTCGTTCCATGTTTGGTCCATAGCCCTCGGATCTAAGCCGTATTAATCCTGTTCATGTCGCCGGCACGAAGGGTAAAGGCTCCACTTCGGCTTTTATCGCTTCGATCCTGTTGCAGTACACTGCCTCGCAGCTATCTCCCTCGGAATCAACCTCGCGATCCCTCAACAAGGTCGGGCTCTACACCTCGCCTCACTTGCGCTTTGCCAGAGAGCGTATCCAAATCGACAATGCACCGCTCTCGGAGGAGAAGTTCGCCAAATACTTCTTCGAAGTGTGGGATCGTCTGGACGATGCTGCTCGAGTAGCCGGCGAAGATCCCACGAATCTCAGAACGAAGCCTCAATACTTCCGGTACTTAACATTGATGGCGTTCCACACTTACATCCGTGAAGGAGTCGATGCTGCGGTTATCGAATGCGGGATCGGCGGAGAGTACGACTGCACCAACGTCATTCCAAAGCCAGCTGCGACTGCCATCACCAGCCTGGGCATTGACCACGTTGCTATGTTAGGAAACACTGTTGAGGAGATCGCATGGCATAAGGGTGGCATCATCAAATCTGGCACCAAAGCATTCAGCGCACCTCAGCCTCCGTCTGCCGAGAAAGTCCTGTTCGAACGTGCTGCCGAGAAGGGAACCTCGCTGGAAATCGTGAGGGGCCACCCCGAGCTCAAGACGGATGGGGGCGTGAAGCTCGGATTAGCCGGGGACTTCCAATATACCAACGCGGCAGTGGCGGTGGCAACAGCGGCCGAATTCCTGCGGACTGTCGGCATTGGGGAGGTGCCGTCGAACATCCTGCAGGAACCCCTACCAGCAAGATTCCGCAAGGGTTTGGAAGAGGCCCGTCTAGGCGGTCGTTGTGAGACGCGCAGTGAGAAGCACATTACCTGGTACATCGACGGCGGCCACACGCTTGAAAGTATCCGATTGGCTGGCCAGTGGTTTGCATCACAGATCCAGGCAAACTCTTCATCTGCCGCAGTTGCGCAAAAGAAGCAGCGGGTCTTGATCTTCAACCAACAGACCCGTGATAGCAATGCCCTGGCCCAGGCTCTTTACGAGACTTTGGCTGCGGCGTTGGGCTCGGAGCAACCCTTTACCCACGCGATCTTCTGCACCAACGTCACCTACAAGGCTGCAGGTTATCGACCCGATCTTGTTAGCATGAACACCAATGCGACGGATGTGGAGAAACTGCATGTCCAGAACAGTCTCGCCGACACATGGCGGTCTATTGACCCTCGCACTGAAGTCAAGGTGTATAGCACCATTGAGGAGGCGGTCGACTTCACTCGGGAGCTCGCTCTGCAAGAAAAGGACCTGGTAGGCCAGGATGAAGCCCCCGTGATGACATTCGTTACTGGTAGCTTGCACCTGGTTGGTGGCTTCTTGGATGTGATTGAGACGAAGCCTGCTCCCCAGTAAGACTTGCATTATGCCTGCCTCACCATGAGGTTTCAACAACAAAATTGGTGATACCCGGACAAAGCAATTATGCCTTGTTTATGCTCTATTGTTTGATGATTTTTATATGATGATAGATTCAGGAGGCGTTGTTTAGTTACAATTCAACAAGAAAGCTTAGATTCCCACATATATTCGGGAATAATTGATTGGGATCCACCGCGACCAAGTCATATATTGAGTAGATACCGATGGACGTACCTGTAGATATGCACCCCGCAAGCGCAAGGGACGGACGGCTACATACAGTACTTTGTTGGTTGAACGTGGGGCGGGCTTAGAAAACCTTCCCGCGCCCACCCCTTCTTGTCTGTTCGCGGTCTCCGACCATCGAACTTCCACGTGTTTCAACCGCGCCAGCTGCCATGTCGGACTCCAAGGATAAGAAGGGCAAAGCCGCCCAGGCGTCCAATAACGAGGTCAGTTCTCTTCTTGATCCTAGCTAATCTGCCGTCTCAAGAACTCACGCGGATTGTCTTCAGGATGCGGCGAAACAGAAGTTGACCCCCAAAGCGGTCGAGGCGCTGCTAGAGAATAACCCCGCCCTGAAGAACGAGCTGGCCGGACTCGACAAGGATAAGGCCGCGGAGGCCCTGCGCAAGATGGATATCTCCGAGCTCTTGACTGGTCTGGCTGTTGGAGGCAAGAACCAAAAAGATATGGCCTCGTACAAGTTCTGGCAGACCCAGCCTGTGCCTCGTTTCGATGAGGCCGCTGCCGCTGCCAACGATGTCGGTGGGCCGATTAAGATGATCGATCCCGAGAAAGTGTCGAAGTCTCCCGATCCGCTCATCGAAGGCTTCGAGTGGGCGACACTGGACCTCACGAAGGAGGAAGAGCTCCAGGAGCTGTGGGATCTGCTCACCTACCACTATGTTGAGGACGACAACGCTATGTTCCGCTTCAGATACTCGAAATCATTCCTACACTGGTTCGTGCACCGCCCAGGCCACGATTGGGTGTTTTGATGCGGGGGCTGACAATATATTCTATCCAGGGCGCTGATGGCACCGGGCTGGAAGAAGGAATGGCACGTCGGAGTTCGCGCTACCAAGTCGCGGAAGCTTGTCGCCGCTATCTCCGGTATCCCCACAGAGTTGCGTGTTCGCGAGCAGAAGATCAAGGTCACCGAGATCAACTTCCTCTGCATTCACAAGAAGCTCCGATCCAAGCGTCTTGCCCCGGTCCTCATCAAGGAGATCACTCGCCGTTGTTACCTCGAGGGGATCTTCCAGGCCATTTATACCGCGGGCGTGGTCCTGCCGACTCCCGTCAGCTCATGTCGGTACTACCACCGTCCTTTGGACTGGCTCAAGCTGTATGAGGTCGGTTTCTCGCATCTGCCAAAGGGCTCCACCAAGGCCCGACAGATTAGCAAGAACCACCTTCCGAGTGCCACATCTACCCCTAATCTCCGCCCTATGGAAGTCAAGGATATTGATGCTGTCCACGAGCTCCTGGAACGCTATTTGAAGCGGTTTGACTTGAACCAGGCCTTCTCCCGCGAGGAGATCGAACACTGGCTCGTGCACAAAGGAGGGGAGGCCGACCGGGAACAGGTGGTTTGGTCGTACGTGGTGGAGGACCCGGAAACCCACAAGATCACCGACTTCTTCTCCTTCTACAACCTTGAATCCACCATCATCCAGCACCCCAAGCATGATTGCTTGCGCGTAGCGTACCTTTACTATTATGCCACCGAGACGGCTTTCACCGGTGATATGAAGGCGCTCAAGGAACGACTTCTGATGTTGATGAATGATGCTCTGATCCTGGCGAAGAAGGTATGTCGAATTGCTGCTCGCACGAGATCCTTTCCAAGACTAATATTCTCTACGACAGGCTCGTTTTGATGTGTTCAATGCTCTTACCCTCCACGACAACCCTCTCTTCCTGGAGCAGCTCAAGTTCGGCGCGGGCGACGGCCAGCTTCACTACTACCTCTATAATTACCGGACGGCGCCCATCCCCGGTGGTGTCAATGACAAGAACCTGCCGGATGAAAAGAAAATGGGAGGTGTCGGTGTTGTCATGCTGTAGAGTCCGGCACTCTCACATGATCTGTTCGTTTCGAAGTACAGTACCAAATCCATGGGTGTTCTGTGGTCGGAGAGGCGGCTAGTCAAAAGTCAAAGCCACTTGTGACACGACGAATGTGAATACTATTAGCCCAAATTGAGATATATACTCTAGAGGAAGTACAAGCTTGATTCTTGAAGTAACATATCCATGTCAAGTACTGTACTGCACATACACAGTATTCAGTGTACAGCACGGGGAGTGGTTAACCCAAAATGGTAAGAACCCCTGCTGGCCCCGGGCTGAGGGGCCGAGGCCCTTCCAAGTCATTTCAAGTTACTGCTTTAGCCCGCATGCGGAAACATCCTTAATTAACCTTGGAACATTCCCCATCAACGGTACTCCGTACCTCTCCCCTCCCCTCTCCCTTTCATCATCATCAACACCACACTTGATCATGTCCTTGCTCATGGCATAGCATCTCACAGACAATTAAAGTCTTTCTTCTACACCCTAGTATTTGATTCATTCTCTACTTCCCCGTTCTTAGTCCCGCAGATGATAGCGTTCGTCACCCCAACTCATCGCGGTGGGTTCACGTCGTCATCACTGCGGAGTGTCCCGAACTCATACTATCAATGCTAATGCGACAGCTGTCTCTTAATTATCTTGCCTACTCCTACAACCCTGGTACATTTCTGACACATGACAGCCCTTCTTCTTTTGTGCATCTCTCAAAGACGAAGAAGAACCAATAACCTCTGCGTTATTACTCTTCAAGATGGGTGTATACCAGTCCACTGAGTCTGCGGGTCATAAGTCATCTCCAGGTCAGTAGTAAACTATATTTCCCTGCCCACCTTTACCAGACGACAAATGAATCTAATATTCCCCAGAGGAGCTGAGCTATGTGCTTGCCGAGCGCTTCGCCACTAAATGCTTCACCCCTTTGGAGCTCACCCACTTCAAAGACAACTTCTACAGCCGCGCAATTGAACAAGGCGGGGTTAAGTATTGGAATGAGAAGATACTCTCCGACTTCCTTGGAGTTCCGGATAGCAGCGACTCCCAATGCCCCCTCGACGCGGGTCCGGTGATCTTCCGCATGGTTTCGTACCTGGGCGCTTTTCCGTTTCAGAACACGCTGGCGCCGAGTGTACTCACATTCGATGCTATGGTGAAGGTCGTTGTTTTGCTCACGGAAAGATATGGGAAGGTGCTCAGAAAGGCACGCAGAGACCGCATCAGGCTACTGTTTGGGAGCTTAGCAGATGTTGGGAGAAGAGATGAGGAAAAGTCGGCAAATAGCGATGTGTCCCACGGGGACGACGCACCGGGGAAGACTGCGTCGAAGTCCCATGCTCCCGGTTTCGCCATAGATGCTCCTGCCAACGACGGGTACGAGGATGAAGAGGATGATGACTTGGCTCTGGCTGCCTTGGAATCGCTCGACGCGATCGAGGTCTTCAAACATGATTCTCGCGTAGAGAGAGCGGTCTATGAAGCTCGAATCTCCGACAATACGTTTCGTCGCCTGCTTATGCTGCTAGTTGTGATATCTGATCTAAAGACCGCCGAGTCTGCAGCAGTCTACACCTCGAATCTGAGCGGGACTCGTATGGATTCAATCCGAAAACAAACAGACAGCATTATGGCAGCCTTTCAACAGGAATCATCGGGAGGGATCAGGTACAAGTCTTTCGCAGAAAGCGTGGCCTCCTCGTTACCGTACTTGTTTGACCCCTTGACACCATTGTTTGAGCATTTCTTGTTCAGCAAGAACTTGGACCTTTCCCAGAAGCGCGATACGCCGCATTTGACGGAGTCTAAATCTGATAAACCCGCGTTGAACGAGTTGCAGTCCTCGCCCTCGATTATGCTCGAGGGAAGTTTTGAATCAGTGATATTGAACACGAGCATCATCTCACACCTCTCCTTCTTCCTTCCCTCTACATCCGAGGACCTTAATTTTCTTCGCGGCCATACGCGCTTGCACCCTGTCTTTTCGACGGCCGCGCATGGGTCATCACTCACATCCTTTTCGCACAACGTCCTCACCTGGTCATCGGGTACCCTACTCCTCCTTGAGGGTGTATCCGAGACAAACGGCCCGGTAATTCTCGGCGCATATTTACCACAGCCGTGGAAGTCACCGTCATCGAGTACCACTTCTTCCACATTCTCCAACTCCGTCCTCCCTTGTCTTTTCCAACTCTCCCCAAAACACGTGCTTCTGCAGGGAAACTCTTCCCCGTCTGTACAAAGGCCAGACACTCCCGCCGCCTATTTCTCTACGAGCTCGGGAATATCTATCGGGTGTCGTATTCCGCCCTCGTCGCGCAGCAACCACAAGCCTCCCGCTCCCCTCGGGGCAGGCAGTCTGACCATTGATGCCAATCTCGAGACAGCGACCTTTTACGTTTCCCCTGTCGGTCACGACGGATCGTTTCTTCCTCCAATGCCCAGCACAGGGACCGAAACCACATACAAGACGAAAATAGACATCTATAACCTGGAGATCTGGGGCCTTGTCCCCGACCCGACCATCAGCATCTCCGAGGACGGGAAAAGCGCCGTCGAGCTCCAACAGGCGAAGTGGGCCTTCGAAGCGCGCGAGGCGGAGCGGCGGCGGAATCTCAACCTCAAGGCCGGGGCGGGTGACTCGGCGGCCGAAAGTGCTCGCTGGCTGTTGGAGACCGCCGGCATCATTGGGGACGATAGTCGACGAGGCGGCGCACGTGTGGTCTGATTGGAGACGATCGTAACACGTTCGCGGTTGTTCGAGATTGTATATGATGTTTGCGTAGAGAAAGTCTCCTCAGACCCAAGTTTGATTTGGTCAAGCATATTTGCACGTAGCTTTATCTGTTGGCGCATATGGGGGAGGGGGGGGGGGTTGATACGATTGTTGTTGCTTTGTTGATACCAGAAACGAGAATCAATTGGACATGCTACTAGGAGGTTGGGATTGTTTACAGCGGACGCACTGCCCCGCGTAGTCATTGATGAATGGGGAATTATATAAAGCTTGCATCTGATCTCTAGTATACCTCGACGGCGCTAAAAGGGGGCCAATGCGGGAAGCCGAGCTGAATTTCAAGCCCCCAGAGGCGGAAGGCCCGTAGGCGGCCCATAGAAATCCAACAACTCCTCTTCCTCCTCTTCCTCTTCAACCGCATCCTCGTCATCACCCTGCTGCTGCTGCTGCTCACTAAGCTCAGCATCCGAGTCGACCTTATTATTCCCGCGCGAGCTGAACCGACTCCGCTGGCCCGACGGCACAGGCGTGCCCCCGGCCTTCCGGCCACCACCACCAACAATAGAATCATCCGCCTCCTTGCTTCCGTTATTTACCGAAGCATCCTCCTGCTCCTCGCGCGGCAGACGATAGGCCAGGAACCCCTCAGGGGCGCGCTCAGCGCGATCCATGATCTCGTTCATGTACTTGCGCACCTCGTCGGGGGGCTTGACGACCCGGTTCAGCGGCTCGAGGACCTTGGGGTTGCTGCTGAAGATCCGGAACGTGATGGGTTGGTAGTACTCCTTCAGGTTGGGGTCGTCTTTTTCCTTGGGGGGGTTGTCCTTCGGAGTGGCCGCGGCGGCGGCGGAGGGGGGCTCTTTCGACGTGGCGTCCTTGTCCTTTGTGCTGGTGGTGGTGCTGGCGGTGGTGGTGGACGCAGCGGCAGCGGCTTTTGTGTCCGGGGGTTGCTGCTCGCCGGCTGCTGGTTTGTCGCTGTCGCCGCCGCCGCCGCCCTCCGTTGGGGTGGGGTTCGGGGTTGCGGGTTTACTGTCTCCTACAGCAGGAGGAGCGGCGGGTGTCGGTTCTGTGGAAGGCGCGGGTTTCTCTGCCACCTTCTCCTTGGCTGGCTCTTTGTCCTTCTCCTCCTTCTCTGCGTCCTTTGGTTTCTTCTCTGGTTGAGAGGGTGCCGCCGCAGGTATCTTGTTCTTGTCGGCTGCTGCTGCTGCTGCTGCCGCCGCCTTCTTGGACTTGGATTTAGAGCCGGATTTGCCTTTGGCCCTTGACGGTGGTTCGGTGCCAGTTTCGATGGGGAATGGCGTGTTGGGGTCCACTTTACGCACGAGAAGGAAGGAGGCGAGCACGGTGGTTCCTCCGGGGAGCCATTCCAGGATCGTGTACTCGGGGAATAGATAGCGATCGCCCGAACCTGCGTGGCCGGAGGTACTGCTACCGTAAGGGGTCAGTGGGGAGGTGAACTCGAACACGACAGACTTGTAGTTGAGCCTTGGAGGTGGTGGCGGGGGCGGCGGGGTAGGGCGATAGTATGGAGTGGGTGATCCATATTGCGGCGGGCGTGACTGGATTGCAGGGGGTTGGCCTTGATACGGAGGTTGCTGCTGGTATTGCGGGTGAGAAGGCCCTGAGCGTGGTCCCGGCGTCTGAGCTTGTTGTGGTTGATGTTGTGGTTGCTGCTGCTGCTGCTGCTGCTGCGGCTGCGGCTGCGGCGGCTGTTGCAGTGGAGGCGCGGGACGTCCTCCTGGGGTGGGTTGCTTGGTAATTTCCGCAACTGGCGCTGGTCCCGGTGCGACATGCGGGTGAGGGGCCTGGGGGGTAGCCGGCTGGATTTGCGCGACTGGCCCGGGCTCCTGTTTGATTTGCTGTGCCTTGGCAGTTTGTGATGTTGGGGTCTGCGGGGGTTGTAATGGCGCGCCAGGTTGTGCTAGTGCTGGACCCGCAGTTGGTGATGATTTGACCTGGACTTCGACACGCGGGTGTGGTTGGGGTTGAGGCTGTGTCTGCGGGGTTGGATGCTCTGGCTGCTGCGGGAGTCGTTGTTGGGGAGGCGGGTGTTGTGGTGTCTGTTGCGGCGTCTGTGGTTGGTGGGGAGGTTGTTGTGTTCTGGAAGCGGCTTGCGGATGAGCAGGAGTAAGGGGTAGTGATTGTCTCTGTTGTAGCTGTTGCTGCTGTAGCTGCTGGCGTTGTTGTTGCTGCTGCTGCTGCTGCTGTCTTTGTTGCTGCTGCTCCCTTGCTCTGATTATAGCGTTAAGTTCATCTATGTGAGCCTGAAAAGCACGCAGTTGCTCCTGAGACGCCTTGCTGGAAGCTACCACCCGCATCAGGGCTTTGAGGTCCGGATCGGAAGCGGCTCGAGTTGCGAGCATTTGAATCACAGGGTCTGGGCTGGGTTTCGGCGGTTGTGGCGGCTGCTGCTGCGGCTGAGGATGTTGTGCCGGAGACGGTCGCTGCGCTGCTTGAGGCCCGGGAGTCCGGTGAGGAGTATGGCTAGGTGTTCGAGCGGGATGCAGTAGAGGTGGATGGCTGGCAGGAGGATAGGCCGGCTGAGGTGTGCCTGGAGTAGCTTGTGGTCCATGAGGAGGGTGCTGCTGCTGCTGCTGCTGCTGCTGCTGCTGCTGTTGCTGCTTTGGCTGCTTTGGCTGCTTTGGCTGCTTTGGCTGCGGCGGTTGCTGCTGCTGCTGGCGTGACTGCTGTGGAGGAGTGGGACCCTGCGGATACGGATGATATTGTTGGAAGTTATTGGGATGGCCGTAATGGACCATCGGGCGCTGGGGTGGTGTATACTGAATCGGCGGCGGCGCATTGGGATCTTTCACGGTATACATCATAGCATCGAACAGGTGCGGGCCAACCACAATGTTGCAAGCTCCAACCTTGGTCATGCTTTCCTTAGGTGGGTTCTTGCCCTCAATCTGCTCTCTCTTCGTTTTCTTGGGCTTGGTCCAGTACCGTTCGAGGATGCCATCGCTTAGCCATTTCTTCTTCGATCGTTCGAGGGAGGCTAGGAGTATCGCGCTACACAAGGTCAGTCAGCTAAAATGCCCATTGACATGGATGTGTCCTAGGACAGCGGCCTTGGGAAGAATTCGCACCTCTCCGCGATGGACTGATACTCCTTCGACGAGAGGTCGTCCGGCTGCGGAGCGGGCAAGGTGGGGAGAGCTTCTCCATCCTTGATTTTGGTAGGCAGAGGATTTTCGATCTTTTCTGGCTGTGGAGAAGGAGGTGCCGGAGCCACAACAGGCGTTGAAGCCTTTCGTTTAGATGATTGTTGAGGCTGAGGAGAAGATCGAGGCGCGGCTTCGGACACCCGTCGCTTCGCCGCAGGTTCGCGGCGTTCGCGGGCGGAAAGTCTCCGTTTCTCGGCCATCGGGAGGATATTAGCAGGATGGCGAATTGGACGAGGTTATGGTCTTGTGGTTTTATATAGGTTCCCCGTACGATACATGGGAAGCATTGCGCAGAGAACCGATGTAGGTGATAATAGAAGTGGTTTGTAAGAAGGGGGAGAGTTGCGGAGGTGGAGGAGAAACAGAAAAATAGCGGGAGGGAAAATGACCGAATGGGGCAAACGAGCCTCAGCTCAATTGGAACTCCGCCGCGACCCCTTCCTGTACTATAACTTTACTATACGATTGCTTGCATGAACTGATATCTACTCATAGCTAAAATCATTCTTCCAAAGATGGTTGAGCTTCAGTCCATCTTTCGAAAAGCTTACTGGTCGCTGGCAGCCGGTGGCCTGTTCTATGTGCTTGTCGTCTATGCGCTCACATACCCTGTCGTCCAACGCCTGTATGATTCTTGCTGCCATCCACTCACCTGAGATAACAGCGATCTAGAACTCCACAGCTGACCGGTTATTACTCTTCTACTGCCCGGCCAGTGCACTTTATGTTCACAAAGTGAATCCTACCCGATGGCAGGACATCAACCTTGTTGAGTCTTTCGGTTTCCTGAGTATGTTTCTAAACCGATATCCTTTCCTCTCTCTGCACTAGTGATCAACCATTGACACGGAAACAGAAACGCAAGTCCAACCATTCAACCTGGTCACTCCCGACAACGAGACCTTGTACGCATGGCATCTGCTTCCCCTGCCACTGTGCAAGGAACACGAAGATGACCTGCGTGAGAACGAACGATACGGCCCAGCGGAGGACTATACCAAGACCACTGCATTCAAGCTACTCGCCAACAACCCCAAGGCGCGAGTTGTTGTCAACTGTGAGTCCCCACCACATCCAACACAAACACCATAAACCACACACCCCTCACATCATCGACCCAAAAAAGTCCACGGCAACGCCGCCCACCTCGCCTCTGCCCAGCGCCCCGACATCTACCGGCAACTCCTCGGACTATCGACCCCGTCCCATCCCGTGCATGTCTTCGCCCTGGACTACCGGGGCTTCGGCCTCTCGACCGGCTCGCCCACCGAAGAAGGCCTCATCACCGACGGCGTAGCGCTCCTCAACTACCTCACCGCCGGCCCGCTGCGGATCCCGCCGTCGCGCATCGTCATCATGGGCCAGAGCCTGGGCACCGCCGTGACCGCCGCCGTGGCCGAGCGCTTCGCCTTCGGGTCCGCCGACCCAACGGCCAGCCAGCCCGCCCTCAGGAGCCCGGAGCCCTTCGCCGGCGTCATCCTCCTGGCCTCCTTCAGCAACGTCCCGAGCCTCATCGACTCCTACAGCGTGAAGGGCATCACCCCGCCCATGCTCGCGCCCCTCGCCGCCTACCCCGGCATCAAGGACTACGCGAAGCGCCAGATCGTCGACCGCTGGGATACCGCTGCCCGCGTTGCGCGGTTGTCGGGCGTCAACAGCAACGACAGTGGCAGCGGCAAACCGGCCCCAGCGTATGCCGCGCAAGGGCTGAATCTGTTCATCGTGCATGCAGCCAACGATGTCGAGATCCCCTGGCAAGAAGGCCGGCGCGTCTGGGCCGCGGCCACGGGGGAAGCCGTCGAGGACAGCCCTGGAGAGATTGTGGTGTCGAAGAAGGACGACTCGGGCGGACCGAATGAGGTCCAGGTCTGGGAGAGCAGTTCGGCCAAGGACTCTGCCGTGGTCAAGAGGGTTCGATGGGAACGTGTTGCGTATGGAGGTAAGTGACACCGCCGGTCCCGGTTCGAGCGGGAGGAGGGCTGATTGGACGATTCACGCTCTCTACCAGGGCATAATCGTGTCGCGACGTTCTCGGTCGCCGCCTTGGCTGTATTGAGAGCCTTCAATGGCTGAGATCTAGTCTCAGGTGGATTCAGCTGCACCAAAGCACAAGGAGATGGTCCACTGGGATCCGCATCCACGACAGTAAACGTAAAAGATCCGCAATATCCCGTCCTCTGGATGAGGGCACGATCAGATTTTGCACAAAGAGGTAGCGTTACCGCGGTGAAGCCTTAGACGGATGTTAGATCTGAGACATAAGCTTGAGTGGCGGCATGTCTGACCCGCGAGATAGATAATACATGGGGATGGAGTGGCGTAAATCAGAACTCGCGAGGTGTTAGCCATGGGTTTGTTCTTCTTACAGTACCTATCTATATCTAGACCAATTTGTATGTCTTCCAACTTCATTCGTTCAGGAGAGGAGATATATCATAACCCAACTATCAAAAACTTATGTACAATCTGTGTTAAATGTATCCATGCCTCTGAGCTTGGCGCGTTGCATGCCCACACAACAGCCTTGGGAGGGGGCCTCTGGTCTAAATGCGCAGAAGGGTTATCTATTTTGCTTGGTAAATAATACATGAGCCCGAGGTATTTGGACAGGGATGAGAAAAAAAGAAACACATCATTTTCATATTCAAAAACACGCCGGACCGGTTTTGGAAGGAGTCAGTTATACAGGAAAAAGAGGGGCCGGAGTGTAGTTCTTTGGTCTCCGAAGCCCTCGTAGGTGATTAGATGAGGGGTGGGATCGAGCCAATATGGCCTGGAACTCGCGCAATGCATGAGAGGGCACCCCTGCAGTCGAGTTAATGCGGTCGAAAAGCGATTTTCGACGCTTATTTCTTGTGGCGGTCGGCCTGAGCCTTCAAATAATTGGCAATGAGCTCTTTCCTGGAGGATTGGGAACGAGGTTAGCATGCTTGACTCCTTCAATTGCGACATGCAACAATTCGATGGGTTAGGCAAACTTACTGAAGGTGACCAGGAGCCTTCTCGTAGTGACTGAACTCCATGGTGTACTCACCCTTACCCTGAGTGGCGGCACGGAGGTTGCTACTGAAGCCGAACATACCGTTCAAGCTGCAGTCGGCTTGAACGGTGAACTCATCGACACCAACTTCGGAGTCGTTAATGGTAGCGCCACGCTTGTTCAGGAGGGAAATAACATCACCCTGGAACTCAGCAGGAGCAGTGACAACGGTCTTCATCATAGGCTCGAGGATAGAGGGGTTGGCCTCCTTGAAGGCCTTGCGGAACGCCTGCTGGGTGGCGTTCTTGAATGACATTTCAGAGGAATCAGTCATGTGAGTAGCACCATCGTTGATGACCATCTTGGTACCCAAGACCTTGTGTCCAATGAGAGGGCCCTTGTCACAAGCCAAGTGGAATCCCTTTTCACAGGCGAACACGAACTTCTCGGAGATACTGCCACCAACAATCTGTTCCTCGAAAACATTCTCCGTCAGACTGCCAGTAGGCTCCATCCATCCCACAACGCGGGCGAAGTCACCAGGACCACCGGTCTGCTTCCTGAGCAGATGATCGAATTCAACGCGGTGGCCGATGGTTTCACGGTACGCGACTTGAGGAGGGCCGGTCTCGCAGTCTACCCGGTACTCACGGCGCATGCGCTCAACGTAGATGTCCAAGTGCAATTCACCCATACCGGAGATGATGGTCTGTTCACTCTCGCTATCGAAGTGCACACGGAAGGTAGGATCCTCTCTCTGGAAACGAGCCATGGCCTTGGAGAAGTTGGCGCCATCCTTGGCGTGCTTGGGCTTGATGGAAAGAGAGATGACGGGCTCAGGGACGAACATAGACGACATGGTGTAAGCCAGCTGGCCATCAGTGAAAGTATCACCAGAAGCACAGTCGACACCGAACACAGCGCAAATTTCACCCGCGCCGACCTCGGCAACATCCTCCATCTCATTGGAGTGCATGCGCACAATGCGAGGAATCTTGACCTTCTTGTCCGTGCGTGCGTTGAAGACGTTAGCACTCTTACGCAGGGTACCTTGATAAACACGAATGTAGGTCAACTGTCCGAAGTTGCTCTCTTCCAGCTTGAAAGCGAGACCGACGAACGGCAGTGAGTTGTAAGGAACAAGCTTCACCGAAGCCTCGTCACGCTTCTTATCGAGAGCGAGGTTTTGAACCTCGGAAGGGTTGGGAAGGTAATCGATGACACCATCAAGCATGGGCTGCACAGACTTGTTGGCAAGAGCCGAGCCCATGAAGACAGGGGTGAACTTGAGACCAATGGTGGCGCGGCGGATAGCCTGTCTTAGTTGATCCTCGGTGGGCTCGATCTCGCTGAGGAAGAGTTCCGCGATCTCGTCGTCCACGTCAGCGAGAGTCTCAACAAGCATGCGCTTCCGCTCCTCCACGACATCCTTGACCTTCTCTGGGATCTCATCCTTGACCACAAGGTCTTCACCGTTGGGGCCGTGGTTGTAAATAGCCTTCATCTGAAGGAGGTCGACCACACCCTCGAATTCGTCCTCGGCACCAATCGGCACCTGGACAGCGGCAGCAGGAATCTTGAGCTTGGTGTTGATCTGATCAACGGCCTTGAAGGGGTTGGCACCCATCCGATCCATCTTGTTGACGAACGAGATTCTGGGGACGTTGTAACGTCTCATTTGACGATCGACAGTGATGGTCTGGGACTGAACACCGGAGACAGCGCACAGAATCATGACCGCACCGTCAAGAACACGCAGCGCTCTCTCGACTTCAATGGTGAAATCGATGTGACCCGGGGTATCGATCAAGTTGAGGTGGTACTTCTGCTCCTGACCTTGCTTGTCCTTCTTCATCCAGTCACAGTACGTAGCAGCAGACTGAATGGTGATACCCTTCTCACGCTCCAAGTCCATGGAGTCCATCTTCGCTCCTACACTGTCACGGCCACGGACCTCGTGGATGGCCTTGATACGGCCAGTGTAGAAAAGGACTCGCTCGGTACATGTCGTCTTACCACTGTCGATGTGTGCCTATCGAATCGAGAAAGCATGTTAATAATGTAAACCCGGAGAGTGTAAGTGGATTTCTTACAGCAATACCAATGTTGCGGACCGTAGACAGGCGTGCGGCTTCAACGGGGTCCAGGTTCTCGATGATAGCTTCCTGGGACAAAGCATCGGGAGTGGCGGCGGCGGCCTCGAGGCTAGAGAAATGCAATCCACGAGTCAGTAAGCAGGTTTAATGGATATTGTGGACTGATGACAGAACGATAGGCAACTAGCGCCAGAAGATACTCACACAGCATTGGCAGTGGCGGAAGCAGTCCTCCGTTGCTGGTTCTGTTTGCTGAGGACGGACTGATAAGCCGGAGCAACAGTGGCTGAACGGAGGACAGCGGTGGATGCGCATCTCCGCGAAAGAAGGGTCTGAGCCTGAAGGCGAACAGGAGTCCTGGTCAAGCCAGAGACGGCACGGTATGGCAACCGTGAAAGAGTAGGACACCTCATGACTGTGACCGACGACTGTGACCGACGACACCGAGAACGTTGAATGAGCGCTGGTGCTCTTTTGGGACAGCCGGGAACCGCGACCTGATTTCTTTTCTGCGGCCCCGAAAAAAAGTTCGGGGAAGCCAGGCACGCGGTCACGTGTTCCTCATCGGCTGATCCTCGCCCTTTGTTGACCTATTTACTCGGCCATTGAACTTTCGATGCATTGTAACTACGGAGTACTGTACTTCTTATCGATAAGCCGGTAACTACATGTACAGCACGTCCGGTGCTTAGTCTGATCTTGTTGGAGTCGTACTTGCCAATCGTATCCTCTACATCAGAGTAGTTGACCACAGCTAGCACATACTCCGAGCTCGGACCGGGTCTCAGGTCTGAAGTTTGTCAACTTGGAAGAATGTGACTGACAGACAACAGACTCGCATTTCTCGAAAGTCGCCTTAGACTATCATCCTCTTTGTAGCAGATAACATGTTGTCTAAGTCGAATGCAAAGATTTCAAGTAGTCAACAAGAGGAAACTCAGGTTAAGTACACCTAAGTATGTACCGTCAAGTAAGACTGTTGTTTTCTAGTTTGGTTCAACAATCCAATCACGAGATAAAAAGGTGTATCAGCAATACCGAACGTCCGGTAACGTTTCATACGAATACACACGAGCTTGCTGACCGCCTTGCCTTCCGCCACTCTACCGAAGGACAACCCGCGGGCGATCGCATATTGTCGGGGTCACATCAAGACATACTAGATATTCTGGGTGACCCTACTGGAACAGGGAACACACATATTGCACTTAGCGATAATGCGGGCCTCATTGCGACTTCTAGCATCTATCTCTCAGAACCAGCCGTCCAAGCTTAAGAAGCCGACTATTGGTCTTGACCATGTCAGTAGATCCACCCAAATGCTAAAGGAAATCCGGTTCGCTAATATCTCGTATTAGTTCATTCAAAGACAGCGGGTTCTTGCTTTATGGCGCGAGATAGTCAGAGCCTTGAATTGTTCGTCCGATGTTCTCATTCTGCTGTGTGCGATGTGGTGGCTTGTGCTAATATCGCCAAAGCAATCCCCAGTTCACCAACCCGCGATGAGCTGCGCAATTATGCCCGCAATGAGTTCGAGCGCCATCGAGAAGTGACAGATCTGGTAAGTGCTGAGCACATATACAGGCTGAATATGCTACTGACGGTTGATAGCAACACATTCGATACCTGCTTTCAGTACGTTAACATAACCAGAGTTGATTGCTTTTATTGCTGATAGCATCCAGACTGGCAAAGCGGAGTTCGAAACAATGAGGAGATACATTGACGAGCAAATTGCCGGTTGAGCTGGCCAACCGAGATGTAAAGCAGATAGGGTAGGGACGAGTAGCTAGCGGAGAGTGTGCATTTTCCTTCAAAAAAGTGTGAATGTATGTATGTACAATAAGATATGATACCCAGACGGAATGGCGAGAATCAATCAGAAAACGTCCCCCCTTTGGCGACTTCACTTCTGCCGCGACAAGAGCTCCATAACAGCACTCAGAACACCGATGGACTTCTCCTCGGAGGGCTCGAGGGCCGAACGAGCAGCGTCCTGCTCCGCAGTGGCCTTTCTCTTGCCCGCATCCTTGGCAGCAGCCTCGATGGCGGCATGGCGCTCCCGCCAATCCTTGTCCTCCTGGTCTCGGATCTCCAGTTCCCGCAGCCAAGCATCCCGCTTCTCCTGGCTCTTGCGTGCCTCCACAACCTGTTCGAATTCCTTGCGCTGCTGTCGCTCGGTCTTGTAGTACATGCCTCCAGCAACCACCGCGATCAGGGTGAAGAACTGGGCGTAGATACGGGCACGGAACATTTTGTTCATTTCAAGAGAGTCGCCCGCCTTCATGGATCGGTAGGCCCGGTAGAGGGCGTAGCAGGTAGCCGCACATCCTGTCAAACAACCCGCCCAGTCAGTACAATTCCAAAACAGTTATTGAGGAGGACAGGTCGGCGCGAGGTAGAGTGACGTACCGAGCGGAATCAGCGGCTCTTGCTTGAGCCGCCTGCGGAACTTCTGCAGCGAAGTCTCTTCTTGGAACTGACTACAGACAGGGAAGGCCATCAGTGACTGACTGACGACTGCAGCTGTAAGCATCATATCGAAAGGATCTTTGTACATACGGGTTGTCATCGAAAGAGGAAGGTAGTGGCTCGCTCATCTTGATAGTAGGACTCGAAAAGTGTGAGCTGATTGAAGGTGGCGTTCTGCGTGGGAGAGCGCAAGCTGTGAGACTGTGTCGCCGTCCAGAAAGACTATCTTCCAGAAACAAGAGAATAGGTTCAACCTGAGAATGACTTTTTGACTCTTCGCGTCACTTTTGCCCCTCTGACGATATGGCGCAAGTAAATGAGATACGGACGGACAATGCCGAAAATGACATGACGTCGCAACGAACCTTGAGATAATTTGTGTATCGTAACTTACGCAGCAGTACAGCAAGGTCTGGTAACGTTACAGTAAGCTGACTTACGCCTCCATTGTGCCGGACTATCAGGCCATAACTACCTACATCTTGCGGAGCCAGGCAACCCGACATCGATTGATTCTTCAAAAGAATCTAGCGAGGTTATTGGTAATGGGATAATTACCATATCGACAAGCAACTACAAGACATAGTAGAAACTGGCATCAGCCTAGTACAATCTGAGCTCACCACATACTCTTTGTCACTAAGAATCTTGTGCAACAACCCTAGCGATATCTTGAGCAATGTAAATTGTTGTTATCAGTAGGGCGCCAGTAGGGCGCGGTAGAAAAAGCAGCTGTCCGTTGACCAGTCAAGTAAAACCTTGACTGTGCTGGTTATAGGAGCGCAAGATGATTGGCCACCTTACTCGATTTGACTGTTATGCTGGCGATCGATGGGGATCCACCGGCCATCCATGGCTTTGTATGGGGGGGGGCCAACTGCCCGAGCACATAGATCAGAATCAGCTATTGCCGCAAGGAGAATTATATGGCAAATGGCACAAAACTTGAAAACGAGGAGTACAAAAGTCAATTGCTTGGATGAAGGAAGTAATACTCAGGCGATAAATAACCATCAAATCTCTCTTTCCTCCAGATCGATGAACCAATCCCATTGTTTAGGGCTGGAAGAGAGGGTTTGATGACATAAACTTTTCCGCTCCGATCACGGAATTTTCGCCCTCCTCCCCGCGGAATAGAAAGGGTGACTTATCCATCATAGTTAGTCAGTGCCACCGCGGCTTTTTTTCTCGGTCTCGACTCCCACTTGGTGCTGGCGCTTCGTTCTTACCTTCTTTTTGTCCCCAAACGTTCATTCTCTTCATATTATCCATATATAACCCTTGAATATGCCCAGCGAAGTATCTGACGACGGCGTTGCGACTCCGGTCTCCGCCAAGGTGAGTAACCTCACCTTGACTGAGTCCGCGCTTGCAACTCCCACTTCGGAAAAAGGGGAGGACTCGACTGCCTATGACTGGGGCATCCCCGACGACTATCTTCTTCCCAACGGTTACCCAGATGTAAGCGCCCTGTGGTCCTGATTTCCTTCTAACCGGGCGTGTTGCTCATGCGCTTGTCATCTACAGTACCTCCGGTTGATCTTAACTTCCCGTGTCTACGACATTATCGACGAAACCCCTCTCCATCATGCCGTCAACCTGAGCAACCGCCTGGAGTGCCGTGTGCTGCTCAAGCGGGAAGATTTGCTTCCTGTTTTCAGCTTTAAGCTGCGCGGTGCCTACAACAAGATGGCTCACTTGACTCACGAGCAACGGTGGAAGGGTGTCATTGCATGCTCTGCCGGTGAGCAACCCTCCCTACTTTGACAGGCAATACATGGGGCATCAAAAATTAATGGAGAAATGGCGCAGGAAACCATGCGCAGGGTGTTGCCTACTCTGCCCGCCATCTCAAGATTCCCGCCACCATTGTTATGCCCTCGGGCACCCCCGCGATCAAGCACCTTAACGTCGCTCGCTTGGGCGGAAGCGTCGTTCTCCACGGCAATGACTTTGATGCGGCCAAAGACGAGGCTCACCGCCTGCAGCAACAGCACGGGCTCACCAACATTCCTCCCTTCGATGACCCTTACGTGATTGCCGGCCAAGGAACCATTGGTATGGAACTCCTGCGCCAGGCCAACCTGCAGAAACTTGAAGCTGTGTTCTGCGCCGTCGGTGGAGGAGGCCTGATTGCTGGCATTGGAGTTTATATGAAGCGCATCGCGCCTCACGTCAAGATCATTGGTGTCGAGGCCCACGATGCCAACGCCATGCATCAGTCTCTAGACTCTGGATCGCGCGTGTTCTTGAAGGAAGTGGGACTGTTCGCCGATGGCGCGGCGGTCAAGTCCGTCGGAGAGGAGAACTACCGGCTGGCCCGTGAAGTTATCGATGAAGTCATCCAGGTTTCGACCGACGAGACATGTGCTGCTATCAAGGATGCTTTTGAGGATACCCGTTCCATCATTGAACCGGCGGGTGCACTGGCTTTGGCCGGTCTCAAGAAGTATGTTAGCATGTATCCCAGCCCCGACACTAACCGGGAGTTGTGTGCTATCACTTCTGGTGCGAACATGGACTTTGATCGTCTGCGTTTCGTCGCTGAGCGTGCCGCTCTGGGTGAGCGGAAGGAGGCTCTTCTGAGTGTCAACATCCCCGAGAAGCCGGGCGCATTTGCCAAGCTCGTTGAAGTCATTCTTCCCCATGCGGTCACTGCCTTCAGCTACCGATATGCCCACGACGCCTCTGCCGACGTCCTGATGGGTATCTCCCTGTCTGCGTTGACCGGCCAAGACGATTTGGCCAAGATCATGACCCACCTCACCAAGGAAGGTATGAGTGTCAAGGACTTGAGCGACGACGAACTTGTCAAGCGACACGTTCGTTTCTTGGTCGGTGGGCGCAGCAGCGTCCAAAGTGAGCGATTGTTCATGTTCGAGTTCCCTGAGCGCCCCGGTGCTCTGGCCAAATTCTTGACCACTCTTCGCCCCAACCAGAACATCTCCTTGTTCCACTACCGCAACTACGGCGGAGATGTTGGAAAGGTGCTTGCCGGTATCCAATGCCCCGAGAATGAGAAGGAGGAGCTTGAGGCTTTCTTGAGAGACTTGGGATATCCCTTCAGCGAGCACACCGACTCTCCCACTTACCAAACTTTCCTTCGTGCTTAAAACATCCAGCAACTTTCTTGAGTCGTTTCCGTTTGTTTGGGAGAAAGCTTAAAGAGTTTTTTTGATTCCCTTCTTGTTATTTCATATGGGCGTTCTTGTTGGGCATAGTGTCGATAGAGCTTGGGCTGTTTCTTTTTAGTGTGAGAGTGCTAGGCATCATTCCGTACATAGAATCCGAAATACTATAATGTTGCATCTCAAGCGTTCGTCCGATTGTTTCGCCCGGTACATTAATCAAACACCAGACCTTCAGGCTTTAGTTCATGTCGAAGTAAGTGCGTGCGCGCTGATTGGCTGTGTGTTTGTCCAATCAAAACGCGGTATACTCTACCGCTATCGGAGGCCGGCGATACAGTCGACCCGACCAAAATGCTCCGAAGGAATTCCGGAGCATCAGTTGACGGCCGCACCTTGGTGGTTGAAAAAGTCCCGGTTTCTCTGCTGCAGCCCGTTATTTTCGCCTCGAATATATAGCGGAATCAGAGTCGTCTCTCTATCCGCCCCTTCGACCACCATGATGTCCGTCCGCTCCCTCCTCGGCGCCTCGACCGGCGCCCTCCGCCAGCTCCTCCCCTCCCTCTCCCGCAAACCCGCCGGTCTCCTTTCGCGGTCGTTCTCGCAACTGGCCAAGCTCCCCTTCGGTAATGGTCTTCGTCTGCTCCGCTCCGGACAGCAGACCGGTGTGGCCAGCGCGACTCTGCGACAGGTCGAGCAGGTCCGCGGCATGAAGACGCGGTCTTCGGTCAAGCGCCTGTGTGATGGATGCAAGGTAGGACTACTTCGCGCCCCGCGGAGGAGGGGATATCATACGCCGGAATCTGCAGTGGCACTGCATGTCTGCGAAAGGGATTGTTCATGCTCTGTGGGTAGGCGGCTAACATTGTCTGTTTCAACCGCAGCCCGTCCGGAGAAAGAACCGTGTCTACATCATCTGGTAAGCGCCACCAACTGATACCACCTCAATATCAGGATTCTGACATGTATATTCAACACACAGCTCGAAGAACCCCAAGCACAAGCAACGCCAAGGCAAATAAGCGAGCGCGCGAATTTCTCTGTACCTAGAAGCTTGACAGCACACCCGGTGGACAATTGTCCTCTCGAACCGAGCATTTCTTAGGTTCTGACACGGCGGCGGCGGAAAGGGTTCACGGGCAATTGCATTGTACGGTATGAGGGTCTCAACAGGGAGCGCAAGCAGCGGAGTGCGAGATGTGTTGTGGATAACAGGCTACCAGGGTCTTGTTGATATTGGCAAGAACCGTGCATATTCATCATGGGATACGACCAACTGGTTGGTTTCGGCGCTTTTTTTTTTTCGATGCATCTTTTGTATGTACATTAATTGGGATTATTACACTTCATTTCCTCTTCAATTCAGGCTGAGCTTGTGGATGGGTGTGGAGGGTTGGGAATCTACGGTACATCAGTATCTTGTTGTGGTGTAGGTACCTTTTCTCTCAATCCCTTGGCCTTTCTGTGCAACCTAATGTGCGAGTTCTAGTCCTGCATGAGCTTACTACAAAGTACATACATGGAGTATGGATGCGAGTTGAGCGACCTAAAGAACTGTGGAGGGTTCAGGATGCCATTGAGTTTGAACCAGGGAGTGCAAGGGATGATATCATTGTCCAGGAACCAGAAGGACTACTGTACACAACACTGTCTCGGGCCTCCTTCGCCTGAGCACCAAAGTATAGCAGCCCCTTTGCATGTTGAATTGTCTCCTGACTGAAACCCATCCTATATCCCTAGCCAGTCACGGCTGCCTGCCTGTCCTCTCACGCCCGCAATCCTTGTCGCATGAGCTCATCAGTCTGGAATGTGATCCACGTGAATACAAGGCCAGACCTTCCAAGAACACAGAACAACCATTAACAGAACCACTTCACCCTAATTGCGCACTATTCCCCGTGAAGACTCAATTCACAACTCCCCGACAGCATGAAACCCGAGATATTCATCCCCTCAATCCCCTACTACCTCTTCCTCATCCCAGCAGCAACGGCCGCCACATTCCCGGCCTCCCACATCTCGCAACAAGTCGTCGACGGCGACAATTTCCTCAAATACGATGGCATCCGCGGGCCCTACGTCGACCGCAAATCCTACGGCATCAGCCGCGACCCGCCGCCGCAATGCGCCGTCGACCAGGTGATCATGGTCAAACGCCACGGCGAGCGATACCCGGCCTCGGGGGAGGGTCCTGCGATCGAGGCCGTCTTGCAGAAAGTCAACAGCACCGTACAGGCGTCGAACAGCAGCGTCGCGCGGGGCGACCTCGACTTCCTCCGCGGCAACTGGACCTACTACGTGCCGGCGGACTGCTACGAAGCCGAGACCTTCACGGGGCCCTACGCGGGGCTGGCGGAGGCGTATACCCACGGGCAGCAGTACCGAGCACGCTATGGCCATCTCTGGGATGGTAGCGGCGGCGGCAGCAGCAGCAGCAGCACACAAACGACACTCCCACTCTTCGCGGCAGAGTTCCAGCGCATCATCGACACGGCCCGGCGGTTCGGGGAAGGGTTCTTGGGCATGCAGAACTACTCCACCCACGCGGCCCTGAACCTCATCTCGGAATCTAGCAGTCGCGGCGCGGACAGTCTGACGCCCTCGTGCCATCAGGACGATGGCCCGGCGCGGGACAAGTGCGATGCGTATCCGTACCGTCTCCCGCAGTTCGATGCCGCGGCGGAGCGGTTGAATGCGCAGTATAAGGGTCTTAATCTGAGCGGGGAGGATGTTGTGACGCTGATGAGTGAGTACAGCCGGTTGTCTGAGTTCAGCCTTTGCTATATCTATTGTACACTGTACTACATCACAGTCGGACTAGACTAACCACGAGTGTGCGGCGCAGCAATGACGGCATACGAGCTGAACACGCGCAGCGAGTCCGAATGGATCGACGTCTTCACGACAGACGAATGGGTCAGTTTCTCGTATATCTGGGACGTGAACTTCTATTATTGCGCTGGGTGAGTTCGTTAGCTACTAAGCTCCGCTGCCCGACCCCGGTCGAACTTTACTGAATGCGCCCCCCGGCCAGCCCAGGGAACAAATACATGCGCGCCGTCGGCGCGAATTACCTCAACGCCTCGCTCGCCCTCCTCCAGCAGGGTCCCTCATCAGCCGGACCCTTGTTCTTCAACTTGTAAGCCCGCTCCTTGCCCCTCTTCCTCCCTCTCCTCTCCTCCACTTCCCTCCCAGCTCTGCTACCCCCTTCGTGAACCCCACCAACCCAACCCCACAGCGCCCACGACAGCAACATCAGCCCCATAATCGCGGCTCTGGACATCGCGACCCCCCCGCAGCCCCTCCCCACCGACCGCGTCGCCTTCGACCTCCAGCAACACTGGCGCATCACCGACATCATCCCCATGGGCGGCCGGCTGACTATCGAGCGGTTGAACTGCAGCAGCAGCAGCGCGCTCGGCCCCGCGGGCATCTACGTGCGGTTGGTGCTGAACGAGGCGGTCGTGCCCCTGCGCACCTGCCAGGATGGACCGGGGTATTCGTGTTCGTTGGACCGGTATGCCGAGTTCGTGGGCGGGTTGCCCGTCTTTGCGACGGAGTGTGCGGTCCCTGCCGACGAGCCGCAGTTCCTTGGGTTTTGGTGGAATTATACCACGTCGACGGGGGAGAATTGGCATCGCGGGGCGAGGTGTAATGGGCTTGCTTGAGGGGGATTGTTTTGGTTTGAAGGGTTGGTGGGGGGGGGGGGGTGGGGGGGGGGGGTTGGTAGGGGATGTTGTGGTGGCGGTTGTAGCTTTGGGTGTTGATTTGTAGGGTTGGGGTTCGGGTATGGTATTTGAGACTAGCATCGCTGAGTGGATGTGCCATCGCCCAGCATGGTGGGTTAAGAGTCTAGAATGCCCATTTCACACAGATGCGTTGGCTGTTATCTTCAGGCAAGCGCTGTGTCCGTCTCCGTTATTCGTAGCATTGGCAACAGATAGCGTATCATCATCACATCTGATACACATACGATACACTTATCACCTCCGGAGATCACCCCTCGTTAGCATTGTCCTTCCTCCTAGAAGCCTTAGCAGCCGACGAGTTTCTCGCAGAGACCGAAGGCTGGTACCCCGGATGCATGGTCTTCAGATGTTGGTTCAGATTCCACGTTCGGGAGAAGCCGTTATAATGCCGATCACAGTTCTTGATGGGGCACACCAGATCGGACTTCCGGTGCTCGCCCTTTCCTCTGGGACGCGGCGTGTCGTCGGCAGATGCAGTCGTCGCGCGGGATCTCGAGCCACCCCTGAGGGATGTCGCCCGCGAGCGAGGTTTCCTGGACGACGCTCGTGATGACAATGGAATTGCCTCGGGTTGGGGCACAGACTCAGGCTCGGGCTCCAGTTCAGCCTCAGGTTCGGACTCGCTCTCCACGTAGTGCCACGGCCCTGGACCACTACCAGCGTCCGGCAGGTCCTGCCGCACCTGTCCTTCGTGGAACGTTCGAAACGCCATATCCTCGCCGAACAAATCCGCACAGCGGCGGGAGGCTCGCATCACCGCCGCGGCTGGGAACCCGGTCATGGATGCAATCCCCAAAACCTCGCTCCAGTCCCGGAGCCCCTGGCGGACCCGGCTGACGGACCGTCGGCCATCGCTGCTGCGTGACCGGCCGCGGGACCGTGAAGAACCCTGCGAGAGCGAGCGCTGACTCGAGGGTGCTTGGGAAGATGTGCGCTCGCTGGATGCACGGCTACTCGAGACACGGGTACTTCGTGAACGAGAAGGCCCACCGCTGGACTCGGATCGGATTGAGGACCGCCGTGTGCGCTTTCTCCCTCGCGATAGACTCCGCTCCTTCTCCGCGGCGCTGCCTCTCCGTTTCTGCTGCTGCTGCCCGGAGGACGAGCCTGAGATCGCACTGGCGGTATCAGTCTGCCATTCGCTGGCGGAGCTATCGTCGTCGCGTGCGAGGTCGCCCTGCCGCGCGCGATGGAGACCCATGAGCAGCGTATCGAAATGCGTGAGGATGTTTCGTGTCAGCGGTCGTAGTTGCACGCGTGACTTCTCATCGTCTGCTTGCACCACAGGCCGTAAAGCCACGGGTTTCATTCCGGCCACCGTCCCCTGTTCCTCGCCCTCGTCACTTTCCCAATCACCGGCACTCTCCTCCTGGGTCCCGGCCTGCGACATGGAGGACTTCCTCTTCCCGCGCGGCGTCGACGCACCGGGTGCCGTCTTCGTCTCCCACTCTCTGGCATTGAACCGCTCCTTGGCCGTCTTCATCATGACAGCCATCAGCGATTCCTCCAACTCGGCACTCGGCCGCGGGTCCGGCTGCCGGCGCAGCGTCCAGGCATCATCGACCGCCCGACGCACCAGTTCCCCGGGCCGCGGCACATCCGCCGCAGGCAACGGCCACGCCGTCCACCGCTTCGGCGGCGCAAAGACCTCCTCTTCCACTCTTTCGAGATCACCATCCGCCATCCGCCGCGCAATCGCCCGCGCCCGCACCCGCAACGCATACGCATTATACAGATGCGCCGCCAGGTCCCGCGCGCGGAGATCGACCAAGGCCTGCGCATTCTGCCGATCCTCGGCCGTGAGATTCCGCCAGGTCGACTCCGGGCCTCGGAAGCGGTTGGGCCGGTACTGGGACTCGGACTCGTCTGCGTCGGGCGACGAGGACGGCTGGTGACGGTGGCTGTCCATCACGTCAACTTTCCCTCGCTCATCCTCACCTAACCTTGCACCACCCCTCCCCCTCTTGAGTCGGACATCCCCCTCCTCCGATCCCTCCCCGCCACTCTCCTCCAGATACGTCGAATCCGAATCCGAATCGTCCGACAGCCCCGCGTCGAGAGGCGAGTCCCCTTCCTCCATGATCGTGTCCAGAAAATCCACGTTTCCGTCGCCGTCAGCGACAAGGTCATCCGGATAGGGCTCGAGATCCGAACCACCCGCGTCCTGGCTGCTGTCGCCACCACCGAAGATGGATTGGTATGGCTGTGGCTGCGCGGATGGGGGAGGCGCGAACCGCGGCGAGCTGGGGTAGTAGTTTGAGGAGGACATCGTGCTTGTGCGCAGCTGGGCAGCTTGGCCTGCTCGTTGCTTTTCTTTTTTCTTTCTTTTCTGCCCTCGGTGTGTTATCTTGGTGTAACACGCACCCCTAAACTCAGGCTGTGTTGCTGGATTGGTGTTTCAAGTTCAGGTTCAGATTCAGTTGCTGATGCGGTGGTGTGTGCGTGCGTGTGTGTTTATGGCATGCGAGTTCAACAATCTAGACCCCGTAGCGGTAAAGCATGCATGCAGATCGGGTTTGAGGCACTTTGGCGGGATGGATGAGGGCATTGGGGCAGACACAATTTTCTGGCCCTGTGTTTGGGGAGTGTTGTCTATATGTACGGGTATATCACTCCATGGCTTGGTCATCACTATCGTCAACATGTGCGGTTGATGGTTCTGTAGAAGTCGAGGATGTGGAAGATGCAAGGCCGGCCGTCGGTGGAAATTGTTCGAGGTCACGTGATTCTGTACGTACATGGGTCGTGGGGTTGTTGAGTAGAGTACGGAGGAGTCAACGGATATATTGGAAATAAATGGAATGATGAGGAGTGTGGACAGTGCTTGTAGCTCAGATATTTGGTGCTGAAGAGTATGCTGTGGTTCAATTCAAGAAAGCAGTCATGGGCCTGCTCAAGGGACTAACTATAGATGCTGAGCGAGACACCTTAGATTCCATCATCTACAAGTAGCATACCACGGACAGCGCAATCTCTATTACAACTTGAAATCAATTCCGATCAATAAGAATACTATGCAAGACGCCCAAAAAAGAGTCAATGGTCTCCAATACCCCGCAAGGATATCATTCTAACTAATATCACACACACAGGAACAAAACACTTTTTGATGCACCACATCCGTCTATTTCTGGCCCGCCTTCTCCAGCTTTCTCCGCTTGGAGCGCAGCTTGGCCGCTTCCTCGTCCTTCTTCTTGTTCGAGTACATCATCTTCTCCAGCAACTTGCGCTTCTTCCGGCTCATCATCATCTTCTGGCGCTCCAGCTCCTCCTCCTCCTTGCGCTTCTTGGACGCGATCTTCTTGGTCTGCGACTTCTTCTTCGCCTCGCCGGTCGCGCCCGATGTGAAGGGGAGACCCGCCGCCTCGGCCTCCAGTTCCTTCTGGTGCTGCGAGCGGGCGGCTTCCTCCTCGTCCTCGGACTCGGAGGCGGCCTCGTTGTCGTCGAATCCGCCAAAGTCCTCGTCCTCCGCCTCCTCCTCGCTCTCGCTCTCGTCGTCGGTGCCGGCGACGTCCATGCCACCGTTGATGTCGGACTCCTCGTCGCTCTCGGCCTCGGATTCCTGCTGCTCCGCCTCGGCGGCTGGCTCGTCACCGGCCTCCTCCATCTCCTCGTCGCTGTCCTCTTCCTCGGCAGCGGCGGCTTCGCCTTCCTCCTCCTGCTCGGCCAGGGAGGCGCGAGGGTCGTAAGCACCCTTGGTGGGCTTGACCCACGGGCTCAGGTGAGGGGGGAGGGTCTCGCCAGGGGCGTACAGATCAGGACGGAGGAGCTTGCCCTCGTTGATGCAATCCCAGACCCACTGGGGCTGGACGTAGGTTCTACCGGGGATGCGAGTACCCGGTCTGACCTTCTGGACGGCGCCCTCGGCGGAGGCGGCGGGAACGGCGGGAAGCGATTCTTGGGGGAGAGAAGGACGGTCGACGATCTGGTGAGTGATTCTCGTGTCGGTCTCGTCGTGTGTGAAGGCGCCGTCACCGAGCACAGCGTCCCAACCAATACGGGTGCAACCGAATGAGCGGAGGATGAACTCCAGGGGTGCCTTGGGCGCCTCTCTGGAGATGTAGAAGACGAAGGGCGCAAACAGAGAGCCGGCCTCCTCGCCGCTCAGGTCGGGTTGGGGAAGGGTGTCGGCCTCGGGGGCGGCGGGCTCGAACTTGTCGATGGCGTCGGTCGCCTCTTCGGTCGCCTCAGCGGGTTGCTCCTCCGTGGTTTGGTCCAGACCGGCGCTCTTGATGACCTTGTCCACCTTGGCCTGCACGTCACCGGAAACCTCCTGGTTGGAAGACTTGCCGACCTGCTTGCTGGCTTCGATAGCCTTAGGGGCTCCGACCGAGCGTCCTTCGAGGGTGAAAGCCGCCAACTCGGCGCCGTTCTCGTCACTGCGGGTGTCGAACTTGGGAGGGTATCTGAGGCCGAGAGTCGAGTACAGGCGGTAGTTCACGAATCCTAGCAGGGTGGTGTAGAATTCGACAAAAGTGGCCATGATACGGTAATCGACATCGCCGTTGACGCGCTGTACGAAGCGGTAGGGCACCAGCCACATAATATCCTGACCCTGGATGGTAGCCTGGTAGTAGATACCCTTGATCGAGAGGAAGGACTTCCGCAGGGAGTTGGTGGTGATGAGGTAGTGCTGGAACTCATGGCAAAGGCGCTGGCAAAGAGCGATGGTTTTAGGAGGAACGTGGGTGGAAGAGGGAAGGTTGGCGAAGAGGAAGAGCAAGGAAAGAGCATCGTCAAGATCTCTCAGGGCATCGATGAAAGTCGGGTAGCGCTCCTTGATGACATGGTCGAGGGTAAGTTTCGGCGCATGGTTCTTCTCCAGACGAGAAGCATCACCGACTTCTCCACGGCCAAGGGAGCGGGCGATCTTCTTGGCAAGGGCCTTCTGTTCACGGAACTTGCGGAGAAGGGGTTCGTGCAGCAGATACTGGATATCCTTGGTGTAGTAGAACGTGGTGTTGGGGGTCGAAGTCCGCGAGGCCTTCTTCTTGCTGCGAGGCTCACGGGGATAGATACCTGTCAGACGATGAAGTGGCAACGGTCAGCATGTGAGATGTCATAAGACAGAGATAGATCGAGATGATCTGTGTAGTATAATCCGGAGGGAAGTCATACCCTTGAAGATACATAGTCGACGGAAGTCAGGCAGAGAGATCTGAAGTTTGCGCACTGCCTGCGTTCTGGTGATGTAGTTTTTGGCCTGGCCAGAGGTTCCTGCGTCTCAAGTCAGCGAGATCTCAATCGCATGAAGAGAGAGGATATGCGAACCCTTCTTCTTGATCTTAGCCATTTTTGCAATGGGAAATTGGGTCAAAAATCGAGGGGTGAGTGACTTGGAAGGAAGATCCGATAACCAGAAAAATCGTTGATAAGTTTTTTTTTTCTTTTCTTTTTTGGAGCCGCGGCGCGGACGTGGTCCGTGCACGGCGGAAAAGGGAAAGCGGAGGATTTCCTTGTAACTTACTCCGCTTGGCACGTGAAGCCAACAACAACTAACACCACCTCCATTCTCACTCCCCGCGCTGTTGTTGTTGTTGCTGTTGTTCAATTGCATGCCCCTCCCGGCATGCTCTAATCTTTTCTTCTGATACAAAACACCATGGGGGTTGATCGCAGAAAAGCTGCCGTTTTCGGTGGTGCTTTGGCTCTGCGACTTCTGCTACTGGTGTTGTTCCCTTCGCTCCCCGACTTGTTGACTGGCCGAGTTGAGGTCTCGACCCCGGTCACCAGCTTCAAACGACGTAGGTCTCTTTACTGAAGCCGACTGCGCTGTGTGATGGACAGCTAACCCTTTGCAGTACAAGAAGGCCTCTTTCTCTATACTCGCAATGTTTCCCCCTATGATGGAGGCGTCTTCCATCAGGTACGGACGGCACTCAATCGAACCAATGCGGATGAGATCGGGCTGACAATGTGAAGGCGCCACTTCTTCTTCCGATTTTCTCGCTGCTTCCCAGCTCCCCGGGCTTCCCCTTTCCGACTGTCGTACTATATTCCTTGATCGATTTGATAAACGCAAACGCCCTGATCACAATTGCGGAGTCGGGGTGGGCAGTCTCGGGGCGATCGTACTCGGCGATACGGAAGCATATCAGATGGGACGGGGTGACAATCGCAGCATGGTACGGAAACCGCTAGGCGAACGAGGTCATCTTGTGGGATATCACCATTGACTCTGCTAGGTTCCTATTCAACCCCTTTACCATCGCAACATGTCTTGGCCGGTCCACCGCAGTCTTCACCTCGACCGGAATCCTATACGCGCTTGCTAGTGCCGTCACGGGAAAGACCTTCAACTCCATGCTCGCACTAGGTTTTGCCTCGTATCTGTCGATCTATCCGGCGTTACTCTATATCCCACTCATGCTGCTGTGCTATGATCAGCGTGCGCAGACAGCCAAGACCTGCCCCAGCACGACCGTTTTCGCTCTACAGCACCTGGCAATTTTCATCCTCAGTATTGCCGGCTTGCTTGGGGTATCGGCTCTACTGATTGGGGACTTCAAGGCATTTGTGTCTGCCACATATGGGTTCCAATTGCTTGTCCCGGACCTTACCCCCAATGTCGGTCTTTGGTGGTACTTTTTCATCGAGATTTTCGACTCCTTTCGCGAATTCTTCCTCGGAGTCTTTTGGCTTCACTTGGCCTCCTACATGGGCGGTCTTTCGATACGATTGAGAAGACAGCCTCTGTTCGTGCTGAGCTCCCTGCTGGGAATCTTTGCCGTCTTCAAGCCCTATCCCAGCATATCTGACGCCTCGCTATACTTTGCACTTCTCCCGCTGTACCGCCATCTGTTCCCTTGTGAGTACCTGCTCATCCGTCGCGTTGCTTGGTTCCACAACTAACAGCAACCAGTAATGCGCTATACCTTCTTCGCCGTCTCGGCGTTGCTCTATGCCACGCTCCTGGGACCGGCGTTCTATCACCTATGGATTTACGCCGGCTCGGGCAACGCCAACTTCTTCTACGCCATCACTCTCGTGTGGAGCCTGGGGCTTTCCATCCTGCTGGCCGACACGATCTTTGCCGCCCTCCGCGACGAATGGGAGTACGACAACCCCGAAGTACGAGGCAAGGACGTGAAGCAAGTGTAAATTATTTTGTCTATTTCTTATATACAGTACAGTAGAAACCCAGCCCAATACTTGTGGTTTCATCACTCTCTCGCATAAACCCTCGAGAGAATCCGATAATCGGGATCCTTGACCGTCCCATTCCTCAACCTCCGGGGCCGGGGCGAGCTCTCATCAACCCCGAACCCCAACCGCTCGTAGAACCGGATCGCCGCCCCATTCGCCCGGAAGACCGTCAACATGGCCTTCGCCATCCCCAGCTGCTCCCCGATCCGCAGAAACACCCGCATCAGCCGCGCCCCCAGCCCCTGCCGCTGCGCCGCTGCCGCCAGGTGCACCTCGTAGCAGTAGACCACCTCGAACCCGTCTTCGTACGTGACCATGAACGAGAGGAAGCCGAGCACCTCGTCGTTTTCCGGGGTGGAATTCGTGGCATCCCCCTCTTCGGCTATCTGGGGGGGTTGGGGGTCTGCGCGCCGGAGAATCAGATACTTCATGTCCGGTAATTGCATCTCCTTGCGCTTCTTGGGCGGCGACCAGCCGATCGACGAGGCGCGGTAGGCGTCCGCCGAGGTGGTTTCGATGAGCTGGAAGCATTGCGTGAAGATGCTGGGGGGCAGGGTTGCGGCCGTGTAGATGGTGATTTCGTAGTGCTGCGCCGGTTGCTGCGGTTGCTGCGCGGATGATGGCGGGCTTAGGGTGGACTCTGGCGTGTTGATGATGTGGAGGTCATCCTTGGGGACGTAGAGGTTGATGAATTCCGAGAGGGCGAGAGCGTTGGTGCGCTCGATTAGTGGTTGCGTTTGGATTTGGGGTGGGGGTATGGGGGCTGGGCATGTGGGTTAGTATCTGCCGGCTTCTGGGGATACGGGGGAGCTTACTGGGCTGTTGTTCCTGGGGTCGGGGTTCCAGGTGGGATTGTATGGTTGGTGATGATGTTGGCTGGGTTGATTTGCGGGATGCGCGTCGGACTCCCCGCTTGGTGGGTGGTTTGGTTATTCGGTGGGAGGAGGTGGAGGTGGAGGTGGGCATTGTTTCGGAGTTCAGACTTGGTGTGCTGGTTATTTACAGATTCATCTGAAGGGTTGAAGTTCAAGGCGAATTGTTCTAAATTGTTGGGGATGATGCTTCTCCAAATTATGGGGTTTTGTAGGCGGGATGGAGGGGATTTTTGTTTGGGTGCGCTTCGGATGGCTACTCTTGCTTGTGGTGGTTTGGTTCCGCTCGCATTTGCATGCATGGATGCATTTTGCTGCACGTCCCACCTATTATCTATCTTGGGGACAGCTCATCGGGGAAGAAGTGGAGTGAGGGTGAATTGGCTCGTTACACGTAGATTCTTCTCTCGGTAAATGTGTGTCATCATGAGATAAGTGGGTAGGTCGCCGTCTGTGCCGCTATATACATATATATCGTGGATCTTTAACGAAAGCTCGGAAGACGTTCATGACTGCTGTCGTTGCTTTGCAGCAAACTCCTCCGCTCGCCTCTCGGTCTCCTCTGCACCAACCTCCTTGAAGACATCCAAACCCCACTGGAACGGAAATCCGTACCGCAGGTGGCGATCCAGTCTGTTTAGAGTTTCGAAGATGTGATCGGGAAGGATGACATCTGGAAGTCCGGTTAGTCACTCGGTGCACGGAATGCGATGGAGATTTCGCTTGCAACATAGTAAGTGTGTACGGTACCTTGGAAGTTGCTCTCAATCCGAGATGGTGTCACGCTCTTGGATAGCACGGCTGTTCCACGTTGCACGGCCCAAGAGATCAGCAATGTGGCGGGGTCTTGGTTCAGCGAGCTGGCTAGCTGTTTGATGAAAGGGTCATCGATGACACTGTTTCTGGTCAGTGGATAGGCGAGATAGTGTTCAGGCATGGCGTAAATACCGCGGGAGGCCAGCGAGGTTGTTGCCAAGAGGGCTATATGCGATAGGTAGGATGTTCTGTAAACGATCAGCGGTGCTCAAGATCCACACACAACCAAAAAGACTGGGACCGCCTACCTTGTCCTTGAGATACTGTATCAACTCAGGCTGTAGAAGATAGGGATGCGCCTCGATCTGGTTGGCAGCGGGCGGGATCTCCGCGGTCTGGAGGAGCTCCTCGAGATGTTCCCGGGTGAAGTTGCTCACTCCGATACTGCGGACCTTGCCTGACTGGACCAGCTTCTCCATGGCCTTCCAAGTATCGCTGATAGGGACGTTGGCCAACTTGAACCGCTTGGTAACCGGATCAACGGGCTTCAGCTCTTCCCCCGCATACTCGAAAGCCACTGGCCAATGGATCTATCATCTCTCAGCAACGGTGCCAATGTTCGAGCGAGGAGACTATCGCACCAGGTAGAGATCCAGATAATCGGTTTGGAGGTCTTTCAGCGTCTTGTCGAGTTGCTCCTCCACATGCTCGGGGCGGTGATGTGTGTTCCAGAGCTTGCTAGTCAACTGATTGCGAAGACATCAGTGATTGTCAATCCAAGCGAGGTGGTTTTGGGACCGACGAAGATCTGCTCTCGAGGCACGCCCGATTTCTTCCAGCCCCTCCCGACCTCGTTCTCATTCCGGTATACAGGGGCACCGTCGATATGACGGTATCCTGTTCGCAGGGCAACTTCGACTGCGTCTTCTACCTCATGGGGTTTGGACAGCTTGCATTTGTTAGTCAGATTCACCCTGCGACCCTGAAGCTCTCCGCACGTACCCAGGTACCCAGTCCAACGGCGGGGATCTCGTAGCCGGAGTTGAGCTTGAAGGTACGTCCGAGGGACATCTTGTTCGTATGGAAGCTTTGTTGATTCTATGTAAAGTGTCTAGTTTGTATGTGGGGAAAAGGTGCAGTATAAATTTATCTCAAGTCTGGAGCGGACGAGAAGGGAGGAAGCGGGCTAGAATGATTACAGTTAAGGCAGTTGACTACCCCTCCATCCTTTCTGACAAGTGCTTACCTCCTTATGAGACACCTCTTTATTATGGTTTCAGTTGTCGATCCATCCCATCCCTATACGACGATGGCGCAATTCTCATGTTGGAATACCATTTATTGTGGACAATGGCTTCTCAATAATTGGTAGCATATGGAAAATATCCTGCCAGTTCCGCATAATTATCACAAGGGTGAGTTCTCGCTGCGAGGGACCGTATCTTGAGGCTAAAATCTATTTTTTCTCTCAAAAGTTCAGAAGTCCTCGTCTCCTCCACGGGGAACAACAGTAACGACTATCACCTCGGGGCGTTTGGAATAAACTCAGCACACTGAACTTGGGCACGGTTAACCCACCAACCATGGCATAGGCAGCTGTTTACATGTTGCCCCGCCTGGTTGAACCGATTTCACTTCTGCCGCGATGCGCTGAGATATGTCATTTTGATGAGACTCAGGATGGCCGACAATCAACAAATACTATTCACTAATTCTGGATGAAGATTGTGAACAACCACAAATCCAAATGCTTTCCTCCCATGCATCCATGCATGCATGGAACAAGTCCTCGGCTTGGATGTTTGGTTGGTGGTTCGCGGGTGAAAGGGGAAAGCGGCGAGTGGGGCAGAGATTCTTCAGCAGATTCACAACTGCCGCGCTGCATCCCACCCACTCAATTTACTCATATATTGTTCTAGGACGCTGGAGCTTCGCTCATTACTAGGAAGGACTTTGCTTCAAATCTTCAATCGCCTTAAAGCTCAAAAGCCTCAGGATGCATCTACAGTCAACATTCAGCACAGCTGGCTGGCCGTGTCGGCCCAGCTCGGCATTCTAGAAAAGCCGGCGAAGCAGGAACCATCATGGATCCCCACTCTCCCGCGGTGTCTTGCAACCTTTGCCCAAGGTCTTGCATGTTTATCAGCATGGAGAACCCCCTCGAAGAAGCTCTGAAGTCACTGATTCGTCCAATGGATTAAATGTCTCCGTTTCGGACGGTTATCGGACCGTTCTTGAACGGTAATGCTTCAATCATGACTTATTAATCATACGGTTTGAGTTGTGGTGGAGCTCGACCTCTTACGTCAATCATCCATAGCTGTGTCTACATATAACAGCTCCCCCACCAACATATTTTTGCTAGTCTCCGGTAGAAATCAAAGCACTTTCCTTCTTAATTGACTTTGCTTGCTCAGCTCACTAGGCTCCCATCAGACAACATGGCCCCCTCGACTCACAAGCAGTGGACCGTCCTGAACAAGGAGGATGGTTTCAATGCCCTCAAATTCGCTGAAGCGCCTGTCCCCAAGGTCGGTGAGAATGAGGTCTTGGTGAAGTTTCACGCTGCCTCGCTCAACTACCGCGACCTGATTATTCCCCAGGTATGCCATCATGATATGGGCATGGTTACTGCTTGATTGCTATAGTACCTTCAACTAACGGTCTGGACTGCTGCAGGGATCTTACCCCTTCGCGCTCAGCTTCCCCGTTGTGCCTGGCTCCGACGGTGCCGGTGAGGTGGTCGAGACTGGTGCCAAGGTCTCCCAATTCAAGAAAGGAGACAAGGTGGTCACTCTCTTCAACCAGCTGCACCAGTACGATCCCATCGACTCCAGAGGCACCAGCTCCGGCCTTGGTGGAGTGATTGACGGCACCCTCCGTGAATATGGAGTCTTCAACGAGAATGGCCTTGTCCGAGCCCCCAGAAACTTGAACTACATCGAATCCAGCACGCTCTCCTGCGCAGCGCTCACGAGCTGGAACGCTCTGTATGGTCTTAGACCTCTGGTGCCTGGACAAACCGTGTTGGTGCAGGGAACTGGCGGGGTCAGCATGTTCGCATTGCAGGTAGGTAGTTCCGATCGTGCAGGACATCTTTCAGCAAACTAATTCAGGGGAACATAGTTTGCCAAGGCTGCTGGTGCCACGGTTATCGCCACCACCTCCTCGGACGAGAAGGCCAAGAAGCTGAAGCAGCTGGGCGCTGATCACATCATCAACTACAAGACCCAGCCCAACTGGGGTGAGGTTGCACGCAGCCTTACTCCCGATAACGCTGGTGTCGATCACATTGTTGAGGTTGGCGGCAGCGGTACCCTGGAGCAGAGCTTCAAGTGCATCAAGTTCGAGGGTGTGATCAGCATCATTGGGTTTGTGGGAGGTGTCGACCCTAAGTCGCAGCCCCCGGTTCTCGCTACTTTGAGCAACATCTGCACAGTGCGGGGTATCTATGTCGGCAGCAAAGCCATGATGAACGATATGGTGAAGGCGATTGAGGCCAACGACATCCATCCGGTGGTCGACGAGCAGGTCTTCACTCTGGAGAAGACCAAGGAGGCTTATGAGTACATGGTAAGTCGATTCTCGATTGATCTGGCTGTGGTTGAATAGCCGCTAATAAGAGGAACAGTGGGCCCAGAAGCACTTCGGCAAGCTGGCGATCAAGATTGAGTAGCTGGCGTCCATCAGTTTTAATTTAAGAGGAAACGAGTGTACGAGTATCAAGGTACATAGGTAATGACATTTATTGTATAATCCATTGATAATAAAAATATTGGCAATGAGATGCATTGATACCTTACTTGTTAGTAGAATAAAGTGGGAGGAGCAGCTTGAAGCCTATTGGGAGGGGAAGGGATTCCCCTCACCCGCGCGTGGCCACCTCATCATTACATCTAAGGACTTTCTTTCTCCACCTCCACTGCCTCCGCATTCCACTCCCAACCCACTCTCACTCAATCTTCCTTTCCTGATTCTCCCTCCGTTTCCTTTCATGGATCCGACGTTGTCATTCTTTGGACTCACTGGAGACTTCCATGCCTAGTTCCATTCTTAACCATTGCCATCATTCCTACTTATTCAGTCGTCATAGTACCCGATGCAGTCCGATACCAGATATAGTTCGACTCTTCCTATCTGTGGGCCCGATCCCAAGTATATCAAGAAGTCCCAGGTTAAATTCACCCGGCCAGCCCAGATGAGTCTGTTCGCTCGAGTAACAAGCTATCCCCCGTTGGGACAGATAACTTGTCTTAAGGGTGCTGAGCCGGTGAGCCCCTACTGGGAATCTGATCACTGCCCTAGACATTAATGGAAGATAGCTTCGCTTCACGGTGGTTCTCGAGTCGAGCACTACATTCCCTATTCAACCATGGGAGGTTCACGTGTGGCACAATATCACTGAGAGCTCCAAATGGACTGCACTGCCGCTCCAGAGATGCGACTCCTCCGTGGCACCGCTCATCAACAGCAATGCAGAGGAGTATCACTACTTCCGTAACGTCTTCTCCGGGGAAATCGGCCCGTCTGAAAATCTGGGTCATGCTCGATTCACCGTAAGGTACCGGGTCAACCCCGATGCAGAATGGCAATGGGTCAACCAGCAGCAACACATCAGCGACGGGGAACTTCTTTTCCCCACCCAGACGCCAACTTTTGACTCAGAAGAGCCGGCGCCGGCGACGGATTTCGCCAAGTACTTCAAGAATCTTTCTTCCTATGTCGCGATCCAACCGCGCAGGAGCGAAGCGCCCGGATCCAACCTCTGGCATGTCACGGGGCCGGTCACTGCCGCGCGCGAGGGGCAGTCGGGCCTCACGAACCTGTCGCTCGGGGTGCCCGCTTCCGTGGCGCGGTATTTTGCCCTGGTGCGGATCTGGAGCCCGTGGCTGGGACCGCGGCATGGGAAGGGGAGCTTTGCGTTGAGCGAATATGCGATGCTGTGTTCGTTCCTGCGGACAGATGGGGTACATCTGGTTCTCTTGGCAGTCTCGGGGGTGGACGACGTCCTGACATTGTTTGGATCCGGGGAGGACGGAGCGGTGGTGGTCAAGGCTAAGAATGATAGTACACAAGCAGCCAGGTTCCAGATCCTGGCTGCAGCTGCGCATGATTTCGAGGTGGCGATGAGTGCTGTGATCTACGAGGCTCGCAAGTTGACCCGGCCGTATGCTGAGCAGGCTGAATCCGACCGGGTGCCAACCCCGGTGTCTCCACCGGGGGATGATATTGTGGTAGTCGAGAAGGATAAGGATGTCAAAGCCCAGTGGCTTGCGGAATGGTACGATGGTTTGACGTACTGTACCTGGAACGGCCTGGGACAGGACCTGACGGAGGAGAAGATCCTCCGTGGGCTGGATTCGTTGAAATCGCACGGCATCAAGATAGCTAATCTAATCATCGACGACAATTGGCAGGCATTGGACAAAGGCGACTCTCAGTTCACCCGAGGTTGGAAACAATTTGAAGGGAACCCGGATGCATTCCCCAAGGGCTTCAAGCAGACCATCCAGAAGATTCGGACCACCCATCCCAACATCCATCATATCGCAGTGTGGCATGCCATGCTGGGATACTGGGGCGGCATCTCTCCGGATGGTGAACTGGCGAAGCTGTACAAGACAAAGAGAATAGAGATCACAGACCCAGCAGCGGGAGGCCCGATTGCGCACGCCTTCGAGCGGGGGTCGCTGTTAGCCATCGACCCCGACGACATTCAAAGATTCTTTGACGACTTCTACAACTATCTCGCCTCAATAGGTGTGGACTCGGTCAAGGCAGACGCGCAATTCTTCCTCGACCTGATCAAAGACCCCGCCGACCGCAAGCGGTTCATGAATTCGTACCTCGATGCATGGTCCATCTCGACCCTGAAGCACTTCAGCACCCGGGCGATCTCGTGCATGTCGATGATCCCTCAGGCAATCTTTCACTCCCAGCTGCCGACCAACAAACCGACGATTCCGCTCCGCAACTCGGACGACTTCTTCCCCAACATCGAATCCTCCCACCCGTGGCACGTCTTCTGCAACGCCCACAACGCCCTGCTGACGCGGTACCTGAACGTCGTGCCGGACTGGGACATGTTTCAGACCAGCCACCCCTACGCGGGCTTCCACGCCGCCGCGCGCTGCGTCTCCGGCGGCCCCATCTACATCACCGACGAGCCGGGCAAGCACAACCTCGCCCTGATCGACCAGATGACGGCGCCGACCATCCACGGCGCGACCGTCATCCTCCGGCCGGGCCTGGTTGGCCGCACGCTGGACGTCTACCACGACTACAACGAAGGCCACGTGCTGCGCGTCGGCACATACACAGGCTGGGCCCGCACCGGCAGCGGCATTTTGGGTCTGTTCAACATCTCCAGCGCCGATCGAACCTCCATCATCCACCTCCGCGATTTCCCGGGCATCCATCCCGACTCCACGGGCGAATACATCGTCCGCGCCCACACCAGCGGCAAAATCGCCGAGACTCTGCAGGTCTCCGACGCGAGAGCCTTGGTCTCTGTCGAAGTCAAGCACCGGGGCTGGGAGATCCTCACCGCGTACCCGACACACGCCTTCTCCCTGACCCCCAGGAGCCCATCCACAGCAACCACGGCAAACCCAACGACAACCAAAGTAGCCGTCCTCGGCCTCCTCGGCAAAATGACCGGCGCCGCCGCGCTCTCCAACTCGGACATCTACGTCGAAGACAACGGCCGACTCCGCGCGGACATCAGCCTCAAGGCGCTGGGCACCCTGGGCGTGTATTTCTCGGACTTGCCAAGGTGGGATATCGATGCGAACTTCATGGTGACGATTCTGGGGAAGCCGGTGCCGCGGAAGACGGTGTGGAAGGTGGAGGCTGCGGAGGAGGAGGGTGAAGGTAGAGGGAAGGATGGTGCTAGGGTTTTGGCGGTGGATGTGTTGGCCGCATACAAGGAGATGGGGTTAAAGCCTGGGTGGAGTAATGAGGTTTTGGTGGAGATCTTTGTGCGGTGATTACGGCCATAAACTCCGGGGAGACTGGCGGTTATCGTACTTGAGTGCTTCAAAGGAGTGTGGTTCTTGATCTGATAGGGTGGGAGCATGTGTGGAAGTAGGGTTAGTTTTGAGGCTACTCAGAGATGATTCAGATGAGTGTTCAAGAAGTTCAAGCGGTTGCAGTAGTTGGAGAAGAGAGATTATATTCATAGCATTCTGACGCAGTCTCGTAACAAATCGTAGTCATCATCATTAGGGAGCCCACTGGGCCTGCAAAGCAGAGTAGAAATCATCACCAAGTATCGAACCGCAACCCGAGAGAAATAATAAGACCAACACCAACCTTGGCAAATTCAGCCCCCCACCGCTGACAGTCTTGCCCGGAATTACCTCAATAATCACCCGTCGGAATCCCCCCCGCCAACGAAACATGCTGCCCATGGAACCCAAACGCCACCGGCCCGTCGACCCTCGCCTTCCCCAGCACGGACAGATCCCGTGCATCCAAACACAGCAGATAACTCTTGCCCGAGTGCCCATCCAGCACCACACTCAGCAACACCCCGTCATCCTCGTTTGTGCCCTGCGGATCCGCCACGAAGATCGGCTCCCCCGGAGAATGTGCATGCTGGGCCCAGATCTGCGGGGTCTCGGGGTGGTCGTTGTCGAGCTTCATGATGCAGTCGAAGAAGGTGGACTCGCCGCGGGCGCCGATGGAGTAGGTGTAGCGGTTCTTGCGGGTGACGTAGCTAGGGTTGAGGGTGGGGAGTTCGGGGGAGATGGGTTTGCAGGCGGTGCGTTCGAGGATTGCCTTTTGAGGAAGGTCAGGGCTGGGGGAAGCGGAAGCGGGGATGAGCGGGAGGCGGAAGCGGGCGACGGTGGAGCGGGTGCTGTCGGTGCGGCCGGTCGCGAGGCGGGCTTTGGCCGGGCTGGTGTTGGAGAGCAGGTTCTCGTAGTAGAGGGAGAAGAGGAAGTCGAGGTTGTCGAACATGACGAGGTCGGCGACGATGTCGATGCCCTCCGAACTGTTGGAGGACGGCTCCTGCCAGGCGTTGATGCTGTGAAAGCAGAAGAACGGCGGGCCGGTGTATGTGCCCACCAGGCCCTGGCTGCCCTGGCGGTCGATGACATACCACATCGAGGGTTTGGTGGGATCGAAGGGCTTCATGGCGTCGAGGACGCTGTGCACGGGGGTGTCGAAGACCGAGACGTCGAGGTGCGCGTTCCACACGCAGATGACTACGTAGTCTGCGGTGAGGAAGAGGGAGTGCAGGTATGCCGGCGTGGCCGGGAAGCTGGCCAGGATCGTGGTCTCGCCGGTGGATGCTGAGACGCGGAAGACCCGATACGTCGGTTCCGGGCTGTGTGTGAGGTTGTAGTTGAAGACGTCGCCGGTCTTGGGGTCGGAGCGCGCGTGCGCGGCGGCCCTTTCGCCTGTCAGGTCGGGATGGAGGTTCTGCTGCCGGGCAAGGCCGAGGGGCTCGAGGGTGACGGGGTCCAGCTGCTTGAAGAGGTTGTGGTCGGTCTTGGCCCACAGGGTCTTGATCCCCGTGGATGTGTCCCAGCGGTCACTGGTTACGGTTCCCAGGCCGGGCATGTTGACTGATAGGGTGACCCCCACGTTCACGGCGGCGGGGTGAGGAGGAGCTTTGGTGGCTGGCTCGTATTCCGTCTGGACCTTGTCGTAGACGGCTTTGCAGGGATCACGCTTCTGACCGAAGGTTATTGGTTTCAGACTCCCTGACTTGCGGATTCCCTCGATCAGGAGGTCGGTGGAGAAGCGAGAGTTGTAGTAGACCCGCAGGGGGTGGTCGGCGTCAGGGGCGACGAGCTGGAAGCGATGGGTTTGACTGTATCCATCGAACCAGTGACTGAGTTCGAGCGTCTCGCCCTGCTCAGTGTCGACTTTGTAACTTCCTGGCCCGGTGCGGTACAGCGTGCCAGCGGTGTAGGCTGGAATGGTACCCTCCACTGGCAGTTCGACGGGGTCTTTGACTTCGTAATTGGCATCGAACTAGAGTATCATTAGTCCCAAACCTGGAGTCATACTGGAGAATACTCACGCCTTGGACATTGGGCCAGTTGTTGAAGTGGTCTTCAGTCTGAGTGTTGTGGTTGGTGGTCATGTTTGCTTGGAGATTACTTGGATACTTGTGGTATGAAAGCTGGCAGTGTTTAGAACCAAGTAAGCAGCATCTCTGCCAAGGGAAATAGATCCTTATATATTCTTGGTCAAGACGAGAAGGTGGAGGGATTCCGCCTGGAGCCTTGGGTGGAGGAATCCCGGTGTAGTTCCAAGTGATAGTTATAGTTTACCTCCTGCTTACTACCTCTCTTTGTATGAGTAGTTTGTTTGCATGGATCGGGGATCCGACCCCGGCGGGATTCCCCCACATCTTCCCATTTCCCCGCCACTGCTGACGCCGGCATTTCCAACTCTCTTTCACCCATTCACTACACTTGCTATCTTGAATACTTCTGCCACTTAAGGTATCAAGGAGTCTTGCCTAGTTCAGTCAAGTTGAATCGCCAACCCTGTCGATTTGTGGAGCGTCAGAATGACCACACAATCCACATCAGCAGAGACACAAGATCAACCCACCACATGGAGCTGCGCCTCCTGCAACGCATCTTTTCACCGAATTGACCACTACAAGCGTCATATTGCATCCCGTACGGTCTTCTTTGCCTTTACTGTGACTGAGTACCATGTAGCTCTTTGTTGACCGACAGCAGATAGCGCGGACAAGCCATTTAAATGCGACTTTTGTGCCTCTCGCTACAAACGAGGGTGAGTCCCGCTTTCTCTTATGAGCTATCAACCCACCTCCACCTAGCTTAGCACTGATGAATCTAGGGACGTTCTTCGCCGACACTGGAAATCCTGTCCCGCACGCCACCAGGCCGGTTATGCAATCCCAGAGCCCCGAACAGGCGGTAAAGAACGACATGCATGCGATGCTTGTGCACGACTGAAGAAATTATGTGATGGAAGTAAGCCGTGCTCGGAGTGTGGGGTCAAGGGGAGAGAGTGCACTTACCGGCGAGTTGATGAGGGTACTGAAGGGACGGTCGTGCAGAGCGAACGCCTTCCAGGACCGCACCTGGGCTCCGGGTCTGGAGAGGATCCCGCCGCCCTGCCGTGGAGTTTAGGACCGGGGAGCTTTTACTCGCTACACGCTGCGAAAGAAAGTACCTATAGGTACATGAAGTGATGCATAGGGATCGTTGCCTATCACGCTCGCAGTATGGCAGATTGACGATATTCAAAGTACGCATCGCGGAAGGCGCACAGCCCTGCGTCCCAAGACGGGTTATCATAAGGAGTGAGAGTTTACGTCCTTGCCCAGGACGACTCCATGAACAAGGCTGTTTCTTCTGATGATTCTAGCCTGTCGTCCCGGATCCACTGGACCGGCTCTGACTGCGAGGAGTCAATCGACTAGGCCTTTGCTACCAATGACAAGGATATTAGGAAAAAATGCCAGAAGAGCCCGGATGAGGAGAAACAGACCAAAGGCCAAGATACCATCCAGGGCCGAGCCTTATCGATGGCCGAGCAACCCTTGCTTTGTCTGCATTTGTGTAGTGTCCCTTCGCTCTCATATTAGAACTGGGAAAAACACTGCTAACCCGTAACCAGCGAATCAGATAGATGGGCTCATTACTCTAACTTACTGACGTGCTGGGTTCGCTCATGAAATATGAACGTGTGGTCTCTAGTCCCCCCCCCCTCTCTCTCTCCCTCTCTTGCCGTTTCCGGTAGCAGAAATGTGTGTATGCCTAACTCCATTCCAAGGGCCGGCGGAACGTCACACTGCACAAACTTTGAAATATCACACCCCGGATGTCAAAATCTGAACGTGACGTGGTAGAGTTTTGTCCAGCGAAGTACTGGTACCTGCCAGGTTCGCTCCCGGTCATACTCGCAGGATACTCAGGATAGACACTTTCAGACCACCAAAGACCTACCGTGTCAGAACCAGACAGTGCGATGCAACTTTCCTTAGTTATGTTCGATACTTGAGAAGTAGGGCATGAGAAAGTAGAGGGCAGAAAGTTCAAAGACACGGCACTCAGTAATCGAATGTTGCGAATTGCCACCCCAGGCTTGAATGGAGTCTCCAAAACTTTCGGTGTCCAAAGCAGCTAACCCCGTTCTTACTGGAGACCGGAAACGGCTTTTGTACCTTCTTTCCGCAGCCTTGGCTCTAGTTTCAAGGGCAACAACCATAGGAGCTTAGTATGTCTAAGCTCCGGCGTGGTGTTCGACAAGTGCCCTTCTGACATTGGCTTAATGTAAAACGGGTGCATTGGAAAGACACCAATTTGTAGCCCGGTCTGTACCCTTCAGGACATGTGCTAGGTGCATCAGGATCATCCACGCAAATCACATCAGGACCTCGGTGCCTTTGTCTGATTCATCATCGTTGCCATCAAAACACTGGCCGTCGGGGCCACGGTGATGGCCAAAGCCACATCCGCCAGTACCCCGGTCAGACTCATCCTCGCCTCGCCGTCGACGCAATGCCCGTTTGAGTCACGGTGTCGGCCAAAACCACAGCGTTCGGTATCCCTATCGTGGTCGCGGTCGGGGTGGCCATGATCTCTCTTGGGTCCTTTCCGGTTGTAAGTTACATGTTGACGTATTCGGTGTTGGAGGTAGGATGAACTATCGCCAGTTGTGAAGAAAAGACAAAGCAGGTTGCATTGGGCGCAAACCCTGAAATGAGACTGTATCTCTGACGTCAAATAGTATGTGGAAAACGGAGGGATATTACCCGCGTCCTCAAGGGAAATACTCCATTCCACTCTTCGACTACTGCTAACAGAACTCAAAGCAACTAACTACACGACATAAAGCAATTGGTCTGCCCCTGCGTCCCTAACGAGTCCAGATACGGATCCGGCCGCCGCAGATAGTCTGCCAGAAAGTTGGCGCAGTGAGCAACATGGCCCGTGTCCGCCAGCATAGTATCCACCCGATCCCCGCGTTTGTAAACGTCATGACCGCGCCGGAGCAGGTAGAGGCAGTGCACCAGATGCTCGCGGGTCACCGTGAAGTAGTACCCCTGCTCGTTGTTCCCCACCTCCGTGTAGTCCTTCATCGGGTGCTGCATCTCATGGTCATAGTAGTACTGGAACGGCTTGCCATCGTTGAAGGTCGCGAAGTCCTCGGAGTAGTCGTGGGGGCAGTCCTTGTGCAGCCAGCAGGCGGACAAAGGATCGTACGAGCAGCCCATCGCCGTGGCCTCGGCGGTGGAGTTGCCGCAGGAGAGCGTAGTGTGGCGGTTCGTGGAGAAGCACTGGCGCTGGCCGTTGATGGTCGACGAGGTCGATGAGAGCTTCACCACGAGCACCTGGCGGAACGGCTCGATGGTAATGGCGGCGATGACGGCGAGCACGAGCAATACCAGGACCAAAATCAGGCCCGAGATCGTGATGGCCGTCAGATTCCGCTTGAGGAATTGCTGGACGGAGTAACGGCGGCGCGAGCCGTGATTGATGATGGTAGTGGTGCCATCGCCGCTGTTCTCCGTCTTGGGAACGGGCTCGTAGTTGTGGTGGTGGTGAGGGAAGATCTTGTCCATCGCCATTGATCTCGCGCTGCTACTTGAAGTACAGCATCTCACGGCTTTCTACCCTTGCGGTCATTCAGCATTCAGACCAGGGCCTTCCTCGGGAGGTAACGGCATTGGGTATCTATTTGTATGTGAGAGGGGCATGGAGAGAATGACGAAGATAGGCCTCAATAAGCATCGATGGGGACTGAGAACGGTGGTCAATAGAGAGAGTGAAGACAAAGAGCATGCGTCTTGGTAGCAGGAACTGGTTGGGCTTAGTACGGAGTACCGAGATCGGACTGGAGAATGGATGGCACGCCGGCCTGCCTAATCGAGGTCAAACAAAGACACCCACGCGGAAATTCCCGCAGTTGATCAGCTAGCCTACTACATTCTCTTTACTTTCTCCGACAACCACTGCCAAGTCTTCATTAAACACTATTTCGGACTTCTAACATCCATTATCTAGCAGCCATGATGAGGCTGTTAACGCTCCATCTTTTCATCCTCATGGGTTGTTACCCGTCACAGCACCCCAGATATACGCAGCCCAACTGCCCAGCGTGAGCAGCAACAAAGCTGTGAAACACCCGATCGAGATGCGTTTGCTCCGCTCATAATGCTCGACAAGATGGTGCTGCTGTAGCATCGCGAAGAACTCCGCGCCCAAAGCATGACGCTTCTTCCGAGACCATTGCAAGGGCGCCAGATCTCTACCCACGTAGCATCCGATCAGGAGAACAATCGAGACAATGGCACAGCAGATCGCCAGGAAGAGATAGACCCGCACTGCGCGATGGTACGAATCGTTATCTGCATCCTGGAGGGCACCAGTGATGATACCAATGATAATGGTCATGCTGGAAGAGGGTCAGAGGACATTCTGCTTCGGGGAGTTTCGAAAAACATACGCATTGTTCATCGTCACTTTCAGGGAGTAGGCAGAGCCAAACACTGACTGATGCCAGAGAGTGGTACGAATACCGTCGATGATGGAAGTCGGTCCCAATGACACGGCCACCGCATAAATACCGAACGCTGCAGCGGTTCCCTCCTTCGCTGAGGCATAGTTGACTAGGATCATGCTGATAAACATTCCGAGACCGCACACGCACACTATTATATGTATCAGTGGAAATTCCACAGCTGGATTCTGGAAGGGCCTGACTCACAGACTGAGGCTCGGTGACCGAGGATATCGATGAAAACGCCCAGGCAGGGAACAAGGAAGAAGCCTAAGTCATATTATTAGCGGATGCCCTCTTTCAACAGAGTCAAATACATACCAGCATATTGAGCCAGAGCGCTGTACCAGCCCGCTTTGATGGCGTCGACATTGAATCGCTTTTCGGCCAACTCGGTCGCATTGGAGCTGAAGACACTGGCGGTACTGGTTTGGAACATCGAAAAGGCCATGACGGCCCAGAACATCCAAGGCAACTGGAACATCTTCCGGATCTCGAACTTCTTATTCTTCTCCACCAATTCTTCCTGCGTCGCCTTGTCTTCGCGACCACGGTAGTGCTTCTCGCAGTAGCGGTTGAAGATCCAGAAAAAGACAGTGGCTGCGTTCGTGAAGAGATTCATGAAGACAGAGGTCCAGAAGACCCAGGCAAAGTTGCCAGTATTCTGCTGACGGTTAGATTAACGCAGCTCCAAGAATTGCAGAGGCACATACCTTGGCAATCACGTTCGCGGTGGACTTGCCGACAAATCCTCCAATCTAATTGAAGTTAGCTTGGCGAGTCCGACGTGGCGTTGGGGCATCTTGAAATACCTTTCCAATGGCGAGCTCAAATCCAAGCGTAGAAGCAAATCCGTTGCTGGGCGGGAACCACGAGGAGAACATTTTGTATTGTGCTGTCTGAGTCGCAATGTCGCCAAGTGCGAGGACGATTCTTCCACCGACCATGAATCTAAATGAACGCACTGTGGTAGCAGCAGCCACCAGAATTGAGCCAACGGTGTACACGGCATTTCCATAAACGATCATCCCTGGCATGCAAGTTAGGGTCGTTGCGTCATTTTTATGGATCATCAAACATACGAGCACCACCCACTCGATCCGTGACAATGCCGCCTGCGAGAAGCAGAAGGGTGGCCATGAAGTTCTCACCGGCTTCGAGAAGGGAGAACTGGGTGTTGGTCACATGCATTTGCTTTACATTCTGTCAGTAAAACAATAACCGAATCTGACTCAGAGGCGTAAGACCTTCTTGATTGTGCTCTTCATGGCACCGGTGACACCTGTGCTCCAATGGGAGCCAAAGCTGATGCAAGAGATCACAACGACAGCAATCAGCTTCGCGGCCAGAGGTGGCGGCCGCCTTCCGTCGACATCATTTGTACGAGGGCTCTTGGACGACTGCAGGGATGAAGTAGTCTCTGGCTCCTCAGAGAAAACGTGAGGGGTGCCCTTTTCGACTCCCATATTGCAGACAGACAAGCTGTATTTTGGATGAGGAGATGAACGTGAGTGTGAGAAGATCAGCGCTGTCGAAGGTGCGGGCAGACCCTGGTCGTGAGCCCATCTTTATATGGCATGAGACGTCAAGACCGTTTTTGTCCTGGAAGCTCCCGGTATTTCGCCGATTGGGACCCATTCAGCCAAGACACGGTTAATCAGATTAGATTTTCTGGCAACCATCTGATTCTCGAGCCATGCTTCCCAGGGAGGGGAGCGTCCACGCTTTTTTGTTGTTTGGTGTCTTGGCTCTGCCATCGTTGTCGTATAGTCCCCGCTGAGGAAGATGCTGATTGGGCAGGACTCGGATCTTGGCATCGATTGATAAGATTGATAGGACCCACTCACGGACAGTGTCCGAGAAGGTTGAGCAGGTTCATCACCGTTCGAGAAGATCCTTCACCTGTTGGTCTGGGTTTGTCTCACTTATCGGAGGTCGGAGAACTTAGGGCTTGGACGTCCGCACCACAGACACATACTATCCAGAAAAGCTTTCACCGGGAATCGAGTTTTCAATGCTTGAGCAGACATTATCACTAAGCCTTGTGATAAGGCTTGCCATCCGACCGACTATACATTCCTCGGAGGAAATACCACACAAGGGTGGCATGTCAGAGCCAAAACTTCATCCGAAACTCATACGCAATGGACCCTTGAGTGCATGAATAGCACCGACCTACGGATCCAAAGGGCACTTACTCCACCCCATCATCAAGGCCTACGTCAAGCACTTGTCCCAATTTCTGTATGACATCCCTGTGCGCCTCAAAGCCTGCTTGGCTTGGCCCGACCAAACAACCAGCCTCTACGCCGGCTCCGTGGCTTCACCGTAGCACAAACCTGCGGCATCTTTTGCCTTATCGTAGGAGGGATACGTACGCCGTCAGAACTACCTTCGAAGAAATGCTTGGCTCGGAGACTTTGGGTCCGATCCAGAACCCTTACGCTCCACGTCGGACAAAACGACTCCGATCTATTCCGTTAACATTCCCGCAACATGCAAATTAGGGTTGCTGCCCATTCCCTCATTCCCACGTGTTCAGAGGGACGCTGCCGTAATACGGGCCAGCTCCACCGCTGGAATTCGAGTTTTCCATGGTAGCCCGCTTCTCCGCTGCTATATGGGTGGGTATCGCCAAGCTTCCGCGCAGATTCTTCGAAGGGCATTTGTGCCTCCGCGGAGCTCTCGCAGAGGGAATTTTAGTTACACCACGCTGCTGGAAAAAGATATTCTGAGCTGACCTCGCAAGTTATGGCAGGGAGAGGATGAAGATTGATGAATCCTGGCTTCGTTATATACATGTGCTAGTAGGTGCAGAGAAGACATATCCGCAAAATAGCTCTGCCATCCATCGTTCGATTCTGGATAGACGTCACTGAAATGCCTCAGCCAGAGATGAGAAAGTGGCAGTCGATTCTCTCAAGTGGAGGTGGCTGGTCAACCAACCCGTGTTTCACACTCCAGAATGACCGGACTTCCAGCTACTGTAGCTCCTGATACGAAGCTGTGCGATAAGCTTATCGGACTTTCTCTACAGCTAGTAGTGATTTAGCAGGGTCTTAAGCTTATACACGCCCTCATAGTACTTTAAGTATTTTATTGTCTAGGCTGAGGCTATGCAACAAGCTACCATACGTACTCGAAGAGTCGGGCTTAAGATTGGAAGGATTGACCGTGAAGACATGAGGTGGGGAGCAAAGGAGTAACGTTTCCCATCAACGTTTGCCATCCCACCGGTCCCTGGATCTCGCAAAGTACCCATGAATGTAGTATAGCGGGCGGAGTCCACCGGTGGATACAGGTGGACCATATTCAGTGGGAGCAAAAAGTGGATTCGGGAATTTCTGAATGAGGCTTAACTTCCACTTTAGCTAAGAGCTAGGGTTAACATAGAATGATAGAATCAGTCGATTCAAGGTTCGAGATTGGTAGACAGGCTAGCATTTATCCAATAGCTTAATCGTACCGCAGGGCAACGTTTGGTTTGTTGTGCTATGCATACCAGCATAGCTACTCTGTTGCGTTGAAACAGCCGACAGGCGATCGGGTATCAAAGTGGCACGGAAATGGTTGAGTAGATGTAAATCTTTGGAATATCGCAGTATAGCAGCATGGTATACCAGCTGCCACGCACCCTTGACTTTCCTCGCAGCCGCCAAAACCATCTTGCCTTTCCTAGCCCAATAATAAGCTTGGGTATGTATCACCTTCCCATCCACCCCCCATCCACAACGACCACACTCCCCGAAACATAACCACTCGCCTGCCCCGCCGCCAGGAACACCGTGACCCCCTTGAAATCCTCCGGACTCGCCCACCGGCCCGCCGGGATCCGGTCGAGGATACTTCTTGAACGGTCCGCATCATTCAACAAGGCGGTATTCATCTCCGTGGCCACATACCCCGGCGCGACGGCGTTGACGCGTACCCCGCGCGCCGCCCACTCGTTGCTCAGCGCCTTTGTGAGCTGCGCCACCCCGCCCTTGGCCGCCGCGTAGGCCGGCACCGTCAGCCCGCCCTGGAACGAGACCAGCGAGGCGACGTTGATGATCGCGCCGCGCTGGCCGTGCGTATCCGGTGGGCGCGTCAGCATGTACCGGCCCACGTCGCGGCACAGCGTGAAGACTGTGGTCAGGTTCGTCTGCAGCACGGCGTCCCAGTCGGCGTCCGGGAAGAGGTGGCTCGGGTGGCGGCGTTGGATGCCCGCGCAGTTGATGAGGATGTTGATGTCGTGGCCGTCGGCCAGGATGCGCGCGATTAGGGCGGTCACTGAGGCGCGCGAGGAGAGGTCCGCCGTGTAGATTGTGGCTTTGCGGGAGAGGGATTCGATTGCGTTTTTGGTGGTGAGGTTCGTGGGGTCTCTCTTTGGGGGTTGGGGGTTAGATGGGTGAAGAGGGAGGGGGAGGAGTAAGGGGACGAACCTGGATGAGGATTATGTCGCTGCCGGCTTCGGCGAGGGCGATGGCCATTTGTTGGCCGATGCCTCGGGTGCCCCCTGTTACGAGGGCGGTGCTGTTGTTTAGAGAGAAGAGGTCCATTGCTGAGAGTGGATTGTGTAGGAGGAGGGATGGTGGAGTATGGAGAGCGGGATAGGGACGAAGTAAATACTGGAGTATTGCTACTAAATATGTATCAGAAGACAATGCGGGGGGAGCCCCCACGTCTTCATCCCCCCCACACTCTGATACTAAAACTACTACCGCTACTACTCCTCAGCTGCACACTCAGCTGCACACTCACCACTCGCGAATTCCTCCATCCGGCCCATAGAACTCCTTCGGCAACCACGGCTCAGTCTCCTGGCTGATCTCCCGGACCAACTCCTCGTTGATCTCAATCCCCAATCCTGGCCCCTTGGGCACCGCCACGTATCCTCCCTCGATATCAAACACCGACGCATCCACCAGATAGCTAGTCAGGTCAATATCCCCTGCTTCGATGTTATAATGCATCCCGAGGGACATCTCCTGAATCACAAAGTTAGGAATAGAGGTGGCCACCTGCATTGACGCGGCCAGGGCAATGGGACCTGCGTTAAACAACGAGTCAGTGCGTGCGCCCAGACTATCTCATCAGGGGTCACCCACCCAAAGGACAATGCGGCGCAATCGCCACATCATACGTCTCCGCCATCGTCGCGATGCGCTTCGTCTCGGAAATGCCCCCCGCGTGCGCGATATCCGGCTGCAGGATGTCGACCGACGCATCCTCCAGGAACCGCTTGGCGTCCCACCGCGTGTACAGGCGCTCGCCGAGCGCGATGGGGATGCTGGTCTGCTGGGAGAGCTGCTTGATGGCCTCCGGGTGCTCCACCAGCAGGGGCTCTTCGATGAACAAGGGGCGGTACGGCTCCAGGGCTTTGGCCAGCTGCTTGGCCATGGGGCGGTGCAGACGGCCGTGGAAGTCCAGTCCGGCGTCCAGGCCCAGGGCCTTCACCTGCTTGATGCGCTCGATGCAGGAGTCCAGGATGGCCGGCGAGTCCAGCCAGTTGACGTCCTCGGTGGCGTTCATTTTGACGCATTTGAGGCCCTGCTCGATGCGTGCCTTTCTGCGGGTTGTTAGGTGAAAATACAGGAGTTTGGGCTTGGGGGGAAGGGTGGACGCACGCTGCAATCTCCACGTCACTGGGTCGGTCGCCCCCGATCCAGGCGTAGACCTGGATCTTGTTGCGGACTTTGCCGCCTAGCAGCTGGTACACAGGCACGCCTAGTCGACGGCCTTTCAGATCCCACAGGGCGATGTCGATTCCGGACAGCGCGGACATGAACACGGGGCCACCGCGGTAGAACCCTAGTCGCCAGATGGTCTGCCATATATGCTCGATGTCGCTGCAAGTAATGAGCTTGGTTCAATTCGGGGAGTTGGCGAACATACTCTGCCTCATAGCCAACCACTCGTGCGATGATCTCGTCCAGGGCGCCTTCCACGGCCAGTGTGTGTCCTTCGAGTGTGGCTTCGCCCCATCCAAATTGACCTTCATCGTCGGTGATCTTCACAAACAACCAACGGGGTTTGACTCGGAAGTACTCAATGGACTTGATGCGCGCCATCTTGGTGTGTATGGTACAGTATTATCGGGTGAATTGGCAAGGGTCTCCTGTTGCATTCTATACACTCATTTATATACGCAGCATGACAAGCTACTTTCACGGCCCTGTCTTCCCCACGCTCACCCCCGCGTGGGGGTGGACGGCTATATAGTCTGGGGTATTCATAACATGCACTATCCAACCCGCGTTATTGGCGGAGGCCGAGCGCTGATCAGTGGCCCCCCACTCCCGCATATGCACTTTCCCCTCACCCCGCTTTTGGAGCTTCATTCCATCCTCAGTACACGTACCGGAAATTCAAGTTCTGCTTATCCGTGAGGTCACTGAACGCCGTCTGGTCACGGTCCCATGCCGTGGGTTCTCCGTGCTGCTGCGCTGCATCCCGTCGACGATTTTCCCACGCCAGCATGATCCGCAAAATCACCACCAGTGCAATTTCAATCAAGTTGGACACGATCATCGACCAGATCCCCAGCTGGTACCGTGGTGCTTGGTCAGATTTGTAGAAGAACGGACCGGCGATGTTTCCCGCACACACTCCGAGAAAGATCATCGCGTTGGTGACGACCTTCTTCGTGTGACCGGCGATGTTGGCGGTTAGGATGGAGAGAATGAGAACAAAGGAGGCGTTGTACGACCCGGTTAAGTAGTAGCAGATCAATCGGCCAACGCGGTTCTCTTCAGCAAGGAAGCAGAGTCCGAATGCACCTGCAACGTTGGGAAGGAGGAAAAGGATGGTCACGAGGCAACGGTTGTTGGGCGGCAGGCGATCGTTGATGTACACGCTGAGGAGGATCATGAGGGCTATAAACACGCCGTAGGGGATTTGCATCAGGGTCGTCACCACTGCAATTGTCAGACTCATGCCTTCTCTTGTAGAGCAGGCCACTAAGCTTACAGGTCGAAAAGCCGAACCCCGAAATAATCAAGGTCCCGAAATTGGAGATTCCGCCATTGGGGATGTTGCCGGAGAGCCCCAACAGGAGGAACGCCCACACCTTCCAGTCGAGGAGCGCCTCCAGGACCTGTGCCGGCTTGAGGATCTTGTTCTCCACGCCTGTCTGGTTGTCTCGGAGCCTCTCCACCGCCAACCGTCGTTCCCGTGGGGAGAAATTGCGCGCGGTAACTGGGGAGTCGGGCAACAGGATTAAGATGACGATGCCCCAGGCGGTGCACAGCGCGCCGATGATGAGAAACTCGTACTTCCACGAAGACAGCGCCCCTTGGATGTGCCCGATGCCGTACCCGAGCAATCCTCCGAGGGCAATGCCGAGCCCGTTCGCAGTATACCACAGACCGATGCGGATGGGCTGCTGGCGTCTCGTGTAGAACATGCTCGTGATCAACATGAAGGCAGGATCACTACGCTAATGTCAGCCGTCGGTTGTCGAGTTTGGGAATGTCTGTATTACCTGCATGCCTCAGCAGCCCCTGAGATAACTCGCAGCACAACGAGCTGTGTGAAGTTCTTCGCCGCAGCTAGAGGAGCGAGCATAAGTAGAGATTTTGATTTCGGGGACTAGGATTCTCCCACGGACCCTGTAGCATGAGAAAGACACCCCATAGAATGATGTTCACGCCGAGATATTTGGCCACGGGGAACTTTTGGAGTAAGAAGTTGGTAGGGATGGCCCAGACGAGAAAGCCGAAGTAGAAGACCGAGGACAGCCAGGAGTACTGCTGGCCGGACAGGTGGAGATCTTCCTTGATGCCGAAGATGGCCGCATAGGAGAGGGTGGTTTTGTCTATCTGTTGTAGTGTTAGTGAATGTTAGTGAAGAAATTCCTCGCGTTTCATGCGATGAGCGATATTGAACGGGGTCCGCACATAGTAGAAGGCATAGCAGACGGCCAGACAAGGCAGGATTGCCCAGTCGATCTTCCTCTCCAGCTGCTTCAATTCGGCTGCGTCGACGGATTGCAGTTCATCGCCCGTGGTAAACAGTGCCAGAGCTGTATCGCCCTGTTGGATGTTGCTGATCTTGCCGTCATCTTGGTTATCCTCGATGTGGAGGGATGAGGGTTTGAGAGCAGCGTTGGGCGAGGAGATTTCCGCAGCCATGGTGGTCTGTACCTGTAGCTAGCCACAATCGAGTCAGGAGTATCATGAATATCCTGTTGCAAGTCCAGATCCTGTTTCCCCCAGGTCATGATGTATGCGACACCGTCCCCCACACTCCCAGACAATAGCCGTTAGCGTGGGGGAGATGCATGGCTGTTGGTTGTTGGTTGTGTGTTGTTGACGCCGGGGATTTTTCTCCGCGTTTGCCTCGGCGCGAAATCCGAGTTTCCTGTTACGCATCATCTCCCTGCAGTTGTTACTTTTCTACTTCTTAATCTCCATGATTTGTCTTCCTGTTTCTCAAGATCAATGATACGACAGTTTGACGCAATGACATTCCTGACACGCGAAGATATCGAGAAACATTCATCGCGCCAGTCATGCTGGGTTGCCATCCATGGCTCTGTTTACGATGTAACCGGTGAGCCATGAGCCAGAGCCAAATCACACTGTTCAGCATTCAAGAAGTCCACAGTAACTCACACTAACCGCCACAGACTTCATCGACGAACACCCCGGTGGTCCACAAGTAATCCTCCGTTGCGCCGGCAGGGACGCAACAGCAGACTTCGACTCCGTCCACGACCAGTCCCTCCTCACCGAGGCCCTTGCACCATCATGCCTGAAAGGCAGGATTCAGCCTGGCACACTCTCAGCCCCAACATCTTCCTCATCCTCACCAACAACCTCAGCACCCAACCCCTTACCCAAAATACTAGCCACTACACCCCCCGGGCCCTCTCCAACACCCCCCGCCCCGCCCCTCACCACCCTAATCAACCTCCACGACTTTGAAAAAGTGGCCCACCAACACCTGCCCCCCCACGCATGGGCCTACTACGCCTCCGGCGCCGACGACGAGCTCAGCACGCACAACAACGCCAAAGCGTACCGCAAGATCTCCCTACGCCCGCGCATCCTCCGCAGCATCCGGGCCGTGGACACCAGCACCGCGATCCTGGGGCAGAAGGTCTCGCTGCCGGTGTACATGAGTCCCACGGGCATCGCCAAGCTGGCGCACGCGGACGCCGAATGTGCCCTGGCGAGGGCGGCGGGCCACGAGGGCGTGGCCCAGGTGCTGGCCAACGGGGCGAGCATGCCCATTGAGCGGGTGCGCGCGGCGCGCACGAACCCCCAGCAGCCGCTGTTTGCGCAGTTGTATGTGAACAAGGACATAAAGAAGTCGGTGGAGACGGTGCGGAGGGCGGTGGAGGCGGGGGCCTGTGGGATTTGGGTGACGGTTGATTCGCCGGTTGTGGGGAAGAGGGAGATGGATGAGAGATTGAATTTGGAGGTGCAGGTACGTCTCTACTCGTTACGACCACCTGCTGGAATTTGTGCCGGGGAGGGACGGCGGGAAAAGATGCTCACAATGGGCCATGGAACAGGCACGAGACTCGTCCGCCCGCGGCCAGGGCGTCGCAAAGACCATGGCCAGTTCCATCTCCCCGTTCATCGACTGGGACATCCTGACCTGGCTGCGCGACCTCACCGACTTACCGATCGTGATCAAGGGGATCCAGTGCGTCGAGGATGCGGTGTTGGCGTACCAGCACGGGGTGCAGGGGATCGTGCTCTCGAATCATGGGGGCCGGTCGCAGGATACGTGAGTGTCTCGCCTCCTCGCTTCTCGCTTCTCGCGTCTTCCTGCCGCTGTAGATCCAGAATCACTGATGATGAAGCGGCTAGCGCCCAGCCCCCGCTCGTCACCTTGCTGGAGATCCGCAGACACGCGCCCTATTTGATCGGCAGCCGCATGCAGATCTTCGTGGACGGCGGGATCCGTCGCGGCACCGATGTCCTCAAGGCGCTGGCGCTGGGCGCGTCGGCCGTTGGGCTCGGCCGGCCGTTCCTCTACGGTCTCGCGGCGGGTTACGGCGAGGAGGGGGTGCGCCGCGTGATTGCCATCCTGCGGCAGGAGATCGAGGCGAATATGGTGTTCTTGGGGGTGACGACGCTGTCGGAGCTGGGGCCGCATCTGCTGAATGCGACGCGGTTGGAGAGGGATGTGGTGGGGGAGGTGAAGTTGTAGTTTGGTATAGAGGGGGAGGGAGGAACGGTTAAGTACCGGTCCACATATAGAACCGAGGTAGGGGATGGATTTATCGGTCTATTGTCATCAGAGATTCTCCGAATGGAGCAATAATACCATCTCACACGAGCATTAGTACAATCACTACTGTACTGTACCTCCGCAGGGGGAGGATCATCAAGCATGAAGTTACTGTTGACTTTCCGCAGAGGCTGTGTTGTGTGTCCGAGACTCTCGGGGACCTGATGGGACCTTGATCCACAATTACCAAAGTGTAAGCAGTGTACTCCGTACTCTGTAGATGAGTAGATGATCAAGATCTCGGTCGGCCTTTCTTTCCTGATGGTGTTCCCGAGTAATAACGTTACAACCCTCGCCTCATCTTACCTCGCCGATCGACAACCTCATGCTCATAGTCGAACCTTCAGCTAATGTATAAGGTGAAGACGAACCAAAGACAAAACAACGATCGGCGACTTCCAAACCAACAATCAGATTCCAGGGAAACGAGAAAGGAACCCATTTCCGGCCACATCCGGCTCTCCTTTTCCTTGATGCCATACTGTAAAGTACTACCTGCAATTGCCACGCCATGCGGAGATGTGAACCGCGGGTGAGGTCCGACCGATGGATCCAACAATAGGGTTCGGGGACCATTTCCATGCTTATGCAGCAGCGGAAGTGACTTGGGTTTTTGGAGGTAGGGCCCTCCCGAGTTTGAATGCTGGTCCCCGATAGGCATGGCATGGCAGATCAAACCCGCAAACCCACTCTATCGCCGTCTTTCCCTTTTCCTCCCGTTTTTTTTTTTTTTTTTTTTTTTTTTCCTGGTCGAATGGTGTGCTGTACCGTTCTTGAGAAGGAGGGGAGGGTTCGGGGACTTGGAGGGGGCGAGGTGTTGGTTGTACTTGTACTTCTACTTGATGGATGGTATTTCTACATCCATGGATATTGAGCATGCTTGTCTACGCTGATTTGGACTGAATATCTTCAAAGAAGATTGGGATGGTTTACCTAGACGGTGAATCGTCGGCCTTATATTTGGATTACGTTTGAGAGGGACTCGGTTCTGCTTCTTCCTTGATCTTTCCTCGTTGATCTTTGGTCGTTTTGTGTTACGGTGAAAAGACCCCCAGGTCATGTTCACACCAGTCCATACCTCGCTGGGCGCCTTACTCCTCTACCAAGGCTCCTCGGGACTTCTCTTGCACAATGGCGCGGTCTTTGGCATCTCGTCCCTGCTGTCGGGCGGTCTGTTGCGGCCCAGCTGGGAGAACGTGCCGGTCCTCGCCGGCCTGGTGTCCAGTCTGCTGCCCGTGGCGCTCTGCATGCCCTCATTGATCCCCTCGTACCCCACAGCCCCGAACTCGTGGATCTCGCTGGCGTCGACGCTGGCGATGGGGTTCCTGCTGGGTTGGGGGACTAAGGTATAATTCAAAACCTCTCGCGTTGACTTGGTATGGGCCACCAGCTAAATTACCGTGATGCTTAGAACGGTCGAGGCTGCACCTCCGGCCACATGCTCTGCGGCGTATCCCGTCTGTCCCCGCGCTCCGTCATCGCCACGGCCATCTTCTTCACGACCGCCGTGCTCACGGCCAACTTCCTCCCCGGCCGCCAAGATCTCCCGGCATGCGCGGACGGTCGCCCGTGTTATCTGCCCGTCTACCCCACCGCCGCGGAGGGCGGATTCATGGCGGCCACGACCCTGCTAGCCTTCGCAACGAATTGGTATGCCGTGCCCCGCGTCCTCAGCCGATCCGAGAACTCGCGCACGGGTTTTGCGTACCTCGCCGGGTTGCAGTTCGGCACGGGGTTGTTGTTCACGGGCATGGCGGATCCGGAGAAGGTTCTGCGGTTCCTGGTGGGCCTCACGGACCCGGCGCGCTTTGACCCCTCGTTGGCGCTGGTCATTGTCTTTGGGATCGTGCCGTCCATGGTGACTTATCTGTCACGCAGGCCGGGACAAAATGGCCAGAAGATGGGAGGGCCGTCCAAGCCGACGCTGGCGGAGACTTGGAGGCTGCCGACTGCCACGGTAGCGGATATCGACTGGCGCTTTGTGGCGGGAGCGGTGATCTTCGGCGTCGCCTGGGGGTTGTGTGGTGTCTGTCCGGGCCCGGCTATTCTGCGGTCCGTGGTGCAGCCGACTTGGGGACTGGCGGAGATGGCGGGCTATATGCTCGGAAACTTAGTGTAGGATATCTTGTGGAGGAGACCAAGCCGTGTGTATATAAATTTAGTATATAGATATATCATCCTGAGACCCGCAGGATTATTCCCGCAAAATATGCTGAGTAGCGGAAAAGGACGGTTCAGAGGTTTAGTTAGAAGCTATGCGATGCACAAAATATCAGCACGACTCCAAGGAGATGCAGATGCAGATGCAGATGCAGTCTAAGACTGGGACCAGCCCAGGCACTGATGCAGTATTAGATTCAGACAAGGCTTACAATTCCGTCTTAGCCCAGCTGTTAGTAGAGCGTTTGTGGCCGGAGGCAGCACCGTCCCCGGATCCAGCCACAAAGCCTTCCAACTCCATCCACTCGGCTGCGAACGCAGTGAACAGTACGCTCCAGTCCTCCACGGTGTCTATATCCAGATGTTCGCCGTCATCCTTGATCGTATGCCAGACCGTGGGAAAGCCCCGATCGCCGGCATCAATGATATGCAGGACCTCCACGCCTCGTCTCAGGAACGGGATGTGGTCGTCTTCGATGTGCATGTACATCGGGATCTCATTTTCGCTCTTCGAAAAGTGAGGGAACCAGGACCGTCCGGGATCCGCGGATCGAAACTGCTTCAAGTCCCGCAGCCGCCGCTCCAGCGTGGCCAGCTTCTTGTACGCCCAGTGTGTGGTCGGGAAGAACGACTGGATCGTGGGGTCCTTCGCGCCCAGCAGGTCCAGCAGCACGAACAGGGAGATTGAGTCGAGCGGCGACCGGTACACGGACATGGCCGGGTGGACCTCAGCGTCCCACTGCTCCGCCAGGGAGCGCGCGCCGTACAGCGAGTCGGTAGCCGTCCACTCTTTGAACGCCTCCTCCCCGTCCATGAGAATCACCTGGATGCCCTGTTGTTCCTCCAGCAGGTTCAGCTGCCCCTGGGCGCGCAGGTCCTCCCATTTCTTCGTTAGGGCGCCGTCGATGCTCCGCATGGCGTGCAGCATGATCGCGCACGGCGCGGCACTGTCGATCGCTCCGATGAAGCCTTCCGGTTCGTACTTGCTGTCGTAGTGCGCGACCAGAGTCAGGCGTCCGACGTCGCCCGGGCTGGCGCCGGGCGGATCCCGGGAGGCGATGAGGTTGACGAAGGGAACCTCCTTCCCCTTGGAGACAGGGGTCTTCGATGTAGAGTTCTGGAATTGCAGGGTCCAGTCCGGGAGCGAGGTGCGGAAGAACTCCGCCAGGTGGTTCAGGACGGCGGTGTTGCCCGCGGTCCCGGAGACACGGGGCACCAGGATCGGGGCGAGGAGTGCACCCTCGTGGATGTCGAAGTCCTTCCCAGGTCGCGGGAGGGATCGTAGGGTCTCGTCCGAGACGGTTTCGTAGGCTGTCCCTGACGCGAGAAGGAGAAAAAGGGCCAGGCAGGTGGACAATAAGGGGCGCAGAAGGCCACGGTGCGGTAGCAGCGGAATCATAGCGACGGGGGTGGGAGAGTGATAAGGGTCAGCACAAACTCATGGCACGAGACGATGACTGTTCCTGACTGTCACAGTTGAGTCAAAGACGAAGAGGCCTGCAGACGGAGGATGACAGGAATCAGTTCTCTGTCAGGGAGAAGACCAAAGTTGAGTCTTTGTTTCACAAGCGAAGCAGCCATGGATTTGACAGGCTTGACCGCCTTTGAGCTACTATCGATAAGTTCTTATCCGAACTGCTTCAACTCTCTCCGATTTCCCGGCACTGAGAACCAATCTCCGCTTGAATTTCTCCATTCTGTGACAATATGAGGCCGCTTATCCTGCTGCATCCGCAATTGCGAGCCGCACTTCCGCGAAGTGTCCGGCGGAGTCTCAACAGCAAGCTGTTTGCTCGGCTGAAGACCACCGAGAACGCGGCTCGCAGCCCAAAGAATGATCCTTTCATCAAAAGACCAGCGCACCCCGAGAGTATGTTCTATAACAAGGAACCCGACCCGGCCAGTTACGCATATGGGAAGCTCTTTGCGCGGAAAGGTATTGTTGTGAAATCGTCTGCATTCGCCGCATAGAAACGAGCGCTGATCTCACCCCGGCAGGACCGCCCGAGGTGATTCTCATCTACAATGGTGGGGTCCATAAAGCCATGTTCCTGGCGGCGTTGAAGATCACTGGCATTCTCCTGTACGGAGTGACGATTGCTTTCATCTTACCAGAGTTCATGAGTGGGGAGTATCCTGAATGGTATGCCCCAGCAGGTAAGTTCGGAACCCTCGACTGTTGCTCATTGCGGAGGGGAGTTAGCGCCTAATCTCAGAGAACAGCTCTTACTCTTGGTGCGGTCCCGATGCTCTTCATGGCTTACAATGGGGCTACCTTTGTTTGCTATATTCACCTGTTTTTGCCAATGGCTGCTCGGCAGTCTCGGCAGGCGGCTGAGGATTATGCAAGAAATCTTCCGCCGACAGCTCGGCTGTTCATCACGACCATGGCGTTCTCAGCTAGACCTATAAAGAGGGAGGTACATCTCAAGAACCTTGTCCCTGAAACTACGCTCAGGCGTCCCGTGAGCTTCAAAGACGTGGGTCCCGAATCCAAGAAAGGGTACTGGACTCGGGGGTTGACGGAATTCTGGGCGGCGCCCAAGAGCCACCGCGGAAAACAGTCGACTGCCTTCTATCCTCACCTGTGGCCGGCAGTGAGGGAGCAGATTGAGCGGAGGGCGCCGTGAGGGAAATCTGGATTTCTTTGGCGTTTGGGGAGTTCAATTTGAGAGAACTGGCATGGAGGTTTCTTATATTAGTGGTACTGGAGACGTGGATGACATCTAGCTCAGCATCTTTACTCCCGATTTGAAAACCTACGATACTCTTTATAGCATCTCTTTCGGGCCAAATAGACCCATATCACTTCACTTTACTCTCACTTCCAGCCTGTGTTATGCCTTAGAGTGCCTTCGTGCTCTCCCAACAACACTTTGCCGTGTCCGGTCACCATTCACTCACCACAGCTGATATTTTTTCCATATACCTCTTATTTCTGACCTTTCCCACTTTTACTTGCTTCTCCTCATAGTCAAAACAGCCGCTTTGTCCTTTCATCATTCGATCTTCCCCTGATACCACCTCCTTCCACCTACACATCCATCCTCAACTCATACTCTCCACCTCGCTTTACTCGCAAAACAAACCTCACTGAACACTCTCACGTTCATGGTATCCTCACCTCATCAGAAAACACCCGCTTGAACAACTACATCATCTTTTCATGCAACACACGCTACAAAAGAAATCAGCAACAACATCAGTCATGGCAGCTAGAGGCGCTGCTAAGCCAGAGGGCTGGTTCGGCTTGACCATAAACGAAGCCAGGCTTATTGTCCTCGGCCAGATGTGCTGTGATTCCACCGGCAAGGTAAGCAAACTTGACCTCCAGACATCGAGTGAGAATGAATGCTGACATCCAAGAGAAGGTCGATTACGAAAAGGTAGCTGTCAGAGGCGGTTACAAAAACGCAGCGTCTGCTATGACTGTCTACCGCAATGCGAAGCGCCGACTTGCCGAACTCTCAACTAGTTGCCCTGAAGATTCGGCCGACGCTGCCAACAACTCTACCACAGCGACCCCGCTGAAAACTCCCACCAAGCGTAAGAGAGGCAAGGCAGCGGATGCCACGCCTGACGATATGCTTGCCACCCCCAGTGGTACTGTTGAGGGTGAAGCAGCCGTGACCCCAAAGCCCAAGCGCGTCAGGAAAACCCCGGCCAAAAAAGCAGCCGCTCCCAAGGTCGTCATTCCCAAGGTTGAAGGTGATAGGTAGGCGCCCCCCCTCTCGCGACACTCCCCAACTCAAACTATGCTAACCGAAAACTCAGCGACGGGGAAGCTAGTATGCAACTCGAATCCTCTCCTCTCGCGCAGGCCAGTGCCGAAAACGATGAGGGCGGCGATTTGTACAAACGGGTCAAACAAGAGCAGTCGACTTTGGCTGACATCGAGGAGGAAACTATGGTGGGTATGCTGAAAGAGCACATCACTGCGTCCGACGAGGAGAGAGCCATGGCCGAAATTGATGTGGCAGCCGAAATGGACGCGATGGACTCAGTCACGGTTCCAGTGAAGGCTGAGGAATGAGTCTGCATCCACCTCAAAAGCTGTAATGTGATGAACGGGTCGATCTAGCATGCTCCATCGCATTTCTGTTATTCCGAACGGCATCCTCTGGGGTGTTCCGTATCGTAGAGTGTGTACTTAAGTGATGGTTTCCAACCAAAATAGCAATGATGCAGTCATCGTACTGCGAAGATCTATCTTCATGCCTTGTAGAACTTCAGCGGTTGAGCCCATGTAATCCACCTCACTGAAGATATGTACATGTCCGCGTGACAGTAACCACATTTTTACTGCTTCCATCTCATTTTCGGTAGAGGGTCATCAGGTGGAACCTGGCCATTTCTAAGGATTGTACACTATCCGTCTGATCAGTAAAGATCGAGTTTGCGGCGACAGTGTTAGAACTAAACAGTTCACTCGGCAGATCAAGTCCGAGTCGAGGTCAAGACCTGGTGGAATGTTGCATAGCTGGGACTACTTGCTGGGTTTGCATAGTTTGCATACTGCAGCTCCTCGGACCCACCCGCATCAACAATTCTCCGTCCGACAAGCAACCGGCTGGTTTCTTATCGGAGGAAGGCAAAACACGCTATCGAGAAATTCCTAGGATACAATTGCCCTGTCGTCTTTCCCCCAATTCATCGCCCCATCTGATTCTCCTCCACCTCGGAACTTATGAGAATTCATTCGGGGTCGCTGCCCCAGCGGGCACGCCTACATGTTCCTCGAATCCCGTCCCTCCCCCACCAAACCGTATGCGGCGTCCACAACTATGCGCGGACGGCCGCGTTGCTGCGGGCGAACTCCGCGCTGACCACCGGACCTCGACCGATGTTGAACCGAACGACAATCCCATCCATGACCGAGCAGAGGCGGTGGATCAGTCAACGGTACTTGCAACGGCTCGAAGACGCCCGACAGGAATGGGCCCATTTCTCCCGGCAGATCAAGGAGGGAAAACGGAAGAGCTTCGCACAGCATCTTGAAGACAGAGGACTGTTGCACGATGTCGTCGGGTGAGTGTCCGTGTGGAGGATTGCAATGGGTTGCTTGAGGATCCGGCTAACGGGGTCTGAATGTCAGGGAACGGGAACTCCTGCACCGCATTTTCACTGAGAAGAGGGCTGGTATGTATGCCGGCGTCGATCCTACGGCTCCTTCTCTGCATGTTGGACATATGTTGCCGTTTATGGTGCTGGCGTGGGGCTATGTCTGGGGTTTGCCTGTGCACTTCATCGTGAGTCACAACGACCCTCTCCCCGGCGCAATGAGACCAGACGGTCTGGCTGACATCGAGGACAGCTTGGCGGTTCAACAAGCCGCATCGGTGATCCTACTGGGCGACTAAAGGGGCGAGAACAGGTCAAGGCATCGGTTCGGAAGGCAAACATGGCGTCGATGCACATTCAGTTGAAGAGGCTCGGCAAGAGCATCGAGGCTTACGGCCGAAGGCATGGTTACGAGAAGGAATGGTCCTGGAGGCGGAGTATCACCAACAACAATACGTGGTGGACGAGTGTCACATTCATGGAACTCGTCAGAGATCTGGGCTCCTTCATGCGCCTGGGCCCCATGCTCGGGAGAGATACGTGAGTTTTTGTCCTCGCTGCCAGCCACTGTCGCGGGTACTGACCAGCTGCAGTGTCAAGAATCGGTTAGAGAAAGGAGACGGGATGTCGGTTGCCGAATTCATGTATCCTCTGATGCAGGCCTGGGACTGGTGGTATCTGTTCCGGAGGGGCGTGCAGGTCCAAGTTGGAGGCGCCGATCAGTACGGAAACATTCTCTTCGGCATGGAAGCCGTCAAGACGGCTAGCAGAAACACCGCCAACGAGCAGGAGCGGAATCCGTTGACGGATGAAATCGACAGGCCCATCGGGATGACAACGCCCCTGCTCACGACTTCTTCAGGGGAGAAATTCGGCAAGTCGGCTGGCAATGCGATCTGGCTTGACAAGGAGATGACCTCCACCTTTGAGCTGTACCAGGTATGCGAGAGCGTTTCGCATCTTATCTTTGGATTGACTAACACCATCGCAGTTCTTTGTCCGTACTCCCGACGACGTCGTCGAGAAATACCTCAAGATGTTTACTTTCTTGCCCTTGCCGGAAATCGAGAAGATCATGGCGGAGCAGACTCTGGACCCGTCCAAGCGTGTGGCCCAGCATGCTCTGGCCGCGGAATTTGTGGAACTCATTCACGGCAAAAACGAAGCGGACGCAGTCGCCCTCCAACATCGCCAACTCTTCCGCCCAAGATCTTCCACCGCCGAACCCACTCCTCTCCCTAGCCAGCCCAAGCCCCACCCCATCCCTCAGTCGCCGTACGCCAAGGATGCCAATATGGCGTCCGGCAACATCTACGCCCCTCAGACGAATTTCAGCAACATGCCCGCCCACCGAATTGAGCTCCCCCGGTCTCTGGTCGAACAGCAACCTTTGCACAAGCTGCTCTGGAGTTCAGGTCTGGTGAATTCCAAGAGCGAGGGCCACCGTCTCGCTGCGAACGGTGGGGCGTATGTCGGAAGCCGCCCCGGCGCAAGCGGGCCTATGTCCGACAGCCTGGAATACACGCCCCTCAGGGTCTGGCTTCCGGAGAAGACCAAAGAGTTTGTCGTTGACGGAGAGCTTCTGTTCCTCCGGGTAGGCAAGTGGAAGTTCAAGATCATTCAGATCATCAGCGATGAAGAATTCGCCAAAAAGGGGCTGACCTGCCCGGGATGGGAGCCCGAGGGCGAGGGCGAGGGCGCGGGGTCCAAGCCCTGAGCTTGAGGACTAGGGATGGTTTATTCGCCTCTCCGTGTATAACAGAGACCTGTACATATGTCGCATACCAAAACCAATATACTGTGTATCAATAGACACTGAGTCACCAACAGTGGGCACACCCTGTAGCGTGGTAACTAGGAAAGTATGACAGCCAAGGCGGTGAGCGATGGCACAAAAAACCCAAAGATCCCCCAAAAAAGCACTCAACGCGTCCGACGCGCGACGGCCCGCCGATGCCGATGGCCAGACACACGTCTGTCTCTCCCGCTACATCCTTATCGCCCATCCGTCCAGGGCCGCCCTTTCGATCCCTCCCCCCAAAACATTTCATCCCCCGGTTGGAATTGATATTTCTCCCTCCCTCTCCATCATCCATTGCAGCATGATATAATCGCATCTACAAAAATCGACGTAATTTGAAAATCCGGCCCCCGTTCCAGAATGGCTAAAGGAGCCCCCGCCGCATCCTCCCCTCCGACCGCGACGCCTCCCTCCTCCCGGGCGCTGAAACGAACCACGTCCAGCACGCAAAACATGAAGAGCCAGAAGTCCATCCTCGGGTTCTTCCAGAAGTCGTCGCCCTCGACCCCGTCGACGGCTCGCAGGGTCGGCGTCGAGCCTGCCTCCTCGCCCGCCGAACGGGCTTCCATCCAGCGCGCGGGAGCCAACACCACCAGTACCACCAAGCAGCGCGTACCCCATTTCAAGCAGGACTTGACGCCGGTGCCCAGTAGTGATCTCGTGATCCCTGACGAGGAGGAGGATGACGGTGCAGTGCAGGTATGGTGTGCTAGCTTTGAGCTGGAAATCGAGTGATGGTTGTTTTGGTGTGACTGACTTTTGGGGAGATGCAGGCTCGCGGTGTCGATGAGCAGCAGACGCTCGCGTCTCCGTCGCGTCGGGTAGGATATTCCTAGAATTTGGTGTATTGATGTGCAGATGTGCTGACGGATCTGATATTTCTACAGGCTAGGAAGAAGGTCAACTATCTTGAATCGGATTCCGAAGGCGAAGACGACGACGAGAAGATCTTCCGTCCCGGCCGCAGTAACCGCAACAAACGTCAAAAGGTGGCTGTAGAGAGCGAGGATGAATTCCAGGAGGCTGCAGGCGACGCCGGCTATTCTGATGATGGTTAGTCTGAAGGTCTACCTCGTACGGTCCACAAGCGCTGACATTGCCCAGAAATGGACGACTTCATCGT